CGCTTTACGATGTATACGCGCGCGCGCTTTCCCGCGCTTGATCGCCCTATAGCGCCAGCCTTCCAGAAGCATCCATCCACTGTCCACCAAGCTCTCTAGTGCGTGTATTTCCATTTCCCTTATTTACATATCATTCCACCTTTATTTGGACCCTTACTTACATATAGCTTTACATACCTTACTCGGTAGCGCTTCGGCTCCGTGTGACAGCGCTTAGGCGCCGTATATAAGCGCCAGCATTACATACTATTGAAAACTTTTCGAACTTTGCACTCTACCTCCCACTTACCACCCACATACTACCTAGGAGAACATAGTAGAAATCTATTCTTTGACACCTCACGCTCGTATCTCTTGTCTAGTATCTAATCACCACTTAAGCAAACTCACACTTACTCTCACTTGTTTCCGCTCACGCGTGCGCGCACTTCCCGCGCCTCGCGCGCACCTTTGCTTTCCTGCGCCTCGCACGTACCTTCGCTTTCCCGCGCCTCGCGCGCACCTGCGCGCTTTCTCGCGCTTCGCATCAGCCGACCAGTAGCGCCTTCGGCGCGCACTACTAGATCCTTGCTGCACTCGCTTCCCCTTTAGGGTCGAACGCACTTGTCGTCTCAAGTATAGCAGACTAGGCAACGCGCGACCTTACAACATTTACAGATACAGTCAGGAGCTTTGTTTGTTCCTCTCTGTATTGTTGTTTCTACAACGTTCTTAACAGCAACAGGCATTTGATGTGTATTGGAATTAGCTGAATACAAGCTCAGTGCAAGGCTGAGTGCTACATCGCTACTTCCCATAACATACCTTTGCCATCATTATCCTTCATACCTGCCACCTGACCATCCAACATCTTTGATTGCAGCTTCAATTTGGCAATTTTTGTAATCCCTTTCTGGTTTGGCATTCTGCCACCTGCTAAAGCATGTCAAGTTAGTGCTCTGCATTCCTTGCTCATTTGCTGTAGGAATTCTCTTATCATGATGTCTTGTGTCACCATTGTTGATACCTGTTTGTCTGTGGTTCTTCACCCTTCCCTTATCATCAAGCAGGAGCACCCCCAGAGATATGTCTTGTAATGTATAGCAAGGTGGTCACACAGAGCTAGACAAAGGTACAAATATTTCAGTATTTGTGTCGAAACTGAGATGTTTGGATGCGGGTACCTGGCCTTATGAGGTGAGTATCCCAGGGACAGTCATATAGGGAAAAATAAACTAAAAGATGGACAGCACATGAGCCAACCATAACATGTTGTTCCTGTTTCCTGTTTGGATGCTGTAGAGACTCGCACCTCTCAATGCCTGACATACGGCCCTATGAACCACATATTCCTTACATGTTCCAGCTCTTATCCGAAGGATCAGTCATACATGCTCCCACACGCGCGCCCTACGTACGTGCCTCGTTCGCGTGCCTTATATGCACTCGCGCGTCTGTGTGCCTCCCCTTAGGTCATCGCATGCCTACCCGTCCGTCCATCCGTCCTATGTCCTCACTGATTTACTGGTGCGTTATTCTTATCTCTTTCACTGAATTGACGTACACTCGGTCCGATCCCCGCGCTTACATACAGAAAGTCTATCTTAGACTTTAGATTATATTTAGAGTTGATATGGTTACTCGGTTCGGTACCGCGCTTGGAAGCGCCGCATAGCGCTATCTCCCTTCTTAAATAGAGGGAAGTTCTTTTTACTTCGGTTACTACTTTTCCCCCCGTTTATCTCAGTATACTGCAAGTTGTATAGTGCACCTTAGTACTTGAAATCAGATTATACTCTCTATCTGCTACAGCTCGCGCCTCCACTATACTTGAAACCACATCCCTTATCACTCATAAGTGCGCTTCCGCATATGTGCGCGCCCCTCGCATCTCGTGCACCCTCGCATCGCTCACACGCGCATCACGCACACCTTCATGTGTGTTATCTTCTTGCGCCTTCCAGCGCCCGTCTAGTTGACAGAGTTTCCCTCCACCTTATTCGCGAGGAACTTCTCTCAGTAGCTGTCCTTTGGGTCGAGTCATATTCTCGTATCCAGGTCTTGCTGTAGAGCCCCCTTCTATTAGTGTTTTCACCCACAGTCAAGATTCCTCACCTTCAACGTGCTTGCACTCGACATGCTCTCCTCTGGCTCTATCCTTCAGCCAGTTGCTGTGTCTCTCCCTCAGCTCTTGTCCCTTTGGCTTTCTCTCCTTTGGATCCCAACAATATGTCTACCATTATCATCTCCACCACTTCCCATCATGTGTCCTCAATTTTCAACATCTGTTATCCAAACTCTCCAGCATTCACTTTGTCAAATTGGTTGCCTACTGAAGTTTAGTAATATTCCTACCTCATAAATCCTTCTACCATTGTCTTTTATCCCCTTACTCATCATCTATCTCTGGGTGGGAGCACTGTTGAGTACTGTTATGGCCATATGAACTTCTAGTGATTTGCATTTGAGTGGGAGTGTCAAGATATGACTATCAATGTTACTCTTGTACATACTCATTCTTTTCTTGTACATATGCAATCACTCTTCATTACATGCTTCATATACAGTCTCCTTTGATTCTCCATCTCAATCAGTGTATTAAGACTTCTCCTCGTCAAATATTCTCCTTAGTCTTTTGACTCGATAAAAAGTCTCATCCCCATTCCTAATCCAAGCCTCTTGATTCATCACAGGTACCACATGATAAGTAGTGATTGTAACATCAAGGCTCAATCCCTTATCTGTGTGCACTGTGGTATAGGAGATTATAATTGTGTTAAAGGCTATACTAAGAATCTTAAAGTGGTGAACCATGTATTGCATATAGCCCCTTACTTGCAACACCCTTCATCAAAAGTTTATGGTCCATATTTATTTTTATTATCTTACCTGTATTTTTACAGCAGTCTGCATAATGGTAGAGGCCAGCAGTAATTTCCAAAAAAGTGTACATTTATTTTCGAAAAGTAGTCCTACAAAGATCAATTTTTATCTCAACAACAAAGCAAGCTATTGACATGGTCTAAGCAACAAAACTGCTCAGAAAAATCAAACACAGATGACTAGCAAAAAAACTAAGTGATTCAGTGAAGTTGGTGGTCACCTACTCTCAGAGCCAACAGTCTACACAACCTACAACAACACTTTTTTCTACAGTTGAACATCTTCCTTACCTCACTATGAAAGGTCACAAATCGTTGCAAGAACTATGTATGCAAATTATCATCTGAATGCTACTGCTCCTTGACACATCTGAAATACACTAATGTAAGCAAATTGACAATAGAAAAAATTGTGCAATGCTATAAGTTGACTGGGAAGCTGTATAAAGAAACCAAGAGTGGTGATAGTGGTAGAACTCGAATGATGGACTAGGAAGATATCGAGGTGCATCCATATTCAATCTCTTTCAGCACAAATTCTGACATAACAAAGTACATGCATGGTTGTTTGTCCTGCAGCTGTGATATGTATCTAGACGAGCTCTATGACAAGATTAGCAAGGCTCACGGAAACACCTGTCATTGTCCACAATTTGGTGAACACTTCATTGCACAGGTTCAGTCTTTGAGATGACTTCCTGACTCAGAGGATCTTTCACCTGTATTACATGTACCACTGGGGGGCTGTAATTGCTTTTTGGAGGATGGCCATGTTTCCAGGGCTCCTTGACCTTGTGCACTTGGGTAGAAGCCTTTTCCATCCTGCGAGACAATGTAGTAGCAGACCAGGAAAAGTGAGATGTGTGTGAATTTGGTTTTTATGCTAGTAGACATGAGGCAAGTGTCTAGCGAGTATAGGCAAGCACACAGGATGGGAGAGAGCTAAACGAATATATTATCTCAGTATCCAGAAGGGAACTCAAGTGTGTAAGTAGGTAGTACCTAAACAAATATATTCTAAGTGCGCTGAAGGTTCAACAATACAGCGAGGCACAAACGAGGCTCCTGACTGTATCTATAAATGTTGTAAGGTCGCGCGTTGCCTAGTCTGCTATATTTGACACGACAAGTGCATTCGACCCTAAAGGGGAAGCGAGTGCAGCAAAGATCTAGAAGTAGGTGCTACTGGTTGACTGATGCGAAGCACGGGAAAGTGCACGCGCGTATATAGAGATATGAGATGTAAGTGCTACTTTCTAGGGAGAGATTCCAACTAAGCTGAGTTGTGAGGTATGAACATGAGGGTTGCTAAACTACTCTCTGGTATGTACTACTGGCGCTTATGTATGGCACCTAAGCGCTATCATGCGGAGCCGAAGCGCTAGCGAGTAAGGTATGTAAAGATATATGTGAGTAAGGGTCCATGATAAAAATAAAGGTGGAACAATATGCAAATAAGAGAAATGGAAATATACACACTAGAGAGCTTGGTGGACAGTGGATGGATGCTTCCGGATGGCTGGCGCTATAGGGCGCTCAAGCGCAGGAAAGCGCACGCGCATATACATCATGAAGTGCGGGAATGTGCACACGCATGTTGCGCATTGCGCGGGAAAGCTGCACCTCATATAGGAATAGCTGCGGATAGCATGCAGAGTGATGCTACAAGTTTGTGCCATGTACTCCCTAGTGAAAACTGCCATATTACACAATGAGAGACACAAGTCTCTACAGTGTGTTAGCTCGTCATCAAGAGATGGGAAAAATAATAGAACATACATCTCAGTATCCAGAAGGGAACTCGAGTGTGTAAGTAGGTAGTACCTAAACGAATATATATTCTAAGTGCACATTAGCTCGTTATCAAGAGATGGGAAAAATAATAGAACACACATCTCAGTATCCGGAAGGGAACTGAGATGTCTACTGCTAAGGTGTAGTTTGTAAGTACAGGTAGAATAGGAAAAAAGATATTGCTTCAAGACATTCGGAGGAGCATACTCGGCTGATGTCACAATGGATGCGCTCATACTTAGTGTGGGGGGCAAAACTACTTGAGGTCAGTTTTGCCGGTTGCAACCGGCAGAACTGGCAAAACTGGTTGTTTTGCCGGGGTGGCAAAACTTTGAGCTACGTGAACGACATTCCTAATGAAGACATTAAAGTTTCCTCGTCCCATCCATCATCCTCGCCGTTGTAATTGACCACCTCAACCTCATCCAGAATAGCCTGTGGTATTATCCCTTGCTCGACACGATCTAACTCGTCGAAATCAAAAACATTACCCTCCAGCACTTCAACTTCGTCAATGTCATGAACTTCTTCTGTCCGCTTCAGTTCTTCGAGAGCCGCAAATTCAGCAGCAACGTTGTCAGGCGAGATACTCTCTGGACCAGCAAGCAGGTCATCTGCGTCACGAGGTTCGGCCGAGAGCGGAGGTGCCCATGCAAAGGATGCTTCAAGATCCTGTGCAGTCTCAACAGCAATGCCAACCTCTTCACGAGTGTGCATGTGAGCATGTCGACAGCGAGTGGACTTCCCAGCCTCTGCGGCTTTTATGGTGCTGTGGTGTCGAAGGTTCGCACAAATTTTTCCGAGTGTCTCAAATGTTTCAACTGAAAGATTACACCGTCGTGCAGATTGTGTTATGCCAAGATCAGAAAATGTGCGTTCTACTTCACCTGCATGCCCTACAATTGAGAGAATCGTGACAGCAAAGGCCTTGAGAGGGTGGATCTCGGAGTTGATTGGAAGGTTTTGCCACCAAGAAAGGCCGTCTGCGTGGCCACCAGCAAATGGAGCTACTGACTGATTGTAGGCCTGCAGATCATCAGAGAGTTTTTTAGCCATCATTATGTCCCATTTCCAACGTTTTGCAATGCCAAGTGCGATCTTAACCATGAATGCAAGGGACCTGCCATTGGCTACCTGTGTGACAGCGAGTTTCCGACACATTGGGTGGAGAAATAGAGCGAGCGAGTGAACTTCTGTATTCATGGTGTGAAAGCGGCAGTTGAAGACAGATCTCGCATGCAGCCAAAAGCCAACATGATAATCCTGTTCGCAAGCCAACTGGGACATCTGTTTGGCGCAGCGAAGAAGTTCTAGCATGCAGTCAGCCAGCGAGGCTTGGCGCGACTTGAGGTTGCCAACTGCATCAACAATAAACTTGACCGTCGTCACAATCTGTTCAAGAAGTCTCCAGTAGGGGAGATCGTTTAAGATTGTGTTTATAACCTCAGATGTGATGGGAGCTAGGCCATTGGTCTTCTTCTTGGCATCAGGATGCATGCAGATAAGAGTGAGTGGAGAACTATGATACGAGTATATTAGTTGCTTGTAGTTATTAGTGTGTGTATGAAGGGCAACTTACCGATACTCTAGCACACTTAAACATTGGAGAATCAATGCATAAAAACGTGACTCGCAGTTTTGCTTCATTTTCCGATTGATGTTGTGTTTCTTAGCTTCGTCATTGAGCTGTCCACCCCAATAGTGTGATGAATTGAAAAAGGTGACAACATGAGTGGTTTGAGTGACAATCTTCTTCATTTCTGGGAAGGACATGATATCTCCAATCAATGTATTCAAACTGTGCAGGAAGCATGCAAACGGCTGAGGTTCATTTCAGTATTCACTAGGACTTTAGCACAATGACATTGACTTATGAGAATCCAAGGGAATACCTCCTGGAGTTTGCGACGGTGTAGGACACGAGCTGGCGCTGGGCTCGTATCGAGCTATTTCACAGTACACGCCAAATACCTGTCACATGCTAATCACTTCCCGATGTTATCCGACGCTAACCCGCCAAACCGACGTTTAGGCCGCATCGGACCCGATGTTTTCCCGCGCACTTGTCCTATCCGTGTCCCGTCCCGTCTTGCTAGCCCCACTAGGTGTGTAGTTCATTATTTCGCACATTACTCACGTCGTAGCCAGCACTATTACATGTTTTCCCATAGTCCGCAGCGCCTCATGTTTATTTACATGTACTTCGGATCCGAAATACTCCGCCACTACTTTCGCCTATGGGTTCCGCATTTCTACGTACTTACATATATATTGGACTGACCTCGAGCATTATTCATTATCCAAGTAGAGGGGAGCAGTTCCCCGACGCTTAGTGGTCAAACCCGATATTTCGTAGTTCTTAGTTGATATTGCGAATATCATCGCTCTTTCATTATCCGTATCAGTCATTGTTATTATCGCGCACACCGCTCGCTCTTCCGACGCTCGCTATAGCGTTACTATTAGTTTCCGACACCCCGAACCAGAACCCGATACCCCGAAACCCCGAAAACATCGGACCCGACGCTTTTGCATCGGACATCGTAATTATACCTTCGGACATTGTTTCCCGCGCTCGGACTATTGACTCCACATCACTCACTTACCCCCAAGACTATTCCCAGACCGCAGACCCCTGGGTCGAACGCACTTGTCGTCTCAAGTATAGCAGACTAGGCAGTGCAAAGACCACAACAAAAATATATCAGTTTGGAGCCATCTTCGTATAGCCCCACTCAGTATTGTTGTTTCTACAACTGGAGCCCACCGCGAGGGGAACAGTCAGCAAGATCTACTTCTACGCACTTTCGCACTTAGCGCCATTTAGCGCATATACATAGGTCAATCCCTTTACATTGTCACAAGCTAACCATTTCTAGTCGCGCATTCTCGCGCCTCGCGCGCGCGCCTTTCCCGCGCTTCAATGCCCTTTAGAATGCCCATCCGCGGCACAGCAAACGCGCCCAAGTTCGACGGCACTACAGACAACCTCGCCGAGTTTATTGACACCTATGAGCAGCTCGCTGATGAAGCAGGACTCCAAGGACTTGATCGCATCAAAGGTATTATCCGCTACCTCGAACGCGATGATCGAGAACTATGGAAAGGCATGCCCGAAGCAGCAGTAGATGATTATGATGCATTCATGGCAGAAGTTAAGGTAATGTATCCTGGATGGGATGGTAAACGACGCTACGCGCTCGCAGACTTGCGCGCCATCGCGCGCGAATATGCTAACAAACCAATGCCCTCTTGCACAGAACTCAGCAATTACTTGCGCACATTCAGGAAGGTTATGCAGCCACTCATGGATGAAGACCGTATTGGAAAGGCCGAACGCGACCGCTTATTCATGGAAGGAATCCCCAGCAACACTCAGGCGCAAATTCGCTTGCGCCTTATGATCAAGTTCCCTGACCACCATCCATACGACCCATACCCATTTATGGACGTCTTTGCAGCTGCGCAGTTCCTATTAACTGCGCGCGCTTTTCCCGCGCCAAGCGCACTTGTTAGCGCGCCCATAGTAGTGCCAATTGTGAACTTAGTCTCAGCGCAAGCACCAGTGCAAGCCATGGTGGCTAAGTGCAAGGATCACTATCACGCGAGCCGCGCAACGCAGGATACGACTACTAGCGCTAATGTGACAACTGGACTCTTCTATCGCGCATCCTCAGAAGTTGTACTTGACAAAAGGCCACCAGTTCCTACTCTCGCGCCTCATGCACGCGCTTTTCCCGCGCCTTCGCGCGATTCACGCGCACCAGGACCATCAACCGCACCAGCACGCCAAGCCATACCAGACTGCATCGCTTTAGATCACGAACTCGAGCACGCGCTCGCGAAGCGCAACGAGAAGCGCATTGTAGGCGCCTCTTTGCCTTTATTATCAACACCATCTCCTTCACAATCTCCATCGCCATCTGCATCATCATCACCAATCGCATCGCCTATAGTCAGGGATGACTCTAAACATCTATTGCACACTAACGCGCCACTTGAAACACGCTCACCCATCTCCATCGCATCGCCAGGAGTCAGGGATGACTCTAAACATCTATTGCACAATAACGCGCCCATTGCGGAAGTTAGTAACGCGCCACCAGAAACACGCTCGCCTATCACTATTGCATCGCTTAAGGAAGAAATCTCGCCAATCGCACCATCACCATCACCGCTATCACCGCTCGCACCATCAGAGGTCAGGGATGACCCTAAACATCTATTGCGCCTTAGCACGCCTATAGAGGAGCCTTCTAACGCATCAGAGGCTCAAGTTACACCTCACGTCGACCAGAGTTTGTCTCTGGTAATTCAATCTGTCACTAACGATCACGCGCACATCGCGCTTTTTGCTTCTAGCGACTATCGCTTGCCATTGAAGCATCCGTGCATCACGCTGCCCAACCACCAAACAGAGCATGTCTCAGGCGACCCTGGGGTGACTCAGGCGCACCACATCGCGCCTCAGGACGCGCAGTGTGCGCACCTAGAGGCATTGTATATTTACCCTCGTCTCATTTCGCGCTTTTTGTCTTTTTCATGTTTAAAGCTCTTAAGGAGCTATATGACAATTCCAAACACATTAACTTCATCTTCGCACCACCCCTTGTTCACGCGCCATGATCGCGCGCATCGCGCGATAATTCCCGCGCCTCGCGCATTCATTATTTTAGCAGAGTTTTTGCACTATCGCATTTCTATCGTTTCTCCCCTTTTAAATCACATTTCTGTCATTCCACGCGAAATATATTCCAATCAGTCATCCAGGCGCGACTTAGGCGCGCGCCTGACACATACATATGCGCCTAACTCCCCTATCATCATCTTTAACTTCGCACTTTCCACGTTTATTTGCATTCTTCACATTTTCGCTTACCATGTCGATTTTGTTACTGCACACCCTGACGTGCACTATTCCTTTTCACCTGTGCGCCTATTGCGCCTTGATAAACCACCCTTACAGCCCATTTGCGCAACATTTGCGCCTAATTCCACGCTATATATGTCCCTCGCTAACACATTTGCAGAGAAATGGCCGTTCCTCGCGTGTTCGGCCAATATAATCAAATTCGCGCGAAATCGCCCTAAGGCGCGCACATCGCGCGCATCCTATCAGCTTGTAGAGCACCTCTACACCCCTCGCAGCGCCTCCCACTGGCGCGCCTTTAACCTGCAGCGCGTTGTGCAGGAATTCATTCTGCCAGTTACAAGCCCCCCCAAGCGCATTCCAACCCTACCTTGGGTAAAGTGTCAGCTCGCAAGAGACGCGTAGTGCGCTAGTCACGCGCACTCGCACGTGCTCAAGGAGGAGGATCGAGCGCTTCAGCGGCGCACTAAAGAAAAAACATATACCAACACTGTTTCATAGGATATCGTTCGTTTTACCCTGGGTTTCATCCAGCGCTCTTTCATTTTTATTTTCTCTCATTATAACACTGTCCAAAGGACTAATAACACTGATATATATGCATATAGGAATCGCCTAGAAGAACATAGAAGAAAAACAACAAAACAACCTTAGATTGTGCCTGCCTAGCTCAATAGGATATTATTTCTCTTCTTACACATGACGCAGCACCATGCTCTTTTTACCTTAGAACGCGCCCATATGCACGCAATCTTCCCGCGCCCATGCGCCTCATGCGCGCGTGCACGCACTTCCCGCGCCTTGCTCATAGGAGGGTGTAGATGTCGACAGCCGCACGAAGAAGACAAGTCGGATAGGACATCCGCAAAGTTTACTGTTTTTCCTTCGCATTTTCACATATAGTTTTACTCACACTGTTCAAACCCTTAACACCTAATATTTAGCGCGCCTAGCAGGACTTGGTTTGGACATGGATTGGATCGCTCTTGGACCGCGCCACTTCGCATCATGCCCACGCACGCATATTGGACTCTGAGATTATTGCGCGACAGCTCATGGTGTCCCCACAGAATACAACACATGCGACACTCATGCGCGTTCTCGCGCCTTGTGCGCGCGCACTCTCCCACGCTTCGCGTGCCACATTCATATCACTCTCGCACCATCGCCTCGTGCCCATGGCACATTGTTCACATCAGAGTCACCCTCGCAACTTGTCATGCTATGCTATATTCCCGCACCCCTGCGCCTAAATGCGCGCACATTCCCGCGCCTTCGTGTCTAACGCGCGCTCATCCACGTGCAACTTCCCGCGCTTCACGCATACCATGTGATAAATCCCTGCACTCACGCATTCATTGCCCAACAACCCAAGCACTGCACATGCATTGCACTCGCATACCACCACTTGAGATCCTCACCACACGCGCGCTGAGTGGGGACACTCAGAATTTAAGTCCCTGGGAGATGTAGAGACTCGTGCCTCGCATTGTGTGATATGGCACTTTCCACTAGGGAGTACACAGCACGACTTGCAGCATCACTCTGTGTGCTATCCACAGCTATTCCCTTGCGAGGCGCAGCTTTCCCACGCAATGCGCAGCATGCGCGCACGACTTCCCGCGCTTTACGATGTATACGCGCGCGCGCTTTCCCGCGCTTGAGCGCCCTATAGCGCCAGCCATCCAGAAGCATCCATCCACTGTCCACCAAGCTCTCTAGTGCGTATATTCCCATTTCTCTTATTTACATATCGTTCCACCTCTATTTTTACCATGGACCCTTACTTACATATATCTTTACATACCTACTCGGTAGCGCTTCGGCTCCGCATGACAGCGCTTAGGCGCCATATAAGCGCCAGCAGTACATATTATTAGACACTTTACTTTCCAACAAGAACTTTACCTCCCACTTACCACCCACATACTACCTAGGAGAACATAGTAGAAATCTATTCTTTGACACCTCGCGCTCGTATCTCTTGTCTAGTATCTAATCACCCCTTAAGCAAACTCACTCTTACTCTCTCTCATTACCGCTCACGCGCGCGCGCGCTTCCCGCGCCTCGCACGTACCTTCGCTTTCCCGCGCCTTGTGCGCACCTGCGCACTTTCTCGCGCTTCGCATCAGCCGACCAGTAGCGCCTTCGGCGCGCACTACTAGATCCTTGCTGCACTCGCTTCCCCTTTAGGGTCGAACGCACTTGTCGTCTCAAGTATAGCAGACTAGGCAACGCGCGACCTCACAACATTTACAGATACAGTCTGGAGCATCATTTGTTCCTCACAGTATTGTTGTTTCTACAATGGTAAGACTGCATGACTGTTGGATTATCTGTAGTCACAGCAATGAATTTTCTCCCATCCCCAACTTCCATATGATTCATGGCCTTCTGAGACACAGCCACTAGATTTTCGGCAGTGCCTCTCTGCCCAGTCATATTCTCGAGTGCAAGAACTACAGGAGGGTGATTGACCTCAACTGCAAGTGAGCCATACAGGCTCCTCCGTAGTAGATCCTCCCATCCATCCAGGAGAAGGGTAAGACATTTTCGGTCCTTAAGTCGGTTTATCTCCTCTTGTTGGACACGGACAGCTTCACTATCAAGCAGATGACGAGATAACACATAACGAGATGGTATGTGATACGAGGGACGGATTACATTGATGAACTCGTGGAAAAATACATCATCACCAACATGGAAGGGGATATTAGCGTGAATGAAAAAGCTAGTTTCAAGATTTAACAATTAGATTCAAGGCTCAAAGCTAGTAGGGATGACACGACACACCGAAGCAACTTTGCATTCGCTAGGTTATTTTGTTCCTTACTTAATGGACGATCAATATATCCATCTAGGTTCGAAGCTTTATGTTTCTTGATGGGAATGGCAGCAATAGTCGAACTTCCAGAAGCAGCCAGTGAAGTAAGAATAGCATTTGAATCAGTGGGGGCACCAGTCTTTTCCATAATAAATTGACGTGCTGCTTGGCGCAGAAGAGCAACTGCATTTGTACAGTGCTTGATGAGATGGTTTGGTAGGTTGTTGTCATGACCCTGGATTCGAGCACCTGATGAGTTGTCAGTGTCTCCGCAATGTCTGCATTTCCAGTAGTAGCGATGTGAGCTGTTTGGAACTTGTTCCAGGCGCTCGAAATTGTTGTTGATCAGTGATGCAAGGGGGCGTCCTCCACTATGCACCATCTTGCTCTAGGGATGTTGGTTTTTATGTTTTATTGGATTCAAAGTAAATGTTATCGTATCTAAGTTATATCTCCGCAATCTGAAGTTTTGCCAAGTTGTGCCACCCTCTGTTTGCATGAGTTTTGCCGATCACCGGGCACAACCGGTCTGGCACAACCAGTTGGCAAAACTCGGCTGTTTTGCCAACAACACTACGAGTCATACTGCTCGTACTGATCCCGACGTACCTGGCGGCACTGCTTCTAACAAAGTGTTCACTTCAAATCATTCCATCCTTTCTGCAGTCGTCTGCACCTCATTTTTTTATCAAGTTTGCATCTTACCACTTCTCATTAGTTTACTTTGTTACTGAAATAAAAATCAATCTTTGTAGTTCTACTGGCTCTGAGGGCAGGTGACCATCAACTTCACCGAATTGCTTAGTTTTTTCACTGGTCTCCTGTGTTCGATTTCTCTGATCAGTTTTGTCGTTTGGACCACATCAATAGCTTGCTTCATTGTTGAGATAAAAATCAATCTTTGTAGGATTATTTTTCAAAAATAAATGCATACTTTTTTTGGAAATTACCGCCGGCCTCTACCATTATGCAAATAGCTGTAACAGACATGAATCTCCATTGGTGACACAAAAACAAAAAAATTATTGAAACCTTTTGTTATGATTTTTTCAACATTTTCCAAAAGTTATGTGTGCTTCCAGTGTTAAGACTTTGTGTAAGATAAATCGGTCTATATTTTAAACCCGCTCCACATATCCATTCCTCAAGAAATCCCGCACACAAGATCCATGATCTCTATATCTTGCGATCGAAAATCGTATATTGTGCTCTGTCATCATGAAGGAAGAATTAATTCTTCGACGACCTTGGATTCGACCTTTCTCTTCACAGTCACGCTGCCGTCCTGCCATATTTTGATGTCAGACGTCAGAGATATAAATAGACAAGATGCGCGTTCACTGACCTCGTTACCAAAGTATGCGGCCTGAGCCATATCGCAGAACAGACCAACTTCCACGACACCTGTGAGCATTTTGATTTTTGCCAAAATCTGCAGTAATTGCCATTAGCACAAGCCTGAGGCAGTGGCAGAATTTCTCGCACAGTGGAAGGGTCCTTCATGATCTCTCTGGAGAAAGGCGCATCGATGACGAAATTGCTATTGTCAGTTACCACAGGACCGGCTTTGGCCTTTGCCATACGCAGGGTAGCGTTGGGGGAACCCAAAACATCGCGCAATTTACGCAAAACTTGGGCGTATGCGAATGGCACGACTTCGACTGGAACGCCAGGAGTGAACTGCGAATGATGATTACGACATTCCTCACTTGGAAGACCAGGCACGCACGTTTGTCCCGAGGTACTCCGCGTTTTTGCGATAGTCGGCTACCACAATAAATCTACAGTCCACTGATAAGGGAACTGAGACATCAAATATGATGGACGTACGTATTCGCAGCCTCCGCGAGTACCTTTTCCCGCAAGTGGCAGGCTCCGCCACCTTTAATACAGTTGAGGTCAAGGTCAACTCTGATGATGGTCAAGCTTGACGACTTTTCTGAGGAATCGAAAAAACTCACTCGTCAGCACCATCTATGGTGACGTCGATGGTAGGAAATTGATCAACGTCGCCTAGGTTGAGGTTCGACATGACGATGAGTTCCTTGGACTGGAATCCAGTCGGAATGAACACCCGATCCTTGTTAAGTTCGCGCCCCTGTGCGACGATTCGCTCCACAACATAGGGCACAGTAGATCCTGAAAAAGCGGTAAATAAAAGCCTATCTTAGCTGTAGTATGTGCAAACCAGATCCTATTCCGATAACCTTGCGGCAAAGAATAATAAATTCCAAAAGACAAATGAAGATGAAGCCAGTACTCACCTTATGTTCTGGGAGAATGTGTTTGTCCACAGCAGTGTATGCCGCTAATCGTTTGGACTGCTCAATGGCACTGAGCGTGGTGGTAGCTTTCATGGTGGTCAGCATTCCAGTCGTCTTCTACGAGCAAGATACACACCGATGGGAACAGCTCCAGTCAATACCGGCATGGTGACGGGGCGAGGGACGGGAGTTATTCTGGACCCATCAAAGTCAGCTCGGTTTTCATTCGATAAGCTTCAAGGGATTCCGGGAAGCGATTCGGTGCGGCAACATGATGCGAAACATCAAGCTAGTCCCAAATCGTCCACTCAAAACCGTCTTGGCTCCAAGTTGAACAACTTTCCGAGAAGTCGGAAACTGCGGGTCTAGTGGGTACACAGCAAAGTAGATCACTTACGGAGTCTGTGCGGACGCCAAGTGCGTTTTTGCTGAAGAGAATGGGCGGTGGTGGTCGATAAATATTCGAAATGATGGAGCGCGCGAGGGGTAGCATAGGTACTTATGAGGATTGCATAGATATAAGGACATGCGTGTGCTCGACGGGTCTATTCTCGGTCAGACTGTAACGCTTGTGTTACTCACGCGCCCATCACCAACTTCACTGCTTTCAGTGCGTTTCACGGCAACGCTGAGAACAATTCTGTCTTCTTCTCATTGATTACCATTGGCGTGTTCCACAGCTCGTTTCTGGGAAGTATTTCGCACATACTGGTAGCCTGGATTGTGGAGTTGCGTGGAAAGTCGTGAGCTCTGCCGTCACAGACTCGGAAGCGGTCGCTCAAACATGAGGGCCATTAAAGGTGCGTTCTTGTATTCAACCTCCTTTGAGGTAATTCACAATGCGCAGGGGTGCTTTTAACTTGGTTTGCAGTCATTTTTCGTCTTTCAAAGAAACTATAGACCGATCGTTGGGCACTCACGCTTGCAGTGACTCCGCTGTTAAGCAAATACTACTCACGATGAATGAGAAGGATCCTTTCGTTATTGAGGATTTAGATGATTACCATCTGGTTATCAAGGCAGATGAGGAATATAGAGTGAGGAGGGAGCTCGAAGCTGAGGTATGAATTTTGATGTATCTGGAAATCTATCTGACAAGGAATTGTTGCAGTTGGAGAAGAATACATACAGTCTAGAAACAAACTAGTTTTTCGCCCTCATTCTACAGCATAAGTACTTGCCCTGCTGTGGCCTTAGGTCTGTCTGTGACGCTGCCCATAATCTATCGGATTGGGCTCGACGTTATGGTGGTGCCTTACTGGTTAAGATCTTCTCGAATGAAATACTCAAGGTGCGTCGTTTCTACACTGAAATGCATATCACGGGGACCTGCGTCAGGCAGACGAAAGGAAATATATGACGGGCCGCGAAATCTACCTAATAGCTGATCTTCCCCAGGGAGTTTCATTCAGTTGACATGTGAACAGTGGTCACAAACTTCTCCATCCATACGGTTCACCCATGCCAAATTACAAACAAAACTCTTTCCTTCATCCAGGTGAAATACAAATGTATATGTACGTAACCAGCTCTGGCAGCATCACCCTTCTAACTGCTCGAACCCGGAAACGTGCGCTCTGCGACAAATAAACCATTCAGACACGATGAGGCGTGTTTGTGCAGGGAACTGGACATTTTCTTACCCATATCTTGAATTAGCACTGCGTTACCAGGTATCCAAGGGCTGGCCATACGATTACTAGGCGGCCGAATTCATGCAAGCGAGTTGCTTGCTCTCAGAGGCAATGCCATCCCCAAAACGCACTAATGGCACCGCCACCCTGTTACAATGGCAATTAGAGAGGAGTACACGAGCAGAAGACTGAACCTAATGCGGACCAGAGTTTCCTACGACCCGAGTGAAAAGCGAATTGCGATATCACTCAGGCTGCTGTAAGGTGCCGTATAAGAAGTATCATATAGACATGCAGGCCAGTTATCTACTTCCCATCATGTGGTATCAAGGTATGCTGACATGCGCTGATCTCACATGTTCATTTTGACTGCATCGTCTATATGTTGGTCACAGCCACTAGTGCCGGTGGCTCCTCGGCGCGGAAACCAGCGACAACGACGGAGTCTACTCTGCCTTGGTCTACACTATTACCATGGTCATGTCAACGCGCACACTAACCCCATACCATTCACCACAACGCCACCGCCGCCTTAGGTATAAAATATTGTCATCGTTTGGGACCCGAGCACGCTGCACCGCTATAGACCAAACCCGGACCCGGGGTGCCCAACCCTAAGTTATGGAAGCACCTGAAGTCTTCTAAACCTTCAAGTCAGCAGGCCTAGCCATTATCTAAATTTCGTTATGTAACGATGCTAATGAGTGAGCGGTGCATTTATGAACATAATTTGACTGCAAGTACAGCTGGTTGGCGCCTCTACAAGGTTAAGTTAAGTTAGGCACGAGTCTAGGTTTAGCAAGAACGACGGCATTTTAGAATTGAGCATGCATCAACCATTAGCTTGAGGCTAGTGGTCATCGCCTGTTACTTCGGTTCTAAGATGAGCCGGTTGTCAATTCGCATCTGAGCCGATTTATTCCCAGATTAGGGGGCGATGATCATATCGCTATCAGACCACATCGATCACTCAGTACTAAGTACTTGAAGTATATCTCCCCTTCAAATCGGCTCGCATCGCGTCTCTTTCTTCCCTCAACTTGATTGCAGATTCAAAGGAACACATCATGGACACTGTCCCGGACATCTTGAAAGTGTCCATTCTCGGACGAGAGTCCATCCACTGCGGTTTCCACTTGATCCCATACATTGCACGTACAGTGCTCACCACACTTCCCGCATCTGTCTATGTCCTCGTAACAGACACAAATGTAGCCCAGTTCTACCTCTCTGCCTTCGAAAAAGCTTTCAGTGCAGAGATCAACAAGGTGTGTGTCCTTTCTATCCGCTCATTTCATGTCTTTGTCTTGCATTCCAATCTGACTCCCATTTCAGCTTTCTTCCGCCAAACCGCGTTTCCTCTCCCGTATTATTTTACCTGGAGAGACGACAAAGTCTCGTGAAGGAAAGGCCGATATCGAAGACTTTCTCCTTCTCGAGCGCTGCACTCGTGACACCGTCATCCTCGCTCTTGGTGGAGGTGTCATTGGTGATCTTGTTGGTTTTGTTGCTGCGACCTTGTGAGTGAACCCTATAGGCTTCCTTCCGAGCTATCACATCATTACTATCCATCTTTCTGCGCGATTTCCATCCCATCCTCGACTTTTCATATCCTTCCTGTAATATGCTTGTCTCTGGCCAATACTAACCTTCTTGCAGCATGCGTGGTGTGCGATTTGTTCAGATCCCTACTACGCTTCTTGCAATGGTGGATTCCTCCGTGGGCGGAAAAACTGCCATCGACACCCCTGCTGGCAAGAACCTCATCGGCGCGTTCTGGCAGCCCGAATACATATTCATTGACGCTGCATTCCTTGAGACCCTTCCTGAGCGCGAGTTCAGCAATGGTATGGCTGAGGTTGTCAAGGTCCGCTTGTTCCTAGTTTCCTACAAGTCCACTTTATAACGTGCCCTTAAAGACCGCAGCGATATGGGATGAAACCGAATTTAATTCCCTCGAAAATAACGCTCAATTGATCTACAATGCTATTCGTACGCCTTCCACAGGCTCTGCAGGTCGTCACATTAGCACGCGCTCTACCTCTCAATCTCTCCTCCTCTCCGTCATCCGAGGTAGTATCTACGTCAAATCCCACATCGTCACCATCGATGAACGCGAGACCGGACTCCGTAACCTTGTTAACTTCGGACACACCATTGGCCATGCCATTGAAGCCGTTCTAACGCCACACATGCTCCACGGAGAATGCGTCAGTATCGGTATGATGTTTGAGGCGGAAGTTGCCCGGGGAATGGGCGTATTGAAGCAGGTGGCCGTCGGAAGACTCGTGAGGTGTCTCAGAGCATATGGGTTGCCCGTAAGCTTGGCAGATCAGAGAGTAAGCAGATGCCCTGGTGCTCGCGACCTTAGTGTCGACAGGCTCCTGGATATCATGCGCGTCGATAAGAAAAACTCCGGCCCTCAGAAAAAAGTGGTCATCCTCTCCCGCATTGGAGCCACATACGAGCAGAAAGCGACAGCCGTTGACGATGTAGTCATTGCCAAGGTCCTTTCGGAGGCTGTTACAGTCAAGGTTGATCTCAGTGCTACTTCGCTGGGAACACAACATGTCAAGATGGCGACGCCGGGCAGCAAGAGTATCTCCAACCGTGCTCTAGTGCTGGCTGCGCTTGCGCAGGGCACGTGCAGATTGAAGAACTTATTGCATTCGGATGATACACAAGTGATGATGGCGGCATTGCAAGAGCTCCAGGTCTTACTGTTTCATCTTCATTCATTATTGTTGTTGTTAACTCGCTTTGTATAGGGCGCTTCCTTCACGTGGGAAGATGGAGGTGAAACGCTGGTGGTCACAGGCGGCGCAGGAGCCCTTCAAGTCCCCAAAGCAGGACAGGAAATTTATCTTGGGAATGCAGGCACCGCTGCACGCTTCCTCACCACTGTCTGCACGCTCGTATCTCCCTCCGCCGCTGCCAATTCTGGAACCACCACTGTCATCACAGGCAATGCTCGCATGAAACAGCGGCCTATTGGCCCTCTTGTAGATGCCCTGCGCGCCAACGGATCTGAAATTACCTACAACGAATCCGAGGGCTGCCTACCACTAAGCATCGCGCCCAAAGGACTCCAAGGCGGCGTGATCCGTCTCGCAGCAAGCGTGTCGAGCCAGTACGTCAGCAGTATCCTTCTCTGCGCGCCGTATGCAAGGGAGGCGGTGACTCTCGAACTTGTGGGTGGCGCTGTTATCTCACAGCCATACATCGATATGACAATCGCGATGATGCGCACATTCGGAGTGATTGTCACGCGTGACCCGGGAACCGACGTCTACCGAATTCCTCAGGGCACATACGTGAACCCCGCCCAATACGCGATTGAAAGCGACGCGAGTAGCGCAACGTACCCACTTGCTATTGCTGCCATCACAGGGACAACATGCACGCTCGAGAACATCGGAAGCGGAAGTTTACAGGGCGATGCTCGTTTCGCCGTAGACGTGCTTGCACGCATGGGGTGCGAGGTAGTGCAGACTGCAAATGAGACGACCGTCACTGGTCCGAAGAGGGGCGAGCTGAAAGCGATTGGAGAGGTGGATATGGAGCCGATGACGGATGCGTTTTTGACAGCGTGCGCCCTTGCTGCCGTTGCGCAGGGCGGGGAGGGGAACACGACAAGGATCGTTGGGATTGCGAACCAGAGAGTGAAGGAGTGTAATCGTATCAAGGCAATGATTGATCAATTGGGTGGGTTCTTCGATTGTGTCTAATCGCTGCTCACTCTCATGACTGACTGAACCTTCACAGCCAAATTCGGCGTGCAGACCAAAGAACTGGATGATGGACTCGAGGTGTATGGTCGCCCATTCAACACCCTCACCCGTGGCGCGAGCATACACTGCTATGACGACCACCGTGTCGCGATGGCGTTCAGCGTCTTAAGTACCATCGTGCCCGACACAATCATCGAGGAGAAACGTTGCGTCGAAAAGACATGGCCCAACTGGTGGGATGATTTGGAAAACAAGGTATGATTCACATCTTTCTTCACTCTCCCTCAAGCTTGGTCCTAACATGTACACCCAGATAGGCATCAAAGTTGGGGGCATCGAGCTCCCGCATGCTGAGAGCTCCACCGCTGCTACTTCTGGAACACCCTCCCCTGCAGCCTCTGCATCCGTGATCCTCGTTGGCATGCGCGGTTCAGGCAAGACACACGTCGGAACACTCGCGAGCGTTGCTCTCTCTTGGCCATTCATTGATGCAGACCATTTCTTCGAAGCCAAACACAACATTAGCGTACGCGAGTTCGTACATATCAACGGGTGGCCTGCATTCCGTGCCGCAGAGACGGAGAACTTGAAGCAGATCATTCAAGAGGCTGGAACGGGACACGTGGTCAGCATGGGTGGTGGGATTGTGGAGACGGCTGAAGCCAGGGATATTTTGAGGAACTACGCAAAGACGGGCCCCGTCGTGCATGTCCTGAGGGACATTGAGGAGATCGTGAGCTACCTTGGTGAGGAAAACGCACGTCCTGCGTACGGCGAGCCGATTACCGAGGTATTCAAACGAAGGGAACCATGGTTTATTGAATGCGCCAATTACGATTTCATCAACCATATCACCGTTGACGGCGGCGAGGCAACCAACGCAGAGATTTCTCGTTTCTTCAAGCACATTACAGGCCAGCCGAACCTCGCGGGGAATGTTGCTCCCGGGAAGCGTAGCTACTTCTTGTCGCTCACATATCCCGATGTGGTACCCGCTTTGCGCCACATGCCAGACCTCACAACGGGCGTTGATGCTGTAGAGCTGCGTGTAGATCTACTGCGCGCCCCTGACACACTAGGCTCCATCCCTTCGCAGGCTTACGTTTCCGCACAGGTCGCTTCGCTACGCCGGGCGACAAGTCTCCCAATCATATTCACTGTGCGCACGATAGGCCAGGGCGGCGCGTTCCCGGACAACTCGGAGAAAGACGCGTTTGAGCTCCTTGGGCTTGCACTGCGACTTGGAGTGGAGTATGTTGATGTGGAGATCTCTGCATCTGAGAAGCTCATTACAGAACTCGCCGCTCGCAAGGGATTCTCCCAAATCATCGCATCGTGGCACGACTGGAGTGGAAAGATGAAGTGGAACGAAGATGTCGTGAGAAGCAAGTACGCGCTTGCGAGCCGACTAGGAGACATTGTGAAGATCGTCGGAAAGGCGGACGCTTTGCAGGACAACTTTGCGTTGCATGATTTCGTTACGAGGGCTAACCTGCAGCGGGGCGCGAAACCGATCATTGCGATCAACATGGGCGTGGAGGGTCAGATGTCACGTATACTAAATGCGACTTTGAGCCCCGTGACCCACCCTCTTCTCCCCTCGAAGGCAGCACCTGGCCAGCTTTCCTTTGCGCAGATCCAGAAGGCGCTGAACCTGCTGGGTCAGCTTCCTGCGAGACGCCACTACTTGTTCGGAAATCCCATAGCTCATTCCATGTCCCCGACTCTTCACAACACTGGATTTGAGGTCCTGGGGCTTCCCCACACTTATGAGCTTCTCGAGACAGCTAATGTTGGTGAAGAAATCAAAGCCACCTTGGCTGCTCCTGACTTTGGAGGAGCCTCTGTGACCATTCCCTTCAAACTCGACGTCATACCCCTCCTTGACAAGCTTTCGCCAGCCGCTGAAGCTATCGGGGCCGTGAATACCATTATACCAGTCATCGAAGGAGGAAACCGCATCCTCCGCGGTGACAACACCGACTGGCTCGGCATTCGTGAATCCATCCGCTCTCGTGCACCATCCATCGGTGCACCCGCTGCTGCCCTCGTTATCGGCGCAGGAGGGACTGCCAGAGCCGCCATCTTTGCGCTTCAGTCCTTGGGGGCTCAACGCATCTACCTGTTCAACCGAACTGCAAGCAAGGCGCAAGTGCTTGTCGAAGCGTTCCCTGACGCTCCCGTCAAGCTGATCGAGACGCTTGATGTCTGGCCTGCTGAGGGACCTGCACCAACTGTCATCGTATCCACTGTCCCAGCAAGTGCGACAACCACCGACTGCACTAACCCAGGTGTACTCCTGCCGCTGGCGTTGTTTGACGCGACCGTGAACGGCGTGGTCGTGGATATGGCATACAAACCCGCAGAGACACCTCTTCTCACGCTCGCGAAGAGTGCAGCTCCCAACTGGGCAAGGGTTATGGGAGTTGAGGTGCTCCTAGAGCAGGGTTATGCGCAATTTGAAACTTGGACGGGACAGAGATGTCCGAAGCATGTCGTGTCGAAGAGTGTGTTGGAGAAATATTTTGCAGTTGCCTAGGTGGATTTGTGTCTGTATCTGGATGTTAAAAGGTTGTTGATTAGCTTGGTATCAATACATGTATGTTGTACGATCTAGATGGCTATCGATGCACTTTGTTTCAAAGTTCCGAATTATCTACTACACAGGAGGGAGGGCATTTATCTTCAACCAATCCGGGGTAGAACACTCCTGCACTGTCCCTTCCCCCTTTCCCTCCCGCTTTATTCTCTATTGAGCCTCTGATATCATCAACTCCAAAACGACTGTCTTTCTTTTTGTTCTGGCTAGGGGAGACTAGATCAACTCACTACATTATCAGTATGTTTTGTAGACACTCACTTCTTTTTGCTACGCTGCTCATTATCCTAGTCGTGCCCGTCGTACTCAATACCCGACCCGAGTTCCTTGCGCTTCTTGTCTGGTGCAAAAGGTACGATGCGTAAATGAATAAATGACAAATAAGTTATACCTACCTCCAGTGCCTGGGCCGTCATACCAAGCATATATTATGAAGTCAGTCTTCAGCTCCTCGCGCTTCTTGTCCTCTTCTAAGAGATCACGTTGAAAGTTCGTGTCAAGTTCCCGTCGCTCAACTGAGTGGTACATTGGCATCTGAGTGAATATGATACTGCTGATGATCGTGAATACTCACAAGAACGTTTCGAGATGGCTCCAGGCATAGGTGACGCTGCAGCAAGAATGATGAAAGATGATATAAGTGCGCTCAGGAGTACATGACGCTGCATGTTTAGGGATAAGAGGAGGCGATTACTATTCGTTCGGATGAGAACTTTTTATACATTCTCAGGGGTCCGCTCGATTTTAGCCTCTTCCACCGACGAAGTTCGCACAACACATGGAGCCGAGACCCAGTCTCCGATAAACAGATTTGAGAAAACAGCCGTGATGAGTTGCGTGGCAATTGCCCAGTGACTGATACAAATGAGTCCGCTGCGGCGGAAGCTTCAAGTTCATCGCCATTCGTACTAGGTAACGTTTGGTAGTGTGTGAGGAGCCGCCACGTCGTAACCCATGCATGGATGAAAATTCAAACATGTTGTCATGATTGCCAGCATCTTTTGCAGTCATCAAGTGGAGTTTAGTCTTGCCGATCTACAATTTTCAAGTCCGAAAAATAAGCATGAAAAAGTGAACTCGTGATTTACTGATGACTGACTGGAAGGATAAATCGTGCGCGTGATGGCCAAAGGTTAGATACTTAAGTCTCCACACCTTGTCGGAGCGCTACTGGTGAACATGACATCAAGTTTGCCACAGGTCTCCGAGCAGGACACTTGGAATGGCAGCATGCTAGTGAGCGATGTTTGAGATTCTTCGGAGCACCACGTCAGCCATGCGTTTGAGAATAGTAAGATCTGTACATCGTCTCGTTCTACAGCAAGCTCACATCGGGTGAGAATTTATCGAGACCACCATAATTATGAAGGAAGTTAGCAGGCGATGGCGCACGCACACCAATCAGCGACAACCATTGGGTTTAGTGGCCTCAGGAAACAGAATCATCCAGGAGCAAGTGTCTGGGAAGCGTTTCTGCTGCATCATTCTTGTCCTCTGGCCTAGATATGTAAGCTTCTCTGACATTCTGGATGACATAAACCTACATCTCGCTCGTTTCATGAACTCTATGATAATGCGACAGTTATTATGAACTTCTCGAGACAGCTGATGGCGAAGAAATCATAGCTACCTTGGCTGCTCCTGACTTTGGAGGCGCCTCTGACCATTCCCTTCAAACTCGACGTCATACCTCTGCTTGACAAGCTTTCGCCAGCCACTGAAGCTATCGGGGCCGTGAACACCATTATGCCGGCAATCGAAGGAGGAAACCGCATCCTCCGTGGTGACAACACCGACTGGCTCGGTATTCGTGAATCTATCCGCTCTCGTGCGCCATCTATCGGTGCACCCGCTGCTGCCCTCGTTATCGGCGCAAGAGGAACCGATAGAGCCGCCATTTTTGCGCTTCAGTCCTTGGGGGTTCAACGCATCTACCTGTTCAACTGAACTGCAGGCAAGTCACAAGTGCTCGTCGAAGCGTTCCCTGACGCCCCTGTCAAGCTGATCGAGACGCTTGATGTCTGGCCTGCTGAGGGACCTGCACCAACTGTCATCGTATCCACCGTCCCAGCAAGTGCGACAACTACCGACAGCACTAACCCAGGTGCCGTACTCCTTCCGTTGGCGTTGTTTGACGCGACCGTGAACGGCGTGGTCGTGGACATGGCATACAAACCCGCAGAGACACCTCTTCTCACGCTCGCGAAGAGTGCAGCTCCCAATTGGGCAAGGGTTTTGGGGGTTGAGGTGCTCCTGGAGCAGGGTTGTGCGCAATTTGAAACTTGGATGGGACGCAGATGCCCGAAGCATGTCGTGTTGAAGAGTGTGTTGGAGACATGTTTTGCAGCTGCCTGGGTGGATTTGTATCTGTATCTGGTTGTTAAAAGGTTGTTGATTAGCTTGGTATCAATACATGCATTGGAAGGCTGCGAAGGGGAAAGTTGACGAAGATGGGTTATAAAAGATGAGTGCAAAGATAATTGAGATGAGTGAGAGAAGGCTTGAGACGGAGACTTTCTGTGAGGTTTTCGGTCGTACTTGGAGCGGGGATCTTGGTATAGAATTCGCTGTAGATATCAACTGTACATGGGCTAGTTATAGTCGCGAACCATAAGGGTCCTCGGATGGCTAGGCCGAATGATTAGGTGAAAACGGAGGCAGAGAGTAAGTGGCGTTGAATCCTGACAGGGTGTACTAGTGAGAGCGAGAAAGAAAGTACGAGAAACTGAATGAGTGTCGTACGAAAGGGTTCAGTTTGGACGGAGTGACGAGACTCGCATAACAGTTAACAGTTTTCGGTACGGCAAAAGGAGAATGGGGAAAACAGTAACGAGAGGAAAGATTGAGGGTCAATATCGACGAAGGGTGTCATGTAGGAAGAGACTAAAGACCGTGCTGGTTGTTGACGATAGTGAGGTGAAGGGAAAAGGAGTGCATCAGCGAGTCACGTGGACTGTTGCGAACCTTTTTGAGGTGCGGGCCGTGCGTAGAGGATGGGCAATCCTTACAGTATATGTTGTACGATCTAGATGGCTATCGATTCAAAGTTCCGAATTCTCTACTACACAGGAGGGAGGACATTTATCTTCGACCAATCCGGGGTAGAACACTCCTGCACCGTCCCTTCCCCTTTCCCTCCCGTTTTATTCTCTATTGAGCCTCTGATATCATCAACTCCAAAACGACTGTCTTCTTTCTTTGCTTTCTGGCTAGGGGAGACTATCAGCTCACCACATTTCTCCTCTATCAGTATGTTTTGTAGACACTCACTTCTTTTTGCTACGCTGTGTATTATCCTAGTCGTGCCCGTCGTACTCAATACCCGACCCGAGTTCCTTGCGCTTATTGTGCTCTTCTAGGAGATCACGTTGAAAGTTCGTGTCAAGTTCCCGTCGCTCAACTGAGTGGCACATTGGCATCTGAGTGAATATGGTGATGATCGTGGATACTCACAAGAACGTTTCGAGATGGCTCCAGGCGTGGGTGACGCTGCAGCAAGAATGACGAAAGAGATAAGTGCGCTCAGGAGTACAGAAAGCTGCATGTTTAGGGATAAGAGGAGTGACTACTCGTTCGGATGAGGGCTTTTTATACATTCTCGGGCCCCCGGGGGTCTGCTCGAGTCCACCGACGAAGATTGCACACATGTCCAGATCATGGTAAGCGGATAGCAGCCAGGAGTTGTCGAGAATTTCAAGTTGTAGCACCGCCGCGATACAGCATGATATGGAACCAAGACCCAGTCACCGATAAACAGATTAGAAAAAACAGCCGTGATGAGTTGCGTGGCAATTACCCAGTGACTGGTGCAAATGAGTCCGCTGCAGAAGCTTCATCGCTATAAGTAGGTAACGTTTGGTAGTGTGAGGAGCTTCTACGTCGTAACTGGGGCCCTGGGTCATGATTGCCAGTATCTTTTGTAGTTATCAAGTTTTGCCAATCTACAATGGAAAGATAAATGGAGATGGCCAAAGGTCAGGTACTTAAGGCTTCACACCTTCAAGTACCACGTCAGCCATGCGTTTGGCAATAGTAAGATCTGTACATCGTCTCGTGGGTCGAACAAACTGCATCGAGTCGACATTTCTTGACCTTCCTTTTTTGCAACTTGCCGCCGGGTAATTCCAAAAAAGGAGCGGATACTCCGTGTCCATTAATGTTTCTGTTGTGAACCATCATACCAGGTACGACTCGGATGAGAATTCGTGACAGAGAGCTGAATGATAGGTTTACGATTTTCAACCTGTTTCAATTCTCTGTTGAGCCTCTGATATCATCAACTCCAAAACCAAGAAGGAATGTCTGTCTTCTTTCTGTTTGTTCTGGCTAGGGGAGATTAGATCAACTCACCATATTTCTCATCTATCGGTGTGTTTTGTAGACACTCACTTGTAAGAATATTGCCTATCCTCTACACACGGATTATGACTAGGCGCTGTCCGAGTCCACGTGACTCACCGCATCACTCAGATTCACTCTTCGTATCCGAGCCATGCCGCTTTCTCCTTTGCACTCACTTTTGTTATCTCACCTTGTGCTCAAACTTCACGATCTCCTTGCTTCACCGAGGTATTTTCATCTCGCCATATGCTTCCCATGCTCATTATGGCCTAGTCAAGTATTCGAAAAACGTATATATACTTATACTCCCCATGTACACTCATACCTACAGCGAATCCTATACTCAGACCCCCGCTCCAAGAACCTCAGAAAGTCTCTAGAACGTGTCCGTCTCAAACGTCTCGTTGCTCGTCTCATCATTTGCTCTCGTTTCGTATCCGAGTCTTGCTCGCATTCCCCTTCGAACTCATAGTACAGCCGCCTTACACACTTGTTTTTGCTAGGCTGTTTATTATCCTAGTCGGCCTCGTTATAATCAATACCCGACTCGAGTTCCTTGCGCCTCTTGTCTGGTGCAAAAGGTGCGATGCGTAAATGAATAAATGATAGATATATTATACCCCCACCTCCAGTGCCTGAGCCATACCAAGCATAGTATGGATTGAAGTCAGTGTCCAGCTCCTCCGAGTCGCGCTTCTTGTCCTCTTCTAGGAGATCACGTTGAAAGTTCGTGTCAAGTTCCCGTCGCTCAACTGAGTGGCACATTGGCATCTGACTGAATATGATCATGATCATGGATACTCACAAGAACGTTTCGAGATGGCTCCAGGCGTGGGTGACGCTGCAGTAAGAATGACGAAAGATATAAGTGCGCTCAGGAGTACAGAAAGCTGCATGTTTAGGGATAAGAGGAGCGACTACTCGTTCGGATGAGGACGTTTTATGCATTCTCGGGGGTCCGCTCGATTTCAGCCTCTTCCACCGACTAAGATCGCACACATGTCCAAAACGTGGTGAGCGGATCTCAGCCACGAGTTGTTGAGGTGTAGCACCGTCGCGATACAGCATGCAATATCTGACATGGAGCCAAGACACAGTGACAGGTAAACAGATTCGAGAAAACAGATGTGATGAGTTGCGTGGCAATTGCCCAGTGACTCATACGGATGAGTCCGCAGCAGAAGCTTCATCGCCATCAGTAGGTAATGTTTTGTAGTGTGTGAGGAGCCGCCACGTCGTAAACCCATGCATGGATAGATATTCAAACATGTTGTCATGATTGCCAGCGTATTTTGTAGCCATCAAGTTTTGCAAATCTACAATGTTTGGAAGGATAAATCATCATGGCTAAGTGCTTCAAGTTAGTCACCCCACCTTGTCAGAGCGTTCCTGGTGAACATGTCATATTTGCCACAGGTCGGTGGCAGTCTCCGACCAGGACACTTGGAATGGCATCACGCTAGTGAGCGATGTTTGAGATTCTTCGGAGTACCACGTCAGCCATGCGGTTGAGAATAGCAAGATCTACACAAGTTATGTGATCGTCTCGTTCTACGGCAAGCTCACATGGGTCGAACGAACCTAGGAACAGAGGAAAAGATAACTAGTAGCCCTCAAACATCTTGCGTACTCACACTGTTAATGATTCTGCTGTGAACCCCATGCCAGGAGCCACCATGGTACGACTCGGATACTGAGAATTCGTGACCGCCAACAGAATGTGTTGAGATGTAAGTTTGTTGCCAACAATGTTTACATAATAATAATTTTCGACTTACTTAGTACATAGCTAGGTTGTTTCTTTACGTAATTGTTACAGAATGTTATAGTCAAAATCGTTTATCGTTTATCCTCTAAATTATCCTACTAGTAAGATGGTAATAGTGGAGACGCAAGGCGAACTCAGACTTCGTGCCATGTTAATGTTGCATGTGGAATACATAAACCTCAGTGTTACACAACAACCCTTTGCGGGGAGACTCTATGATAATGCGACAGTTATTCTACTAAGACACCAATAGCCGCTTTCCTCCCACAGTATTCTTGAACAAGTGCAGTGAGCAAGTAAGTGAGCACTATGATATTCCTCATTCCTTATCACCTTTTGGTCTTGGGAGGTTAACCGTATCTGGGTAGCGAGTGACCTCGGTTTCAGCGATATGGATGGAGTTTTTGATGGACCAATCCCAGATTTTGTCGAAGTTCCTGCATCGATGACGGGTGTTGAAGTTAGGGTAAGGGTCCGTCTCTCCTTGAACCCAGTACCATGAGATCATCGTCGTGTCGGCACGGCACATAATATTCTGCCTTATCATTTCGGTGCAGTGATCTGGACCGTAACGATATTCCATAAGCAATAGTGCTTCGAGGCAGAAATAATATTCACCGATATGCGCACGAAGTACTCTTGGGGTGGTTTGGAACACAGGTTCTTTAATGGACTCGTAATACTCCGACTAAGAGGCTTGGCGAAGCAAGTTCTACACTAGTGTGAGCCAAGAATGAACATATTGTCGGTGCAGTATAGCTTACCACGCAATGCAATTGGTGGATGGCTTCCATAAAACCAATGTACTGTCCACCAATTTTTTCTGGATACCTGGCTTTCCAAGGCAATTCTGCCTCGCTTGTGCCTCCTTTTAGTATCTCTTCGCGGGTCATTTGAGTTACTGGGTTTTACGGAGGTGGACAATTTATAATCAGCATAGCGAGACAACAACGCACAATTATTAGCTATCCCATTCCAAGCGGCATCAATTTCTGGCGAAGGAGGACCACGATAGATAGAAGGAAAGTCGAGGGATCCGTTAAACCTTATAAATACGGGCTCGACAGCAACACTTGCTGGAGCTGTGATGGGTTATAAACTGTACTATTCGATGTGATCTTTCCACTTACTGTATATATTAGGTGTGTCGTTGATCAGCTGAGTCGAAGGCGTACGCATCCATAACGCAAAAGAGAGAATCGATGTGCAAATAAGTACGCCATGGGACAACCACAGGCGAAGGGCATGTGACTTGAGACGAGATTCTGCACCGAACCTTTTTGCTGGTTTCTCGTCGTCGTCGACAGTATCTATAGGAGAGTACTGCGAGAAATATTTGATCATGACCTTTGGGTAAGGTAACTCCGTTTATTACTGCCAGTGAATACGAGGGAGAGGGGGAAGAGCTGGGGTTTGGGTTTAAGCTTAGCCTTTAAATTCGTGTGGGATGGGGGCTATCGAAAATATGCTGCACCTGGTCATCTCATACGTAGCGTACATTGTATGGATGTGGATGAATCATGATGCATGAATCACGCGCACGGCCCGCGGTCTGGCCCGGCACTTCATAACCAGCTATGCCTCGACACACGTGGTTGATGCCAGCAGAGAGTACCAGATAGCGTCACAGTTGATGCGCCTATTTGATACAAACACTTCCTTTCGATTCGGAAGTGACTGCGTACTGCCGACGTGGCGGCTATTCAAAACGTTACGCTCCCTGAACGTTATCGTATAGTTGGTGTAACACTAGACACCAACTGAGACAGCTGTCTGCAAGCCGAAGGAATGATGAACCGTTTCGTTCGAGAATGTAAAGATTTTATAATCATTAAACTGAATTTGATGATCAGGGCCGTCACAGAAATCACGGATGTTCTTGATGTGTGAGCATTCGTTCCTAGGATGTCCGGGTGTCAAGCTGCTGACTGAAAGTGTCCATGCCGAGGTATTCTTCCATCAATAATCACCGCCAACTTTGTCACCCTTTTCCTCCTCGTTCACTCGTATTTGTTCCAGTACATGAATGTGTGTTACCGTGGTGATTTTGTTTCGTAGTAGGACAAGAGGGAACGAGCGGACTCGGGCAATTGGACTTCGAGTACTACTTATGCAGAATCATCCTATGGTAATTGTCAAAGTTAGATCTGCCAAATCGTGCCCATAAGCATGCGTAGGATATAAAAGCTGGTTGCCACCTACAGTGTTCCCCCATCCTCAGATATCATCCTATTTACTCTTCAGGATCCCGTATCACCTTGCACAGAAGATGCGTTTCTCCCCCCTCGCCATTGTTGTTGCTTTGACAACATCTATGTTTGTCAGTGCATGTTTGAGCAAGGGACAATCATGCATAATAGACGAAGCTTGCTGCGATAACTTGATTTGTGGCTATGGTAGAGTAAGTATGAGCAGGTCGCTGTGCAACCAGGATTTAACCATATGACTCACCTGCGCCCCTTAGGATGGAAAATTGATTTGCATGCTGCCACCCTAGCCGGTTGAAAATTGAGCTGGCAGCCCGAGCGGCATGTTGCGACAGTGTGTCATGAATTTCTGCTTTCGCTTTGTTATCATGGTTGATGCCGTGCAATACCTAGTTCGGAGTCAATCAGTACAGTTGTTTTTTTTGTACTGCTTGAGTAGATGTGAATTTGGAAAACCTTCCCCTTGAAATCGAGAAAATTCCCTCATTTTCTTAAGATTTTTAATGATTAATATTCTTTTGCTGTTTTATTTGCCTAATAGGGATTTGTAATGACTTGCAGCGGGGTGTGAGGTCGACCAGTCACTAGTCAGATCTCAGCTTCCTGCGAGACGCTACTTCTTGTTCGGAAATCACACAGCTCATTCCATCTCCCTGACTCTTCATAATGCTAAATTTGAGGTCCCCAGGCTCCCCTACACTTTTGAGCAACAGCTGATGAGTTGGTGAAAAACTCAAAAGCCACCTTGGCCACTGCTCCTGACTTCGGAAGCGCCTCAGTTACCATTTTCTTCAAACCCGACGTCATTCTTCTGCTTGACAAGCTTTCACCAGCCACTAAAGCTATCTGGGCTGTGAATACCATGGGACATACCGGTCATCGAAGGAGGAAACCGCATCCTTTTGGGAAACAATACCGACTGGCTCGGTGAATCCATCCGCTCTCATGCACCATCTATTGGTGCACTTGCTGCCGCCCTCATCATCGGCGCGGGACGAGTTCGTTCCGCCAGAGCCGCCATCATTGTGCTTCAGTCCCCGGGGGCTCAACGCATCTACCCACTCAACCGGACTACAAGCAAGGGGCAGGTGCTCATCGAAGCATTCCTCGACATCCCCATCAAGCTGATCGAGATGCTTGATGCTTGGCCTGCTGAAGGACCTGCACCAACTGTCATCGTATCCACCGTTCCAGCGACCGTGACAAATACTAATAGCACTAGTCCGGGATCTGTACTTCTTCCGTCGGCGGTGTTTGACGCGACTGTGAATGGCATGGTTGTGGACATGGCATGCAAACCTGCAGAAACGCCTCTTCTTACGCTTGCAAATGGGCGAGGGGCGAGGGTCATGAAGGTCGAGGTGCTCCTGGAGCATGGTCATGTGCAATTTAAAACTTGGACGAGATGCAGATGGGCCCGAAGCATGTCATGTCGAAGAGTGTGCCTAGGTGGATTTGTGTTTGGATCTTGATGTTAGAGGTTGTTTGGTGTACTCCATATGATCTAGACGGCTATCGATGTAATTTAACGGTATGCAATTTGTTTCAAAGTTTCGAATTCTCTACTACATAGGAAGCAGGGCATTCCTCAATGGTTGGATCTTAATACAGGGTAGAACAGTCCTGCACCGTACCTCCTCTTGTCTTTTATTCTCTGTTGAGCGTCTGATATGATGCACTTCATAATAAAGAAGGAATCTGTTTTATTTCTACATGTTCTTGCTCAGGGAGACTAAATGAATCCACATCTCTATCCTATTGAGGTGTTTTGTAGACACCTTCACTTCTTGTTGCGTCGAATCCATAGCCATATCAATCAGGTTTATATATGCTGCGCTGTTCATTGTCCTAGTTGTCGTAAGCGATACGCGACTCGAGTGCCTTGCGCTTCTTGCCTGTGCAAAAGGTACCATGCGTAAATGAGTAAATAGCAAATAAGTTATACCCCACCTCCAGTGGTTGGGACGTCGTCGTTGTCGTAAGAGATGTGCGACTCAAGTTCCTTGCGCTTCTTGCCTGTGCAAAAGGTACCATGCGTAAATGAGTAAATATAAAATAAGTTATACCCTACCCCCAGTGGTTGGGACGTCGTCGTCGTCGTAAGAGATGTGCGACTCAAGTTCCTTGCGCTTCTTGCCTGTACAAAAGGTACCATGCGTAAATGAGTAAATAGCAAATAAGTTATACCCCACCTCCAGTGGTTGGGACGTCGTCGTTGTCGTAAGAGATGTGCGACTCAAGTTCCTTGCGCTTCTTGCCTGTGCAAAAGGTACCATGCGTAAATGAGTAAATATAAAATAAGTTATACCCTACCCCCAGTGGTTGGGACGTCGTCGTCATCGTAAGAGATGTGCGACTCGAGTTCCTTGCGCTTCTTGCCTGTGCAAAAGGTACCATGCGTAAATGAGTAAATATAAAATAAGTTATACCCTACCCCCAGTGGTTGGGACGTCGTCGTCGTCGTAAGAGATGTGCGACTCAAGTTCCTTGCGCTTCTTGCCTGTGCAAAAGGTACCATGCGTAAATGAGTAAATAGAAAATAAGTTATACCCTACCCCCAGTGGTTGGGACGTCGTCGTCGTCGTAAGAGATGTGCGACTCAAGTTCCTTGCGCTTCTTGCCTGTGCAAAAGGTACCATGCGTAAATGAATAAATCGCAAGTAGTTGATACCCGACCTCCAGTGATAGGGACATCGTCGTCGTCGTAAGAGATGTGCGACTCGAGTTCCTTGCATTTCTTGCCTGTACAAAAGGTACCATGCGTAAATGAATGAATCGCAAGTAGGTTATACCCGACCTCCAGTGATAGGGACGTCGTCGTCGTTGTAAGAGATGTGCGACTCGAGTTCCTTGCGCTTCTTGCTCTCTACTAGGAGATCACGTCGAAAGTTCGTGTCAAGCGTGTTTCGCTCGACTGAGTGGTGCATTGTGGCATCTGAGTGAATATGATACTGCTGATGATCATGAATACTCACAGGAACGTTTCGAGATGGCTCCAGGCGTGGGTGACGCTGTAGCAAGAATGACGAAAGATATAAGCGCGCTCAGGAGCACAGAAAGTTGCATGGTCAGGGATGAGAGTGATGATTCACACTGGAAATCCGAGGGCGCCTTTTATACATTCTCGCAGGGCCACTCCATTTTGGCCTCCTCGACAAACGATCGCACACACACCCACACCATGGCCAGCAGACCTTGGCGAAAAGCTGTCAGAATTTCAAGGTCTAGCACCGCCACGATACAGCATGCAATATCTAACATGGGTGTCTGGACCAAGACCCAGTGGCTGATGAACAGAATAGAGAACACAACCGTAATGAGCAATAGCTCTAACCACTAAGACACTGCCGTGTTGTCCATGTAATGACGAGTTCTGAGTATGATGATCATGCTGAACAAACCACGAGGGGATAAGTCTCCCCTCTCGTAAATACTCGGAACGTCCAAATGGATTGCCCAGTGACTGATGCGAATGAATCTGCCACAGAAACTTCATCGCCATTGGTAGGTAACATTTGGCAGTTTGCGGGGAGCTGCCACGTCGTAGCTGGGTCGTGCATGAATAAAAATTCAAACATGGTGTCATGATTGCCAGCATCTCTTGCAGTCATCAAGTCCAGTTTGGTTTTGCCAATCTACAATGGAAGGATGAATCGTGATGGCTGAAGGTTAGGTACTTGAGTCTCTATACCGTGTTGTCCAAGCGCCACCGGTGTACATGTCATATTTGCCACGGGTCCTACTCCAAGCAGGATACCAGCACGTCAGTGAATGATATTTGAGATTCCTCGTAGCAGCACATCAGCTATACGTTTGATATTAGCAATTTATGTGATAATCTCGTTCTACGGCAAGGCCCAGGTGGGTCGACCGAACCGAGGAACAGGAAAAAAAATATGTCAAAAAGCACCTGGTAATCCTAGAACATCTTGCGCACTTACACAGTCCGTCATCATTGTTTCTGCCGTGGACCTCATGCCAGGGGTCATCATGGTACGAAACGGATACCGACCGCCAACAGAATGTGTTTAGTAAGATATAAGTTTGTTGTCAACTTCAAGCCAAGTCAAACAATGTGTTTATGTAATAATAAATGATTTTCAACTTAGTATATAGGTTATTTCTTTCCGTAATTGTTTTACAGAATCTTGTCATAAATTCAACGGTTGGAAATTGGTTGGAAAAGGCTGCGATTCATCTGCAGTTTGGTGATTTCAGTTATAGTATATTTCGATGAGCTGACGAGGCACTTCTATATATGTAGTACCTGAGTTAAGGGCCATCAGTAGCGTAGTCAGCCAATTGAATATCGTTCAAACGTTCATCGTTCATAAAGTTGCCACCGTGTCTATGACATCTACTACAACAACTGTCCACCCTACCTTCCTATTATCCCTGTCTCACCGCACGGTGGCACGATTCAGCGCCTCGCCGTCATCCATAAATAACAAATACAAACATATATTTGGACCCTGAAGGGGTAAATTAGCCAGAATACAGCGAGGCGGCCCCTCCCGTCCCCGCAGCTTACCTTCTCCTCTTAGGCTGAAACCCCATCAAGGTCGGGAGGTGACAGCCATTTGCGGGGGAGACTACTACATCGAGGTGCGACTTCAACGCGGCGTGTCGTTCAGCTCGCCGCGAATGCAGGTGCCCTGCATGCTCCTGCATGTGTATATTTCCTTTTCAGCTACTCACGTATTGGAACGAGTGCCCTGAAATTACACAAACGAGGAGTGTCATCATTTCCTTTGCAAACCCTGGTAATACTTACGCAAGTAGGTTCCCATCCTGCTTTGCAAAATGTTTAAGGCCATATTCCATCCATCGCATCGTGATCTACTCGAGAACCATCATCGGGTGAGAATTTATTGAGCACACCAGGGTAGCAGGCAACGGCGCACACCAATTATTGATCAGCGACAAACATTGGGTTTAGTGGCTTTGGGAAACAGAATGATCCGGGAGCAAGTGTCTAGGAAGCGTTTCTGAGGACATCCAGGAAACGGCCAGTCTGGGGCCAAAGTCTGGGGCGGAGTCTGGGGTCAAAGTCTGGGGCTGCGGCTGACGCGTGCGGAGCTTAATTCTGAGTTCCAATTATATCTGGTCACGTTTGCAATACCAGTGTGACCACCTGACCTTCCCAATAAGTCAGCCTTACTATGCTGAGCGATCACGTGTATGGTTCAGTTTTATTTGGCTTAGTTACGATAATTCTCGACACCAGCAATAAATCATGTCCTAAATCATCTCATACCTTCAGGTATACTACGGTAGGAGGCTCGGCAACGCATTCGGCAGTGTATCCCGCTCAAAGTCACCCTCCCACGCCCTCTGCGCTTTCGGCAAAGGTGCGCATTTTCCGGTAGCGGGCTTCTCACACCCCTTACTTTTGCTCACCGTCATCACCAGTGCCCTCCTCAACCCTCATCTTGGCCTTCTCAACATCTGGGCGCCCTCCTTAGCTTCTGGACACCTCTCACCCTCCTCAAACCATCTTCCTTCTGCCCTCCTCAGCCTCTGTGGCATCTCTCCGGCCATTCCTTCCTTCCATCTGGCATTGTTTTCGCCCGGCTGGTGCCCTTCTACCTTCATCGCCCTCTGTGGCATCTCTCCGGCCATCCTTCCTTCCTTCTTGCATCGTTTTCGCCTGGCTGGTGCCCTTCTACCTTCATCGCCCTCTGTGGCATCTCTCTGGCCATTCCTTCCTTCCGTCTGGCATTGTTTTTGCCTGGCTGGTGCCCTTCTACCTTCATCGCCCTCTGTGGCATCTCTCCAGCCATCCTTCCTTCCTTCTTGCATTGTTTTCGCCTGGCTGGTGCCCTTCTACCTTCATCGCCCTCTGTGGCATCTCTCTGGCCATTCCTTCCTTCCGTCTGGCATTGTTTTTGCCTGGCTGGTGCCCTTCTACCTTCATCGCCCTCTGTGGCATCTCTCCGGCCATTCCTTCCTTCCGTCTGGCATTGTTTTCGCCTGGCTGGTGCCCTTCTACCTTTATCGCCCTCTGTGGCATCTCTCTGGCCATTCCTTCCTTCCTTCCTGCATCGTTTTCGCCCGGCTGGTGCCCTTCTACCTTCATCGCCCTCTGTGGCATCTCTCTGGCCATTCCTTCCTTCCGTCTGGCATTGTTTTTGCCTGGCTGGTGCCCTTCTACCTTCATCGCCCTCTGTGGCATCTCTCCGGCCATTCCTTCCTTCCGTCTGGCATTGTTTTCGCCTGGCTGGTGCCCTTCTACCTTTATCGCCCTCTGTGGCATCTCTCTGGCCATTCCTTCCTTCCTTCCTGCATCGTTTTCGCCCGGCTGGTGCCCTTCTACCTTCATCGCCCTCTGTGGCATCTCTCCGACCATTCCTTCCTTCCGTCTGGCATTGTTTTCGCCCGGCTGGTGCCTGCCTCTACCTGTAATCGTCAATTCACCACCGTCTTACTGCCCATTATAATTTCATGTGCGCGTATTACTTATTGTTCGTTCTCTCGCTAACATGCACGATAGAACCTACTACTAACTAGTCGTTGAAGATACCCTTGGACTTGGTTCAATGTGCTACCCATCTCGTATGACATGTCACTGAGGATGCTCTCGGACTTTGTTTGTTGTCCTGATGTGTCAAATTACTCAATGTCATACATTTAATGTATTTTTCTCTTACTTCATATGAATATAATTACATCCCTTGTCCCTATATTTGATTGGCCAACAGAAAGGACGTAGTGCATATTTGAAAGACAAGGTAAGTAAAGTCTAATCAAAGCTCATGAATTCTAGAAAATTAAATTCGGATGACCTCGTGCCAATAGATGGACCAGCACCAGGGCTGCCTGCAGGCAAGTAATTGGACATGCCAAACATATCGTCGTCGGGGGGGAACAGACTTGGGATAGCGGGCGGAGTAGGTAATCTAATCTCAGGGAGGAACAGACTTGGGATAGCGGGCGGAGTGGGTGATCTAATGTGGGGGAGGAACAGGCTTGGGATAGCAGGCGGAGTAGGTGATCTGATCTCGGGGAACGGGCTTGGGATAGTGGGCGGAGTGGATGGTGTGGGCCCAGGGTTTGTTATATGGCCAGAAGGGGCATTAACGGTAGGTGTATGCTCATGGGTGGCCGTATTGCCAGGTGCATCCGACTCATCATCACTTACAACAGTTTCAGCACTCTTATACATTTTCCTGCGGTGACCAGAATTGTCCAAAGGCTGGTTGCGCTTCTTTCCTTTGTCAGAGCGAGTCCGGCGGCGTTTTTCAATGACCTCACCGCTGCTGACCTTCTCACAATGTTCTTGACGAAGTTTCTCGTACTCATCTTCTTCCAGGTCCCTCCAATGGATTTCTCCGGTTTCCCATTTATTCAAAAGCATCTCCAAGTCAGGGAGGGCACTGGATACGGTGCTAAGGTTGACAAAAGGAATATTTTCGGGCCAGCCTTCGATGACGACAAGGTAGCGTTGGACGACATTGCGCCAGTAGTGCGCCCAATGCATCCGTGCTTTCGGATCCTGTGTGATTTCCTCTAGAAAAATTGTCGTAGTCAGTAACATAGAAAATGGTTCAAATACGAAGCACTTACGAAGTGTCTTGTTGATCTCAAGTCAGATTGTGCTCCGAATATCTGATATGCGTTTTTTGTGATTTCTTGCAGCGCCTGATAGATACAGTCAGCAAAGAGCGAGTTTTTGAGAAAAAATGATCCCTATACCTTTCATGCCCTGGACAGCAAACCCCTCCATCTTACTCACGAGATCCTGGTTATCGATATTCATCACAGAGCTCATGAACTCGTCAACTCCTTTGGTTGCAAAAGAAATACCACGGAGGGGGAGATCTGTGGAGCCGCGTGTCGTGTAGAGAATAGTCTCGGCACCCGTCCGCATCTTCAGATTGCTGAGCTAGTAGCTGTGTCAATAAGGAGCATCAGAATATATATATAATGACTCACCTCATTCTCGACAGCCTTGAGTGTCTGTGTTACGTCGTTGACTTTCGATTTTGTTGAGATATGGATGCCAGTAGCCTTCGTCTCCCTGTGTTCCTGGTACTCCTGCAAAAGCTGTGCCTTCTCGTCGTCCGTGAGACTGCGATATTCAGTGCGGTTCTCGTCCCTAACGAGATCTTGCAATACAGTCTTGCCCGTGGCCCCTTGATGTGATGTCAGTTTGTATATGCTAAGGACAGAGACGCTGTTACCGTTGTCCTTCTCTTCATGGCGCTTCTTCCAGCAGAACGCGTTCCATGCACTCAACTTTGAACGTTGGTAGCGTAACATCCCGCGGCCCATGCACAAGTCATTCTGGACGCGACAAAAACTCTTATGATGCGAGGACGCGATGGTTTTCACAGTATCGTCAAGCTCGCTCCAAGCATTGTGAAGAGCTGTCTTAAATTGACGTGATTTATTGCGACGTTGGGCAGTTAGAGCTGCACGAGCCTCCTTGCTAAGGGTCACCTTTGGACGGCGATGAGGTTGGGCTTGGACACGTCTGCAGCTGTTTGTCGCCGTGAAGGTATGCGAAACCATTGGGGTAGCAAAGTTCATGCTGTCAGTGAACAGCGTTTATAAGTCAATGGTGAACACGATTTATGATACCAAAAATATCGAACGATCTATGAAAAGAACAAATAAAACAAATAAATTGTGCACAGGAAACTTAGGCTACCAACCACCCTGAAAATGTATGAAAGTAACGAGAGAGGCGGCTGTGGATGACCACATAATCAACAAACTAAAATGTGGTCAAGGAGACTAAACAAACCTTTTGATGCACTCCCTGAACGTCCATGAGAAGGGCTCTAGCTAAATTTGAAGCCTGTTCGTACGTTAGATCCCATTTGGGGGATCGGAGCACCACTTCCCAACGGCTGCTGTGAACGGACCCGACGAGTGCACGAAGCTTCAGGAGTACCGCATCATCCATTTTGAAACGATCAAGTATGGCATCTGTGTGCGGGCCAAGGCTAATTAGTGGTGTAAAGGATGCTGCTTCTCGCATCCCTTGTATTTCGTGTCCGGGAACCGTCAAACCCTTAGTGAAAAACGCATCAGCAGGCCGGCACTGTCGGATCTTGTTAGGTGGCGTGTTGGAGTCCAAAAGTGCCATAGCTCTACCCTCCCGAACAGCAGAGGAGGTCACTGTGTTGGACTCGGCGTTGGCTTGAAGATCGTGCTGGAACTGACGAGAAGGACGTGCCGAACAACGAATGTGGGAGCCTGTGGCAGTTGTTGGTGCCGGCAAGTGCGGGACTGCAGATAGATTGACCTGACTCGCTGGGTCTTGTAAGAACATAGAAAAGCGAATTAATTTCAGAGTGCAAGAGAAAGAAGGTGCTGACTTACAGTGGAAAGGAGGAACAATACCCTCAATGCGGCAGCGCTCTGTGAAGCGCTGCAAATGTGGAATTGCAAACTCTTCTGCAAAAGCCTGTACCAAGACAGATATATCTCCTCCAATGCGGTCAGGAGATGCATGTAATTCACGTGGCGTAATATAAAGATCAAGAGAGAGATGCTCCGGTGAAAGAGTCGGTGTACCTTCGGACCCAGGACAACGAATAATGAGAGAGATCCCACCATCGAGACGGTCTTGCATTGTGGCCTATTGTTCCCCATGCTATTAGCATCCTGCTAGATACTAGATAGGACTAGTTATACATACTGCATCAAAGAGGTCCTGCAACGCTGCCTCAACAAATCCCTCATGTGTGATTGAGTTCTCATCCAACGTTGTATATGAGTTGAAACCGATGTATGAAGGATGAAGGCCAGCGGGTTTCCTGGTATAAAAATGAGTGCCATCTTGATGGGCATCATGTCTGAGCAGCGCGCGTGCAGCCGCCTGGCGTTCGCTCTCGCTAAATTCCTGAGTATTGGATATATTCAAGCGTAAGGCAGCAATGCTGGCCAGCGAAAACCGAGGTCGGATGGCGCTGGGCATATCATTTGCGATGGCAGGTGACATCCGAGACATAGACAGTGGTACACCACGGAGTCGTGAAGATGCTGGTTTGACTTTCGAGGGGGAGGATATGTTTGAGTCCATGGTGGATGTTGGAATAGACCAAAGAGTACTGAAAGCGATTAGTGAACTGGCAGTCCAATTAAGTACTAGTATGGCGCTCACCAGTTAATCATGATGCAAGCCCACATTTTGAACAACTGCACAAGGATTGGGTTCAATAGACGTGACAGTGATGAGAATCGTGTACATTCAGAGTGAGACTCGGAACTAGTGGTGCTTACTGTTGGCAGCCACGCATGACACAGCCAACCACAACCCAATTCATCAGATCTACGGTACACCATTTGCGACACAGCCAACCACAACCCAATTTATCTGATCTACCACTATCTGCGACACAGCCAACCACAACCCAATTTATCAGATCTACCACTATCTGCAACACGGCCAACCACAACCCAATTTATCAGATCTACCGCTATCTGCAACACGGCCAACCACAACCCAATTTATCAGATCTACCACCTAATTTCATTGTCTCTACCTGCTCGCTCATCTCTGATCGCCTGAGACAGCCAACCACAACCCAATTTATCAGATCTACCACCTAATTTCATTCTCTGTCCACTTGATATTTTCATTCTTACCAGACCGCCTTGTAGATTAATTCAATGAAACATATTATCATCATTCACAACATGAGTATGGGCATGGTAAATAAACGCTAGTCTGCAACTGAGAGTAGATAGTTGGCAAAGTCGTCCGTGACCTGTGCTTGATCCTCGTCCTCGAAAGCATCTCCACCGTCAGATTCAAAAGAGATAACATAATTTAAATCAAGTCTCTCCTCAGAGCGCTCTCCGTTAATACCAGTCACGGAAATGCCTACAAATCATTAATAGCAGGTAGAACAACAAAGTCCACACGCACCAGCATTTGGAGATGAAACTGTTACTGACACTGACGGACTTGCAACTCGGACACCAACACCATGCCTGCCTGAAAATGCAGGCTGCGACTCAATTCGATTTAACCGGTAGAGATGGACAGCGTTAACAGCGGCACGAGCCTGCCACTGTCTTCTCAACTCTACGGCAAGTGGGGGATTTGTGACGATGAGTTGGTCTATAGTTGCATTGGTCTTGATTTCTTCGTCATGTATTGCTGTGCGTAGACGTTGGACTTCTATATTGAGATGCTGTACTTCTTCCCGAGCACGTTGGAGCTTGAAGTATTTCACTGTGGCCTTGCGATGAACAGGTGTGGTCCAGTCAGCATCTCGAATGTCAGTACGTGAGTGACGCAATAGGTCAAATTCGCCTAGGAAGCTGTACTCGACAATGTCTTTCCATGCTAGTTTTGGCCTAGGTGGGACCAAAGCGGCAGCCTGAGTGTTGTAACGATTTATAGCGTTCCGAATAGCATCTGAACGTCGTTGAAGGGCTTTGCTGATCTGTTGACGTAACTTGTAACCTAAACACCCTGCAATTAAATTCTAAAATACATCAAAGACAACGTACTTACCTGTTCCTGATAATGAAAGTTTGGACAGTTCAAATAGACGCATGACTATGAGGCGCTCAAGTTCATCGAGCGTTGAACGATACTTCAGAAGTAAGGCTTCTTCTCGAAACCGACTATAACATTCGCTTCCGATTTCCCAGCGTTTGTCGATTCCAAGTTGAACCTCCAAATGTCCAGCTAACTGTTCCGTGTTCTGGAGTTTTGAATATGCCGTATCGACACGGACGCGAGCTTGGTTTAAAGCGAGGTGCATGTCACTTAGGCTGCCGACATGAATTTCAACTAGTGAGCGATTGGCTGCTTCTCGGGCTTGGTTCCATTCCGACCTCGGTCAAACATAATGAATAAAGTAATTAGTACGAAATGTTATCAAAACTCACTGGCGCTCAGCAAGCTCATCAAGCACATTGATGTATCGGATACTGAGAAGATCCTTGACCGGCGTCTGTTTTAAAGCATCAAGATATTCATGCTCTTGTGCATGAAAACGAATGAAGTCAGTATCAGCGAGATTGAGAGTTTCCCGAATGACCGAGAGCTCTGCTGTGAGAGTTTGGATATCTTCCTGGGCTTCGCGATAATGATTCTGTATAAAAACACCTGGGCAGGGATGTTGTGTTTGGCTATTGAGTAGATATTAATAAAAACTTACTTAAGGCTGCATACTTATCCTCGTCCCAAAATGCAAAATGTTGCTCGATCGATTGATGTCGATGAAAAGTTGTAGCATGCCGAGTACTTCGTGCAAGCTCATTTGACGAAGAAAAAATGTGTTCGCATCCTTCACCCTCCGTGTGTCCTGTGCCTTCAATGTACATAGGATGCCAATCTATCTGGCATCTTCGATTGTGCGCATGGCCGTGAAACGCTCCTACCATCATCCGGAAGTTGAGGGCAGAAGCTCGTGGTCCCAAAGTACTGTTCCCGAGCGTCTTGGCAAACGCACAACCAATGTCATACGCACAACCTCCATTTTTGCCGTAAACTGTTAGCAATCGATCAACAATCGCAAGGGGATATTTTGCCCTAACAATGATCAAATACGATTTGAACGGAGAACAAAAATAACTTACAGTTCACCGCTCTTAACCATATCGCAAGCGAGAAGGATAAACCGGTGTCGACATGCAGCAATAAATATCCCGGATTCATCGAACACTGAAAACATCCTTTTACGTTGTTCTGGACCGGCATTTCGCCACCGGTCAACACAAGTAAATGAGGGCGCTGTGTCAGTTTGCTCAACATCTTGCCAGTTGTCAATATCCGCAGTCGGGTGCTAGTCAGGTTGAGTTGCAGTCTCATAGAGTGGCAATGAGAAGACCTACTGTTTGTCCTCGCACTTCATCCTTAAATCTATCAACTGTCGAGCAATCGAGCCAGTAGTCAGAACGAAACCTGCGTGAATCTTTTCGGGCGGTGCCATCAGCTGTTGACGATGTCCATCGTTTCAAGCTATTGTTGCCGTCCATAGTCACCAGCCAGTCCAGAGCCAAATTTTCTTTATCCTCTAGCTTGTAGAAGCAGCATGGGCAGCAGTTCAGAAGACGCCAGTTGGGTGAGCTGCGGTTAAGCGCTTGATTGATGAGGACGTCAACGCGATGTAAGATTTCAAGATAAATGTCATAAGCATCTGAAAACTGCGCATTTAAATATGGTCGATATGGAATCTAGAAGAGTTCGGAATGAGGAAATGATGACGACACATGCTAGGGAGCTTACATTATGGAGGTGACATAAGGCTTTGCATTGCGCCTGAATGCTGAATCGGGGACAAGTTCGGTGAGCCTGTCGGTATGCTGCAAGTGTGCGGATGGAGATGGCAACAGTGGGAAATAATGGCGAGCAGCCCAAATAACCATGATGGATGAGTGTTTCATTCGGATACTGGTGAGATGGATGAGGCTGCAAAGACACGCGCTTTCGACCTGGACAACATTAACAATGAAGCCAGCCAATGTGCGCTGAACCTTACTAAAAATATCAACTAGTTCAATATTCTTGAGAGATAGGCAGTCGCCATCGAGGGTGGGTTCATCTGAAGGCGGAAAGCTTGGCATGCCATCACCACCGTCATGGGTGCGATAGTCAAGATACACAGTGACCAGCCGTTCAATTTGAACACCCCAATGTTCATTTTGAACTTCTATACGATTGGTACGAGTGCGTGAGTCCACGTAGCGGCTATCAATGCCAACAATGCTTCAGATGAATCAATAGGATAATAAATATAATTGCATACCATCCTGAGAGATCCGCCATCTGTCGAGCCAATCCTTCAAAAGCTTCATACTCTCCACCCTCATGGCTGAAGTCAAGTCCTTCCTCGCCAGGTGGTACGGTGTGAGGTATACTATCTATGTCGATGTTAGTGTCAGCCAACATAGATTCAACGAGATCCCGATCTTCGCTGGACATTTCTAAAAACAAAGGTCAGGAGAATACAATAGTTCAACATAGGCCTCGCACCCTGGACGTGTGATCGGCACTTCGCATCAGTTGCCTGCCGTCGTTGTTGCTGTTTCCCCGCAGTGAGTACCTCAGAAGCGTGAATGGAGCGCCGGAATCCATGTCTAGTTGTGGCCTTTGAGAGCCCTGTAATTTTCCTGGAAGTTCCAAGCGACATAACAGAGAAGAGGTGGAGGTAAGGGATAGCTAGAGAGATGCCACAGAGGGCGATGAAGGTAGAAGGGCACCAGCCGGGCGAAAACAATGCCAGACGGAAGGAAGGAATGGCCAGAGAGATGCCACAGAGGGCGATGAAGGTAGAAGGGCACCAGCCAGGCAAAAACAATGCCAGACGGAAGGAAGGAATGGCCAGAGAGATGCCACAGAGGGCGATGAAGGTAGAAGGGCACCAGCCAGGCGAAAACGATGCAAGAAGGAAGGAAGGATGGCCGGAGAGATGCCACAGAGGGCGATGAAGGTAGAAGGGCACCAGCCGGGCGAAAACAATGCCAGATGGAAGGAAGGAATGGCCGGAGAGATGCCACAGAGGCTGAGGAGGGCAGAAGGAAGATGGTTTGAGGAGGGTGAGAGGTGTCCAGAAGCTAAGGAGGGCGCCCAGATGTTGAGAAGGCCAAGATGAGGGTTGAGGAGGGCACTGGTGATGACGGTGAGCAAAAGTAAGGGGTGTGAGAAGCCCGCTACCGGAAAATGCGCACCTTTGCCGAAAGCGCAGAGGGCGTGGGAGGGTGACTTTGAGCGGGATACACTGCCGAATGCGTTGCCGAGCCTCCTACCGTAGTATACCTGAAGGTATGAGATGATTTAGGACATGATTTATTGCTGGTGTCGAGAATTATCGTAACTAAGCCAAATAAAACTGAACCATACACGTGATCGCTCAGCATAGTAAGGCTGACTTATTGGGAAGGTCAGGTGAGTGTGACCCGTCCATTGTGAGTTGTGACCCGCCCTTTGTGACCTCTTGCAGGCCGCACTGCACTTGGTGACATCAATGATCAGTACTCAGTACTCCCAGTGAGAATCAGCTGTGCTCGAATAGGGCTGAATGTGTTGAAATGTGCGTTTGAGAGACAGCGCACATACTCGCGCATTTCGCTCGATATCCGGACTGACAGCATATTTTCTATAAGACGGGGCAGTGCCCCATGTGCTCTATTGTGCTTCTTTTATATTGCGCACATTTAGGCGCATTCACGCACACTCGCGCTGTCCCCCCAGAATGTGCTTAAATAGTGTCAAATATGCTTTGATTGCTTAGTAGGTATTATGCGGAATACAATCGGTATACGAAAGCAGCTGGAAAATAGTGAAACCGATGCGAAACAGGTGGAGTATACCTCGAAAGTACGTTGAGAGCCGAGCATAAACGAAATAGACAACAGCCTGAGAGCGGATCGCAAACATCGAGAGCCGAGCAGAAAGGATGTAGACAGCAGAGCAGATCGAAAACATGTTGAGAGTAGACAGCGGAGGAGATCGAAAATGGGAAGCAGAAAACACAGCAACGAAGGTGCGGCAGACACTGGTAGCAGAATCAAGACACGTTGAGGAAGCACAAGTGTTGGGACAGTGGATTGACGATCATAATTTTGACTGGTTTTGGTGCGGAGAAGCACGAACATAGCATGCTAACTGCATGTGGTGAGTAGATTGGCGGGTGTGTCGGCAGCCACTAGCCATCTACGACGGGCACACTAGTACTGGCAGGAGGCACGATGATGGCGGGCGGCTTTGGAATTGTCACAAAGCAAACACGTGACAAAAACAATTCAAACTCAGCCCGGGTCAGCCGTGTTTGCCGAACGCCCCAGACTCTGGCCCCAGACTCCGCCCCAGACTTTGGCCCCAGACTGGCCAGATCTCTGACATTCACGCGTTTCTGCTGTATCATTCTTGTCCTTTGGCCTAGATATGCAAGCTTTTCTGACGTTCTGAATCACATAAATCTGTATCCTGCTCGTTTCATAAACTCTCAATGCGACAGTTCTTCCAAGGTACCAATAACCGCCCTCCCTCCCATGGTATTCCTGAACAAGTGGGGTGAGCAAGCAGGCGAGTAGTCTTCATGCGTCACGAGGTGGTTTGGGGAGGTCAATCGTATCCTCGAAGCGTTTCATCTCGGATTCATCGATGTGAATAGCGTGTTCGGTAGACCAATCCATAATTTTCTCGAAGTTCCTGCATCGATGACGGGTGCTGAATTTAGCATGAGGGGAATCATATCCCTGCACCCAGTGCCATGTAAGCATCGTCGTGTCGGCACGGCACATAATATTCTGCCTTATCATTTCGATGCAGTGACCTGGACCGTAACGGATATACTGTAAGCAATATTGCCTTAAGGCAGAAATAATATTCACCAATATGCCGATGGATTGCGTCCGGAGGAAATTGGAATGAACGATCTGTAGACGCCGAGTAATGCTCAAACCAGGAGGCTTTGCGGAGCAAGTTCTATACAAGTGAGCCAAGAATGAATAAATTGTCGGTGCAGTATAGCTCACCACACAATGCAATTGGTGGACAGCTTCTATAGAGGTCATGTACCCCCCACCAACTTCTTCCGGATATCTGACTTTCGAGCGCAATTCTGTCGAAGTCGTGCCTGCTTTGAGCATCTCCTCACGGGTCATTCGAGTTGGTCCCACTAGGTTTCATGGAGGTGGACAATTGATAATTAGCATAACAGGACCAACGACGTACCATCACGAGATATCCTATTCCAAACGGCGTCAATTTCTGGGGAAGGGGGGCCGCGATAGATGGAAGGAAAGTCGAAGGTTCCGTTTAACCTTAGAATGACGGGCTCAACAGCAGCACTTGCTGTAGCTGTGATAGATCAATAACTATACTGTTCGATGTGTTCTGTCCACTTACAGTATATACTGGGAATGTCGTTGCGCAGCTGAGTCGAAGGTGTACGCATCCATAGCGCAAAAGAGAGAATCGATGTGCAAATAAGTATGCCATGGGACAACCACAGGCGACGAGTACGTGACTTGGGACGAGATTTTGTACCGAACCTTTCTGCACCACCAGATAGTGTCTCGTCGTCGACAAAGTCAATAGGAGAATACTGCAAAAAATATTTGATCATGGCCTTTGAGTAAAGTGATTCCATTTGTATACGAGGGAGCAGGCTCAGCAGGGGCAGAGTCGCGATCTAGGTCCAAGAGCCCTTAAATTGTGTGGAATGCTGCACCTATAATGGTGTGCATTGTGGGTATGTCGATTAAGCGTGATGGATGAACCGATTAATCATGGATCATCACCAACCAGTTATATCTCTCCACATCTGCGCCAGCAGAAAGAGTACCAGATGGCGTTGACGCGTCTGCATCATGACAACGTCATGATGCAGTTTCTGCCAACTGGCATGCATACAAATAAAAGTGGTGCAAACAGGTCCTTTCGAAGTGAGTACTCTAGTGACGTGGCAGCTATTTGTGGCTCACTGAACGTCATCGTTATCATTACATATAGATTATGTAACACTGAAATTAGACTAGTAGTTGGTTTTCTAGCTAGCTTAGAGCTAACTAAGCCAACTCGAAGTTAGTCCACGCGTGCATTAGGCGACCACGAGCTTCAATATTGCAACTTCTTCCCACTTCGCAGACACTCGCAGCCTTGAAATCTCTCGTCTCAAGTACTATGCACTAGTCTCAGTCTTTTGCACCTACCCACCACTCCCCGATCATCACGCGGATAAATGCTCAAGTCTTAGTTTTCAACACCTTGATAGTGACCATAGCATCTGTCCGACGCATTCACTATCACAGATACGGCAAGCTGATGACGTTCGTTCATTTGAAACACCTAATTACAACTCAAGGTGATGAATCAAGGAACCTTTGAGTCACTCTCAGGCTGCCACTACATAAATCGATGGGTCAATTGTCGTCGCTGGCCATCCAAGGACTTGTTTCAAATATCTGCACAATGCAGGGCCGTGCTGCTGAGTGTCGACGTATCCTAGCCCCGAAAATTTGAAGGTAATTAGAATTGCTATTCTCCGGATTCATGACATATCGATTTATTTGACCTACAGGTGGGAAGCTGCAGGGTCCATTTGTAACCAAGTTGTGTACCCGCAAGACAAATAGATATGCCAGCAAGACCACAGGAAATCATGTTGTCTTAGGAATCTCAAAAGTGCTGTTCCCACGACCTAACTACGAAAGTTTCAAGGCTGGGATAGTCTGAAGCGCAATAAGAGGAAAGGGGGCAACGTCGCCATGTCATGAAACGTGGCTTCGAGACCTGAGGGCTGAGAAAGGGTCTGGGAGATTAGATAACGTACTCCCTTTGCTCTCTTAGTGCAATGATCCAGAAAGATTGTACCAGATCCTCGGCGCCCACTCAAGCGAGATTCGCCGAGCACTGTCACAGCTTCTGGGATAAATAGAAGTAAGCATTTCTTCGCAGGCACTTAATCGGCCAAGCTGTTTGGTTCACACTTGACCCATCCACTACAGATTCAGATTTTATTTCGCGACTCATGAATCAGGAATACTACTCTCAGTACTCTCATTTAGATGGGATCGACGATGACAATACCAAGCTCCTTGATAGTGGTATAACAACTAGTCTTCCACCAAAATCACGCTTCCTTCACCTGTGGCCCTGGCTAAGCCATGGTGTACTGATGTCCATAACTCTGTGGTTCTTCATACAATGGGCACGGTCACCTTCGATGGATGACGTAGTTATATATTGTACGTGGATGACTAGAGTCGGCGCACAAGACCTTACTTACCCATCACAGCTTCAGTAAACGAGGCAATCGAATCCATCGGCATCATAAAATTCAACGGAAGTTTCAATGCTCCTTCCATATATCGTGGCACTCCATCCCCAGAGCTCGACGCCATTTGGGATAGGGTATCTCTTGATGGTTGCGCACTATGCTTCACTTACATCATGGACATCTACTGACTATGATATTTCCCAGTGCGCCCACTCCGTATGACACATGAGCAACTGCTCAGAACGGGGGAGAAACCTTCTCCCTCCATGGCTAGGTATCCGGACGAATACGGTGGAGGTTACGTAGCAACTGTAGAAGTCATTCACCAGCTCCATTGCTTAGTCAGTTGTGAAACACAGAGGCTGGTTGATCTTTGCTTAAATTCCTGTAGGACATGTTACGCAAAGCCAGCTGGGGTAACGAGTACCATAAGCATGGGGGCATGAATAAATCCCACGAAGCCTCTCGTACCCATCTCGGTGAGTATATTGTTTCTTGCTCTGCCCACAACCTGCTCATGTCGCACCTTAGACCACTGCATTGAGATACTCAGGCAGCTCACTATGTGTAGTGGTGATGTTACCATGATAACTCATGATTGGATCGAGGGAAGGGCAACTCCATTCGCTGATTTCAATGTTCCTCACAAATGTAGAAACTTTGAGAAGATCTTAGATTGGATCGACGAGCATCGTGTTTTTATCCCGAAATCCAAGTGGGTCCGCTTGGAGGATAACGTGGACCTGCCCTCTCTTCCTTGATCGCATTCTTGTTGTATTCTCTCCATATGAAACATCCTCTCCCTATGATGGTGGATGTAGTCACAGAAGTGTTTAATATCCAATTTGATTTCTACCTCAGGGTACCTATGTTCATGGCGGGTCGGAGTGTAGGTACTATTAAGCAAATTGCAATTCATCTTATTACACGGAGCTGACTACTCATCTTGCCACTGTTTTGTTTTCACAAGTTGTCCACCCCTCGTTGGGGCGTCGGGCACACTTTTCGTAGTAAGATAGCGCTCACAGAGATAAGCGTCAAACTCTGCGTGAAGATTATTCTATACCGAATGATATCAACCGGTAATAGTGACCACGTATCAACGAAGATGCGGCTAAGAAATGAATAGTTGTGCGAACATCGATCAACGGTGAATGGTATGAATCATTGCATGGTGGCCCACTGAAGGTTAGATGAGCCTCTGCAGCGGAGTGCTACCGTCAGATGTGTATTGACCCTTGACAAGTGACATAAACCCTTTGGGTCATCAATTTCGACTTTAGCTTGAAGCACCAAACCCAAATGATTGACGCACCAACGACATAATAATTCTAACAAGCTCCCAAATCTCACAAAATATTTGAAAAGACATTCGTCTCCGACCTGGCTAATTGAACAGCATGCTTATTAGCACGATGCAAAATTTTCTCGTGTTCCCTTGTACCCAGTCCCGTGTTATCATGGTCACGTTGGCATTACACATGATAGTCAGCTTAATCATTCCGATGCATTGATCCGAAGCGTAACAGTAGCATATCACAAGCACAAGATGCCTGGTCCTCAAGTCAGAAAGACTATTTACCAAGATGCATACGGACTACTTCGAGGTGCCCTGGAATGAAAGATATGTGGGCTTACAATGCTCCAACAACCAAAAGGTTTTGCGAAGCAAGTTCTACAGATGTGTGAGCCAAGAACGAACGGAGTGTATGACTTGCCAGATAATGTATTTGGTAAGCGGATGCCAAAGAGACCACGAAACCTCCACCAATTTTGTCCGGATACCTGACTTTCAAACGCAAATCTGTTATGGATGTTTTGAGCATCCACTCACGGTCGTTCCTGATAGACGAGGTTCCAAACAATTACTGAGTAGTGCGTGATGGGACAAAACGGAACGACGCACTATTATGGGCCATTTTGGTCCAAGCGGCATCAATTCTGAATTTCTGGGGAAGGAGGGTCAGACGCGGCAGTAGACGTCGAGCGCCATTGAAGCTCACGACCATGAAATTCATGGCACCACTTGCTTAGAATTGTGATGGATCATTAAAACCATTCATCGGCTGTTGAAATGAAGGTCTGCTCACCTGCAGTATACAGGAATGTCGTCGTGCAAGGGAGCCGAACGCGTGCGCATCCATGGCATAGCATGAAAAAGAGCATCAACATGCAAACAAGTGCACCATCGCTCAACCAAGTCCACAGGCAGAGGATACACGACGACTTTGAATAAAATTCTGCAGCGTCTGTACCGAACCTTTCTGGGTCGCCGAATGGTTTCCCATCATCGCAAAAAATATTATGTCCGGGAGAGTACTGCAGGGAATCTTTAAGCATGACACTTAGGGAAAGTAACTCCATTCAAGAATGCGAGGGTCCGAGAATAGTACAAGCACTGGCAACTTCAACAGGCTGTGTGGCAATTTCTAAGACGCCACGCAGTGACAGAACGGCATATTGCCGTGTCAGTATTAGTGTCACACTGAGCAATCATGATCACCTGAATCTCGTTCAACTGACTCTGAAAGGCTTGGAGCTACTTACCAATTGTGAATTCAGATATTCAAGCATGCAGCGCATCGTGGCACACGAACGTCAGGACTTCCAGAAAGTTTCCTTTAATAGACTTACCGGCATTTTCCGGACAACCACTAGCCCCAGAGTTTGTGACTTGTCTGCATAGACCTTACGCAGACCAGCCGCACTTTCTGATCTAATCATGGTATGTACTTGAAGATAAGTATTCTATAGATTCTACTAATCGTCTTTTTTACAACTAGGCCCGCAATGAAGAGAAGGCACAGTCAATGCTATACCGTTTCCGCGAGGCTCAAGCAGCTGAGCTTGGCCTCGGGACGCGTGCGGATCGTCGTCCGAAGATGGCGAGCGCCTGCAAGAGTCTAAGGGAGTGCGAGCGGTGGAGAGGTGAAATATTAAGAGAGCTAAGCCGAAAAGTGTCCAAGATTCAGGATGGCGCGTCACTTCGCAGGAGACTTAAAATTCGGATGAGCTGACATGAATATTTATTAACAGCTGGTTTGACCGACTATGAAGTCCGAGACGTGAATGACGAAATCAACAAATTGATGCGCGAGAAGCGCCATTGGGAAAACCAGATCATTGCGCTGGGAGGTGCCAACTATCGCCGTAATGTAGCCATGTTGGATGACGATGGGAAGGAAGTGCCTGGGACAAAAGGATACAAGTACGTCTTTTTGAGTTTTAGCTTGCCCTATGAAGTTGTCACTGATAAAATGTTAGGTACTTTGGCCGCGCGAAAGATCTCCCAGGCGTACGCGAACTCTTTCAGAGCAAAAAGAAAGAGGAAGAGGAGGAAAGTGAAGCGCTTTCATTTTATAAGAAGTTCACGAATCAGGGCCCCGCATACTTTGGTGACCTGGATGAAGCAGATGGAAAGCTATTGGGATATGAGCGTCAAGCAGAAGAAACAGGTACGTCATGTCCACGAGTGTAAATAGTTTCATTTTCTTACGTGCATCAGAATGGAGAGACGAATATACGAACGTCCGGGAAATCCTCGACCTCCCTCTTGATGACCCAATACCTGAAATACCTCGTGGATCATTGGCAAGCTCATCACCACTCCCACCAAACGGGCTCTCTCCACCTCAACATCTATCAAATACTAAACGCAAAGCTCAGGAAGAAGATGTCGAGATGGACACGGCAAATTCGGAGGCAGAAAAACGGCTTCGAAAAGCCGAATCAGACAACACAGCGAAGGCAGATGTCTCCTCATATGGAGGCGCAGACTCAATACGTGCGCACGCGACTACAGCCGCTGCTTACCTGGGCTTTTTGTCGCCAGAAGACCTGATGCCACCGACACTTCCGACTAGAGAGGAAATGGAGGGCGTTCTATTAGCCCTCAGGAAACAAGCACTGGTGGAGGAATATTTTGGCGAGTAGTTATAGTGTCCTTGTACGAATCCTGTTGTATTGTGAGTGGTTCTACTCAGGTTGCCGTTCTGGAGACTCTTACATTATATGACGAGGCTGACACGATGAGATTTGGTGCGAAACCAATGGCTTGCGCGCATAACTGGCTCTGGGTAAGTGGCTGGTTTTTCATAATTGCCCTGCGCACATCATCAACACAGTGAGATTTAATGCGCGAAACAGGGCTTACCACAGCATCGCCACGCTTGCAGATATTGTATGTCGATGTGATAAGGTTTGATGCGAAATGAAGCTCACCGGTACTAAGTACCTCAGCTTCGACAACTAGCCGTCAGGTTGAGGAGAAGTCCTACGGGTACAATATCAAGGACCTCTCAATTCGCTGATGTTGAGTCAGAAAAATCTGGAGGACAACGATGACGAAGCGAGCGGAGACTGCGCGCATAGTCACGATAGAGTTCAGATAAGTGATACAGAACGAGTCTAAGTGCCTCCACAGCGTCAAGAGACCTTATTTTGGGACGTACATCGCCGCCACTTGCAACGAAGGTAAAGAGGTCGAGGCCGCCCGCTTTCAACATGATCATACTGCCTTGCTATGTGCGCACTGACAACGACAGTTGATATGAGATTTATAAGTCCTCCGTCAGCACAAATTATAAAGTTTGATTTTTTTCAAACATGACGATATGAAATCTTGTCCAACCAATTGGTAGTCACTGGATCGTACCAAGTCGATACAAGCTTATCTATCAACAAGTTCCATTTCTTGCGGAGGGCGCGGAGCTACTTGATGCATGCCAGCGTATGAAGGAAGGGGATTTGATTATTGCGCGTATCGTGTAAGGTGCCAGCCATATCATATGATGGTGGTTGAAACGTTGAAGCTTGTTACTGACCTCAATTTTTTTGCAAAGGCAACTAGTTATAACGGCGGTTGGATTTGGGATCTGAATCATCAAGGAATCATAGCTGGATCATTGCCATAATGATCGCCGACAGCCAATTCCGTGAGTTTCCCTAGTTCCGACGCGCTTGCCGGACAGTAGAGAACGTGGAGTTGAATGTATTTCAACATGTCAAACCTGCAAGTGGTACTAGTTAGCTACGCTCGCAACGCGCGTGAATGAATTATTGGCGAAAGTAATTGAGTATGCAAATTGCTGTAACAGACTCCGCTTGAAGTTGCTGGGGGCACCTGATCCCAGACTTAGACATGGCCCGAGAGTTGGGAGTCTGCAGCCAAATCGGCTTTGCGAGTCCTAAATCGAACCTTGGTCAGGGTATCGATCTTTCAAGCCGCATGGAATCCATGGATGTCACCCAACAACAAGCGCAGGACATCGTCGCCCAAACCGAAGGCGACGATGCTGTGATCGAACAGTTTCACGAGATCTGCAATAAGAGATTTAGGTATGATGTATCAATCACGCGCTTGAAAGAATTATCGCTACATGCAATGCTCCAGTTACACTTCATGTATCAGGTTTTACAAGATCGATATCGTGCTCCGCAATGCATCATACCTTCTTGCTACTGCTCCCAAGACACCCGGCTCTGAACCGGTCTCCGAGTCAGTGATGCAGCCACTCTCCCTTGGCACAATCCGCGATCTTCTTTCAGAAATCTCCAATAACACCAAAATGCCTGTACCAGAACCTAGAAGCTTCGATGATTCCCTCGCACGTTACCCATTCCATTATCTCCTCCTCCGCCTGCCCTCACCAAACGCCCAGTCCCTCTCATCGCTGCGATCGAGCGGAGCTCTCACTCCGCTCCAAGATACTCTTCTGGACCTTAAGTTAGGAACCTTCCTTCATTCCATGCACTCACTCCAAAACGATTGGTTTGGTGTCCCAGGAACACAGCCAGATGAGGAACTATGCTATAGCTGGCAGGATACATTCATGCTGCTCCTTGATGGACTGCTATGTGAGCTTGAAAGCTCTGGAGAGATGCAAAAGACGTTGGTGGAGGAAATAAGGCGATATCTATCCCGCGCCATTGGGTCATTTTTATTTGAAGACGCAGAAGTGCCTACATTGGTCTGGCTGACAGGTTCGGCGGACGATGTGTATGTCCAAGTTTCGGAGCCTTGTGGGCCGAACCAGGAAGCTAGAGTTGACATTGCATACGTGCTGCCGACATTTGATCGGGTGGTGTGGGGAGACCCGATGTTGGAGGCATTTTTTATGCCGCCAGGGCCAAGCAAAGCGTTGGAAGAAGGGTATCTGGAAGGAGAGGACGGCACGTTGATAGTTTTCCCGAGGCAGAGAACGAAGAGGATGTGGTACACGCTGTTCTTAGCTCTAGTTGTACTGGTAGAAGTTAGGAGAGATAAGGAAAAGGGGGAAGGGGACAACAAAACGCATGAAAAGCTCCATTGGGCAAGGGAGATCCTCCCAAGATGCGTTGAGGCGCTGAAGGATGCACCCTGTTATTAGAATGATACAAGTACCAAAGTCCTGTAACTCTAGAGTTCAGCTATATATCTGAAGCAAAAATATAGACGTTATACCTCCCGATAGGTATATCATGACGAAGCATTAGCAGAGGCCATTTCAACATCTACTAGTACTGCGGCTGGGGAAGCAACTGGTGTCGGAGCATCGTTTCCCGTGAGTTCACCTTCTACGATATCTTCCTCATCACTACTTTGTCCTTCTCCAAGTTCTCCATTTTCGGGAGTCACTGTCATTTCTTTTTCGTCGGTCATCTCAACGTCCTCATGTCCCATAGTACGTGGATCCCATTCAAGTTCTTCTGGCTCCTCCACCTCCACTTCGACGCGCTGCTTCCACTCAAACCTATCTCTAAGCATCATCACAGCCCTGACAGCGCGCTCCACACGATGATCATGCGCACCCCGTATCTCTTCACATTCATGCAGCACATCCTCATGTGTCACCCGACCACTGGTGGTAGGGGAATGGTCGGTCTGAACGCTATTCGTGGCAATGACACCACGGGTGGCCATACACTCTGCCAGACGCCGAACAGTAGCGGTTTCCATATTTAATACATCTGTCGTCTGCTGATTGCGCAAGAGAGGGATGAGGTCATTGTCGAGCTGATGATCCGTCATTCCGATGCTAGGATGGAGAGCGATGTTCTCGTACATGCCGGAGCCGAGCCGAGCTTGCGCCTGGCTTATTTGGGACTGCGCCTGAGGCGACGATAGGGATTGGGAGAAACTATGTGTTTGGGAGAGAATGACATTGTATTTAGAGAGGATGTCTGGCCAAGCGGGCATGGCGTTTTGTCCGCCAACCTCGATTGTACGCTGGAGTGTCTGGATAGACTCAATAATTTGGTTAGCCTTGAATTTTAAGAGTTCAAGTTGAGCGATTGGAAGGGACTTTGAATCGAAAGCAAACTGAGGGTTATTCGTAGTCATGATGGATTGATTCCAAAGAAGGGAATTTTGGAAGCGTAGTGGTACACGAAGCTCTTGCACAATAAGACCAAATAATCTTCAAGTTCTGTACCAAAGCATTACTATTAGTCTCCTCTCCTCCTGTTCTTTTCACCATTTTTTCAGTATGCTCTCGCTTTTTGCTCGCCATATCGCGTCTCATCTTCCCGTGCTGCGCACCAATGTCTTATCTTCGTCGGTGTTGACCGCGTCCGCATTCGTTGCGACGCGTCGTACATTCTTCACTACGCGCCGTATCCAGCTGCCGGTCGCTGCATCCAGAAGCGCTTCAACCCCAGCGAAGAAAACCACGAAGAAAACCACAAAGAAAACGACAGCCACAAAAGCTGCTCCAAAGAAGGCGAAAGCCACCAAGGAAGCGAAGTCAAAACCTAAGTCAAAAGCAATATCCAAGAAGGCGGTCGAGCGGCCCCGTGAGTAGCGCCATTGGCTGAGCTTGTAGTCAAGCGCATGTTTATATGTGTCGCTATAGCACCCAAGAGGGTGCCCAAGTCTGAGCAGCCTCCTTCGCGTCCCCCTAACGGCTATCTACTTTTTTTCTCGAGGCTCGTCCAAGACCGTAGGAGTGACATTAAGACTGCTATGGACACCCAGGATTTGGCAAAGTAAGCCGCAACTATGTGGAATGGCTTTACTCTTGCGGAGAAACAGGTCATTTACATCACCATATCTGCAATGTGTCATGCTAAAATCGCTCCTCAAAGCCTTACTACAACGAGGTCGAAGTCTTGAAGAAGCAGTATGAAGAGAAGCTAGATGAATATTGGAAGAGTGCCTCTCCTAAAACGCTCAGGGAAATAAACGCGCGCCGTAAACATGACGGGAGAAACAAGATTCACCGACCTCATCAAGAGAATCACTATAAGCGCCCTAAGGGGCCTTTCTTTAGGTCAGTTTTATGTATCACGGTAAAAATATGACGACTGACAACAAAGAACGGTCCACACAGATTCATAGAACATTTCCGTCAATCAGATGATGGCAGAGCTATCCAAGAAGCTGGAGTCACTGCCACAGGTAGAGGAGCTGTCAATGTTGCTCGTGAGGCCGGTGTACGGTGGAGGGCAATGAGTCCCTCTGACAAGGCCGTAAGTGAACCCGACTGATAATTATTCTTTAATGACTAACGATATGTTATTTTAGCCCTATGTGGAAGCTTACCAGAAAGAACATACTGACTGGCAAGCAAACCACCCCAGTAAGAGTGCATCATCGTAGGAGCTTACATGCCAGGGAGCAGAAATGCTAGCAATTCTGCGTGCATCAGTCCTGTCCTTCTGTTATCATTCAGTTTTCATCGTCACTTACCCACTTCATCGCTCACATTCAGCCCAATGAGTTGATTTTTATTGCAATGTTTATAATTTCTGAAGCCATTCGCATGACCCTCCAGCTTTACATATGTACGATAGGAGTTCCTGGTCACGTTCCTTTTGACTTGCGAATTCTCTTCGTCGTACTTCTCGGTCACGGCGTTGATGTGCAAGTTTTTCAGGCACGCGGACCTTTAGTTGATACTCGCAATACATGACAACCCTCATACGAAGACGCTCCAGGCAGTTCGCATTATCTCAAGTACGCTGTAACCATATGTCTTCCGTGAATGACATCAGCCGGCTACTCTCATTTCAATCCCCATCTCGGACAGTGGACGCTATCTCCCTTTGCAGACCGTGTCATATCATTAACAAAACATGACTTGCACGATGAGTTTGATGTGTACGTTAAGTTCGTTTTCTCTTCCTACTGATGTTTCAGACGCTCACGATGCATTGCTAACATACAAGGTTGCGTAGGCGCATTCTGTCACTTCATACAGTGATTCCGAACCCTGACTTCGGTGTTTGTTATTTTATATACCTCTCCGCCCCTCGTCGTCGTTGCGAATATCTCAACAGCCAAACTAAAGGGGAAGCCAAGTTAATGACGAGACTTCCAAAATCCCTTTCTGCCCATCCTGAGTCATCTTCATACACGCTTGATCCGACCACACATCGATGCATCAACATTCACCCTTTTGTTTTATGTATCTAAACTTCAAGTACTACGCCCAGACGACACTGTCCCTCTCCCGAGAACTGCCGTGACCTAGTCCCGCCGCTACCCAAGACAGTCTCGAAGAATGGAAGATGGATCGTATTTTCGATCAGCGTCCTCGCGGCCGCGGCTTCCAACACCTCGTTCTCTGGCAAGCAGAAGAGTTCTAGCTACCAGGTTATGATCCGAATGTCCTGCTTTCAACGACATCCCACCATGCTCGATCTTTCGGAGGTTAGGAGGGTGTAAGCCACGCTCTTACGCCGTTGACACACGCTCACGAGCAGACAAAGCTGCATGTTATAGCGCTGAACAGTCCAACACATCGACATCAAAATGTTCATATGCATGTAAATTTCGTTCAAAATATCGTCGTTCTTTGCAAACTACACACCACGGAATGCCAATCGAAGTTCGAGAATCGGTGCATGAAACGTTCAACGTTCAGGTACATCATCCTCGAATTTCAGCCAAAAAGTGATTTCTGTTGACGAACAAAACACAAATAGATTGATTCCGCAAGTCGCGGTGGCTTTTGAAATTCGAGGGCAGATTTCAAATTTGACGGTGCACGTGAGACACGGCGAGAACGCACTTTTGTCAAAAACAACACGTCCCTTCTAGTGTTGCCGCGAAGCGAACTGAAGCGAACTGAAGTAGAAATTGGACACACTTCGATGTGAACGAAGTTAGTCGAAGTGCGCTTCGTTCCACTTCGCGAAGTCGGCAATAGGCGGGAAAACTTGCAGCAATAATAGATCAATCAAATGTAGCTACAGCCTACAGTATAATCTAAGACTAAGCTTCCTCATTTTCATTTGCGAGTAGCTGAGCAAGTTCGTCGAGCTTGCCTGCCGCCACGAGCTCGTCTATGGTGTTCCTAGACACAGGCCCCGAAATATTGTAATCCATTTCTTCTGCAACCAAATGTGACGTGAAATCCAGCCGGTCTTGCTTGTAAGAGAACTTGAGAATCTGTAATGCTTCGAGAACTGGTGGTGAGAGGTTAGCACGCCGATCCGTCACGGTGCATGTCTCTTGACTCTCGTGGGTGACGAGATCCACCTTGATTAACATTTCCAGGCAGAGGGGGGTGTTGTCCATCAGCAGGTGCATTCTCTGGTGCAGGATTGGAGACTGGAGTCACTGGACCAACACCACAAACAGCTGCAGCTTCGGGTAGCTGTACTGCACCTGAATTGGTCTTTTTCTTCTTGTTGCTCTGCCTCCGAGTGTTGTTCTGACCATCTACTTCCTCAACAGGTTTTTTACGTTTGCAGCTGCCACCTTTTTTTGAAGTTGTTCCTGCATTATCAACAGGAGCAGTTGAGTCTTGCAGAACACCATCATGCTGCATCAAGATAGGTGGTGTCAAAGCAAGCTGTGGAGGGCCCCACATATGCTGTAGCATCTCGACATGCTGCATGGGCATCATATACTGTGCATAGGTACCAGGTGTAGGTTTGTGCAATATTGGACCCGGGCCTGGAGCATGCAGAGGTGGGGAGAAGTTTTGCAAAGTCTCGAAAGAGCCATTTGGTGTTATCAATGGCAAAACTTGTGGACTGTGACTGCCAGAGCTCTCAGCCCTTGGGATGCCCAGTGTTGGAGGTGAGTATGAAGGAAACTGTGATCGACTACTGGGAAGAAAACCTGTTGGATGGTACATGGAGAGTAGCAAAATATTTCTTTCGAGACACAGACAGTGAGCCTGAGGTTATTATAATGTGTGTGCACTGTGGAAAACTAGTGCAAAATTTTAATTCAATGGTGGAAGTAACTTAGTGTATGTACGAGATCATGTATGAGAGGCTCATGCATCAGGGAAAACCTCCCATGCTAACTTAGATATAGATAGACAAAATACATCTAACTCTTCTAATTCAGATAAACTATCACAAATTAGAGCTAAATATCAATATCATTCATAACATACATGTAATTATTGCCAAGTTATAGAGTACTACCTAAGGGTCATAAAACTATGCCTATCTACAGGTATCGAGAAACTCGACACCTGAATAGTGTGATCATTAATGATTGGTCACACAACAAAATTTTGAAATATCCAAGTTCAACATTTGTGCATATTTGTTTGTATCATGTGACTTGTAGTTTGAGCAAAGAAATATCTAAGTCCAACATTTGTATGTGTTTGTTTGTATCATGTGACTTGTAGTTTGAAATGTTTGAGCGAAGTGGCGCCATGTCGCATCTTCGACTCTCACTCTCTCTTGTCTTCGAAGCTTCAACGTTCATGCACTACATACAATTAAGGTGCGCAATGATTTTTTTTTAATTCTAATCTTGTTCTTTCTATTTAAGCAAAACTATTTATTCTAGGATGCCTACTATAGCGTGCTATGCTCCCCCATCTTGTTCAACACAACACCTACCTTCAAGTTCATGCTCATTGCACTCGTCGTGTTTGTTGTGAGACCTCTCATACTCTCTTCCTGGCTCGTAAGTTTTTCATTGCTTTCCTTTCTTTTTTCTATTGACAACTATCATAGAGCTATGTCCTCTTGCACCTCTTTCACACCTTCTCTGCACTCACCAGCACCTCGCTCGAAACTCTGTCCAACGCCGGCGCACTGCCACTCATTTGTGCTTACTTGCACTACTAGTAGTGATGGCCAGGTCCGGTCCTGAACCACGGTTCGAACCCGAACCGTTTCGAACCTGACCAAAGTCCGGTTCAAAGTTCGGGCAATAGGGGGAACCGAACCGTCGGTCCAGTCCACGGTTCAAGGACTTGCAGAATTCTCGAACCTGGTTCGAACAGGTCCGAACAGGTTCGAACCGATTGTCAAGTAATAAGGGATGGTACAAAAATTTTGATCTCCAGACTTACATGGGCCAGGCGCAGTGCAGAGTGCATATTATGTAACACGGCTGTGCTCATCGTCGATGATGATGACAAGAAAATCAGCAATTTTCGAACACTGTCCTGCTCACCCCAATCGTATACCACCACAACGCCGGCGGCAACTGCGAAACGGCAAGTCAATGTTGGATCCAGACCTCTTGATGGGACAAACCTGTCAAATAGCTGACAAAAATATCCAAATCGATATACAGCCAGTAACTGGGATCATTGGAGGTGAAGGTCATGTTCGAGGGATGGGTGAGCGAGTGCGGAATTGTGGTGTATAACGACAGCATTCGTACTAGATATACTAACGTTCAGTGGGTTAGCAAATGAGACAAAAAGGGTAGAAAGACTCACCACCTCTAGGTCAACCTCACCTACTCCCTACATAGTGGACGCGGACCTGACTGGACACTGACATCAGCACTAAAACATGTCATTTGCAGTGAATAGATGATGCTAAGTAGACCACGCACCTTAATAGACATTTCAAACAAATACTTGCCCGAATTCCTTGACTTGAACAAGCAGATGTTAGGAAGCTCGCGGGGGTTGAAGATTTACTCAATGCTCGTAGCAGTACAAGACCTAGTATAGCAATGCAAAAACAATCGGGCTGATTATTCAGAGCAAGTTTTCGAGGCGCTGTCGAGAGTCGAATGGACATAGCAATAGTGGCCGAGAACGCGAGCCAAATGGCCCTAAACATGCATGAGTTATATGAAACATCGAGTCGAGACAGAAATCAACTTACATACGAGACTATGGGACGGAATGTTTGTACTTAAGATATGTATATGAAGTTTGTCATTTTTTGGGTCCGGTTCTCGGTTCAAACCCTTGCTGAACTGGAACTGGACCATTATTGGACCGAACCGATGGTCCGGTCCACAGTTCTGCTTACTGAGAGAACTGAACCGATGGTCCAGTCCACGGTTCTCTGAATTTCCTAGAGAACCGGACCGAACCGGACCTGTCCATCACTATGCACTAGTCCGCACCTCCTTCATGTGAGTGTGTTGCCACTTGTCCTCATTTGTGTCGTTCCGAGCGTATCGCAGGATGTCAAACTCCTTAGTATTACCTCTCGAAATTATTATATACTTGTACTTGACTATTTACATTCTTTCTAATGAAAACCAATTTCTTGTATATGAGTCGGTTCTAGTAAGCAATAATAAATCTGAAAGCGCGGAAAATCTTGACAACATTAGTGCTAAGTTCTGCATAATCTGCAAAAACATCGTCTAATTATGAAAAAGTTAAAGGGGGGGTAAAAGAGTCTGAATAATCTGCTAAACACTATAATTAGCAAGAATTTTCGGTAATTATTGAAGTTAGATCTAAACTTAGCTAAGTTTGTGCAGGAGGTTTTCCCTGATGTCAACCCCATGCCAGGAACCATCATGGTACGCCTCGGATACTGAGAATTCGTGGCCGCCGACAGAATATGTTAAGATGTAAGTTCGTTGCCAACAATGTTTAACAATGATTTTCGACTTACTTAGTACATAAGTTTATTTCTTTACGCAATTGTTACAAAATTTCATAGTCAAAATCGTTTATCATTTTATCCTCTGAATTATCCTACTGACTTGGTGCCATGTTAATGTTTGCATGTGGAATACATAAACCTCAGTGTTACACAACAACCCTTTGCGGGGAGACTCTATAATAATGCGACAGTTATTCTAACCAATAGCTGCTATCCTCCCATAGTATTCTTGAACAAGTGCAGTGAGCAAGTAAGCAAGCACTACGATATTTCTCATTCCTTATGCACATGCACATGGCCTTGTGGTCTTGGGAGGTCAACCGAGTCTGGAGAGCGAGTGACCTCGGTTTCAGCGAGGTGGATGGAGTTTTTGATAGACCAATCCCAGATTTTGTCAAAGTTCCTGCATCGATGACGGGTGTTGAAGTTAGGTAAAGGGGTCGTCTCTCCTTGAACCCAGTACCATGAGATCATCGTCGTGTCAGCACGGCACATAATATTCTGCCTTATCATTTCGATGCAGTGATCTGGACCGTAACGATATTCCATAAGCAATAGTGCTTCGAGGCAGAAATAATATTCACCGATATGCGCACGAACTACTCTTGGGGTGGTTTGGAACACAGGTTCTTGAATGGACTCATAATACTCCCACCAAGAGGCTTGGCGAAGGAAGTTCTACACTAATGTGAGCCAAGAATGAGCATATTGTCGGTGCAGTATAGCTTACCACGCAATGCAATTGGTGGATGGCTTCCATAAAACCAATGTACTGTCCACCAATTTTTTCCGGATACCTGGCTTTCCAAGGCAATTCTGCCTCGCTTGTACCTCCTTTGAGTATCTCTTCGCGGGTCATTTGAGTTACTGGGTTTTACGGAGGTGAACGATTTATAATTAGCATAGCGAGACAACAACGCACAATTATTAGCTATCCCATTCCAAGCGGCATCAATTTCTGGCGAAGGAGGACCACGATAGATAGAAGGAAAGTCGAGGGATCCGTTAAACCTTATAAATACGGGCTCGACAGCAACATTTGCTGGAGCTACGATGGGTTATAGACTGTACTCTTCGATGCGATCTTTCCACTTACAGTATATATTAGGTGTGTCGTTGATCAGCTGAGTCGAAGGCGTACGCATCCATAACGCAAAAGAGAGAATCGATGTGCAAATAAGTACGCCATGGGACAACCACAGGCGAAGGGTATGTGACTTGAGACGAGATTCTTCACCGAACCTTTTTGCTAGTTTGTCGTCGTCGTCGACAGTATCTATAGGAGAGTACTGCGAGAAATATTTGATCATGACCTTTGGGTGAGGTAGCTCCGTTTATTACTGCCAGTGAATACGAGGGAGAGGGGGCAGAGCTGGGGTTGGGGTTTAAGTTTAGCCTTTAAATCCGTGTGGGATGAGGGCTATCGAAAATATGCTGCACATGGTCATCTCATACGTAGCGTACATTGTATGGATGTGGATGAATCATGATGCATGAATCACGCGCACGGCCCGGGGTGGCTTGGCACTTCATAACCAGCTATGCCTCAACACACGTGGTTGATGCCAGCAGAGAGTGTACCAGATAGCGTCAGAGTTGACGCGTCTATTTGATACAAACGCTTCCTTTCGATTCGGAAGTGGCTGCGTACTGCCGAAGTGGCGGCTATTCAAAACGTTACGCTCCCCGAACGTTATCGTATAGTTGATGTAACGCTAGACGCCAACTGAGACAATTGTCTGCAAGCCGAAGGAATGATGAACCGTTTTGTTCGAGAATGTAAAGATTTTATAATCATGAAACTGAATTTGATGATCAAGGCCGTCACAGAAATCACGAAGAAGTTCTTGATGTGTGAGCAATCGTTCCTAGGATGTCCTGGTGTCAAGCTGCTGACTGAAAGTGTCCATGCAGAGGTCTTCTTCCATCAATAATCGCCGCCAACTTTGTCACCCTTTTCCGCCTCGTTCACTCGTAGTTCAGTACATGAATGTGTGTTGCCGTGGTGATTTTCTTTCGCAATAGGACAAGAGGGAACGAGCGGACGGACTCGGGCAATTGGACTTCGAGTACTACTTATGCAGAATCATCCGATGGTAGTTAGATCTGCCAAATCGTGCCCATAAGCATACGTAGGATATAAGAGCTGGTTGTCACCTACAGTATTCCCCCATCCTTAGATATCATCCTATTCACTCCTCAGGATCCCATATCACCTCGTACAGAAGATGCGTTTCTCCCCTGTCGCCGTTGTTGTTGCTTTGACAACATCTATGTTTGTCGGTGCATGTTTGAGCAAGGGCAATTATGCATAATAGACGAGGCTTGCTGCGATAACCTGGTTTGTGACTATGGTGGCGTAAGTATGAACAGGTCGCTGTGCAACCAGGATTTAACCATATGACTCGCCTGCGCCCCTTAGGATGGAGAATTGATTTGCATGCTGCCACCCTAGCCGGTTGAAAATTGAGCTGGCAGCCCGAGCGGCATGTTGCGACAGTGTGTTTTTGTTATCACGGTTGATGCCATGGTGCAATACCCAGTTCAAAGTCAACCAGTACAGTTGTTTTTTTTGGGACTGCTCGAGTACTCAGATGAACGTTTGAATTTGGAAAACCTTGCCCTTGAAATCGAGAAAATTTTCAATAATTCCTAAGATTTTCAATGATTAATCTTCTTTTGCTGTTTTATTTGCCTAAGAGGAATTTGTCCCCGACTCCCACGTTAGTGGAGGAGGGCTTTGTCGAACGACGAACACAAACGAATTCCCATGCATTGCATTACCGATGGGCAAAGCTGTGCACTTGGACAGAATCTTAACTTTATTATCATCTGCTGAGTGCTCTACAATTTTCGGCAAAGCGACGGCAGTTCTACATCTGTTTTTTTTTCGTTTTCACCGCGATAAGGAATTTCCTGAAGCAATTGAATAGGTTGGTCCTTGGCTCATTCAATGTCGTCTTCAGCCTGGTCCTTTAATTGTGAGACACTACAGACTTCAAAGCACGTCGATATATATCCTGAACTTGAAGTACGATGACACGTTGCAGTGCATGTCATTTTGAGAACGAGCAGGCCGGAATCAGGAGTCGGGGACTGGTGCGCAAGCACCGTTACGATAATGACAATGTCACTTGCAGCGGGGTGCGAAACTGACCATCGGGATTAACAAACATCATGGGGTGGTCCGAGGTCGACCAGTCAGATCTCAGCTTCCTGCGAGACGCTACTTCTTGTTCGGAAATCACACAACTCATTCCATGTCCCTGACTCTTCATAGCGCTAAATTTGAGGTCCTCAGGCTCTCCCACACTTTTAAGTTTTGAGTAACAGCTGATGAGTCGATGCAAAACTCCAAAGCCACCTTGGCTGCTCCTGGCTTCGGAAGCGCCTCAGTTACCATTTTCTTCAAACCCGACGTCATTCCCCTTCTTGACAAGCTTTCGCCAGCCACTAAAGCTATCTGGGCTGTAAATACCATGGGCCATACCGGTCATCGAAGGAGGAAACCGCATCCTCTTGGGAAACAACACCAACTGGTTCGGCTTTCGTGAATCCATCCGCTCTCGTGCGCTATCTATTGGTGCGCTTGCTGCCGCCCTCGTCATCGGCGCAGGACGAACCGCCAGAGCCGCCATCATTGCGCTTTAGTCCCTGGGGGTTCAACGCATCTACCCGCTCAACCGGACTATAAGCAAGGGGCAGGTGCTCATCGAAGCATTCCTCGACATCCCCATCAAGCTGATCGAGGTGCTTGATGCTTGGCCTGCTGAAGGACCTGCACCAACTGTCATCGTATCCACCGTTCCAGCGACCGTAACAAATACTAATAGTACTAGCCCGGGATCTGTACTTCTTCCGTTGGCGTTGTTTGACGCGACTGTGAACGGCGTGGTTGTGGACATGGCGTGCAAACCTGCAGAAACGCTTCTTAAGCTCGCGAAGAGTGCAGCTCCCAAGTGGGCGAGCGTCATGAAGATCGAGGTGCTCTTGGAGCATGGTCATGCACAATTTGAAACTTGGACGGGACGCAGATGGGCTTGAGGGATGTCGTGTCGAAGAGTGTGCCTAGGTGGATCTGTGTTTGTTAAGAGGTTTTTTGGTGTATTCCGTACGATCTAGATGCAATTTATCAGCATGCGGTTTGTTTCAAAGTTTCGAATTCTCTGCTACATAGGAAGCAGGGCATTCCTCAATCGTTCGATCTTAATTCAGGGTAGAACAGTCCTGCATCGTACCTCCTCTCGTCTTTTATTCTCTGTTGAGTGTCTGATATGATGCACTTCAAGATGAAGGAGGAACCTGTCCTCTTTCTACATGTTCTTGCTAGGGGAGACTAAATAAATTTACATTTCTATCCTATTGAGGTGTTTTGTAGATACCCTCACTTCGATTCATCGCAATCCTCGCCTGTACAAAAGGTACCATGAGTAAATGAGTAAATAGCAAATAAGTTACCCCACCTGGGACGTCGTCGTCGGAGTAAGCGAGGTGTGTCGCAAGTTCCCTGCGCTTCTTGCCTGTACAAAAGGTACCATGAGTAAATGAGTAAATAGCAAATAAGTTACCCCACCTCCAGTGCTTGGGACGTCGTCGTCGTCGTAAGAGATGTGTGACTCAAGTTCCTTGCGCTTCTTGCTCTCTACTAGGAGATCACGTCCAAAGTTCGTGTCAAGCGTGTTTCCCTCGACTGAGTGGTGCATGGTGGCATATGAGTGAATATAATACTGCTGATGATCATGAACACTCACAGGAACGTTCCGAGATGGCTCCAGGCGTGGGTGACGCTGTAGCAAGAATGACGAAAGATATAAGCGCGCTTAGGAGCACAGAAAGTTGCATGGTCAGGGATGTATGAGAGTGATGATTCACACTGAAAATCTGAGGGAATCTTTTATACATTCTCGCAGGGCCGCTCCATTTTAGCCTCCTCCACAAAAGATCGTACACATATCCAGACCGTGGCCAGTTATAGCAGACCTTGGCGAGGAGCTGTCGGGTGTAGTACCGCCACGATACAGCCAACATGGGAATTTAGACCAAGACCCAGTGACCGATGAACAGAATAGAGAAAACAGCCATGACGAGCAATCACTCTAACCACTAAAACACTGCCGCGTTGTCCATGTAATGACGAGTTCTGTGGCGTTCAGCACGATGATCATGCTGAAAGAACCACGAGGGGAAAAGCCACGAGGGGATAAGGCTAACCTCGTAAGTACACGGAACGTCCAAATGAATTGCTCAGTTCGGACTGATGCGAATGAGTCCGCCACAGAAACTTCATCGTCATTAGCAAGTAACGTTTGGTAATTCGTGAGTAGCCGCCACGTCGTAGCTGGGTCATGCATGAATAGAAATTCAAACATAGTGTCATGATTGCCAGCATCTCTTGCAGTCATCAAGTTTCGCCAATCTACAATGGAAGGAGGGGCCATCAGTGAACCGGTGAAGAAAGTAGAAGGCCATATATCACAATATATAGTACACAATCGCACACATCAGCATAATTCTGCCATCGATCGTTACATTATCATGTTTGACCTTATAGAGGAAAGACGTGTGCTTCATTTTCTTATATCTGCTTCCGATGTCAAAGCTACTCAGGAAAAACCTCCCTCTCAAATTGGATGAAATGCGATCCAACTTGCACAAATCTGCAAGAATTTGATGATTTGGCAATCTGTCCAATTATTTTAATTCCTTTCAAATTTTCGTAAATAGGATCTCAATTCATGACAATACTAGCACGGTATTTTCAGGCAGCTTTTCCAATTCAATTAAATGATATCAAGCAAATTCCATTAAATTTTAAATCTGACATAAACGGCGAACATCTATATATCTATCATTCCGTCTACCATACCCTTGATATATCAAGGAACACGAGTCTCAGTAGGTCCAGATGATGAGAGATATGTCGTTGTATCATTGTCGTCGTCGCGTCGTGTCATCATCGTCGTTGTATCGTCGTCGTCGTGTCGTTGTGCGTCGTATCATTGTCGCGTCGTATCGTCATCGTCGCGTCGTCGTCGTTGTGTCATCGTCGCATCGTCGTCGTGCGTCGTATCATTGTCGTGTCGTGTCGTCGTCGCATCGTCGTCGCGTCTCATCGTCGTCGTCGTTGTGCGTCGTATCATTGTCGTGTCGTGTCGTCGTCGCATCGTCGTTGTGTGTCGTCGCGTCGTATCATTGTCGCGTCGTATCGTCGTCGTCGTTGTGTCGTCGTCGCATCGTCGCCGTCGTTGTGTCGTTGTTGTGTCGCCGTCGCATCGTCGTTGTCGTCGTGTCATTGTCGTCGTATCGTCGTCGCTGTGTCATCGTCGCATCGTATCGTCGTCGTTGTATCGTTGTCGTTGTCGTCGTCGTGTCATTGAGAGCAATGAGCAAGGGAGAGCAGCGAGGGAAGAAAAGTTCAAGTTGAACTTTTGTGAGCGCACCGTCACGTGAGCAAACATATACAAATGTTGGACTTAGTAGATATTTCCAGCGCTCTGTAGCACAATTGATCCCGCTGATGCCTTGTAGAGCGCTGCTGTACTTTTACATTTGCAATAAGCGGCAATCAGAAACATGTAAAGCGTTGTTTGAGGGGATGAAAATATTTAATGTAGTATTGTTGAAAGCGGAGGCCGCTGGAAGCGGTACAGCTAGTTTCAAAAGTTGTCCGCTAAAGGTATCTTCTCACGAGAAGGGCTTGAATAGCATTGTAATGGGACAAATAAATAGGGCCAAATGACAATGCACGAAATAATTGGGATAAGTCTACTACCACCCCTCATCATCTGAAAAGGAGGAATGTCATAGCTTTGTGACTAAATCTAATGGTATTCTAGATTTGTCGACACATGCCCGAGGCTCTTTCCATGAAAAGGCCTTAAATAACATTGTAATTAAAAAACGAGATCAGGTAAGATGTCGAAGCTCAAAACAATTAGCTCAGGTATACTACCACTACTCATTGGCTGCAGAGGCGGAATGTCCCAGCATTGTCATAAATCATTAATGTTAAGCTGGATTTATAAGCATACATGGGTATGTATGACATTGTACGTGCAGCTCAAATTGCTCGCAATATACAAGCTAATATCAGGCGGTAGCAGAATTAAATCGTGTTATACTTCCCACGGCTACAATATCAAGGACTCATCAATTCACTGATGGATGAATCGCGATGGCCGAAGGTTAGGTACTTAGGCTTAAGTCTCTATACCGTGTTGTCGAAGCGTCACTGGTGGACGTGTCACATTTGCCAAGTGGTCCGAATACAAGCAGGATAGTTGGAATGCGTCAGTGAATTATGTTTGAGATTCCTCGGAGTACCAGCATCAGCTAAGTAAGATGTAAGTTTGTTGGCGGCCAGGTCAAACAATGTGTTTATGTAATAATAAACGATTTTCAGCTTGGTATTATTTCCGCACGTAATTAATTTACAGAATCTTAGAAATGATAAATTCAACGGCTCAAGTTGGAAATGCTAGACGTGTTTGATTTACAGTGTGTTGCATATGAGATTGCAGTACGTGTTTTTCAAAACTCGGCCTTGCTAGTGGAACCGGCACTTTTACACCCTAATTAGGTCAAGGGATGTGACATATCACTCAAACTACACGGCCAATCGGAAAATTCATAGCATTTATGTCCAAAAATAGGGTTATCGGTCCTATGTTGACATGATCTCCACGCATCAACTTTCGTCGCGTGTATTATATATAATTAAATAATACAATTTGATGGATTCATAGGCTGACATAACATTGGTGACGCCAGAGTGTGAATGCGATGCTGGTAGGGTATACTATAGAGATACGACACTAACTTCAACTACATCCAGCCGTGACCATCTTACACTTAGCTTCATAGCTTCAAATGTTGGTGTGACCTGTGACTCGACCAAAATAGCTTCAGTCGGGTGTGAATGCCAGCGATGTGCCTCTGGACACATTAACCGACTATCTGGCTTCGGAGGGGTTACAAACCTATCCTGGTTGCGTGTTGGATGTCGCCAATGGCAGTCTTGCCTCTGCGACACAATCCAAAGTCTATGATATTGGCCAGGGTGACATTGATGGCGAAGCTGACAGCATTCCAAAGGTAGATTGTGGGTGTGGAAAGCATAGACGGATTGCGAATAGGATGTACACCGACTTTTGGTCTCATTGAGGTGCTCTATATGTTTTTATATGTTTTTTATTGAATTTACTGCATGTCACAAAATAGCTTCAGTTATGAAAAATCACCATGACAGTCACATTGAATAGCTTCAATTCGCGGCCGCTTGTGACACGTGACGAAGTTAGTGTCGTATCTCTACAGTAGGTCCATCGGCTGTTTTTGGGTGCGCATTATGTACTGAGATTGAGCACCGAAATTATGCTTGGTTGAAAACATAGATCCTATACTGAGACCTAGGTATTGGTAGTATACTGGTTGGCTGATGTACAAGCTATATAATTCCGGCATACACATGACACTTGAGCATATGTAGAGTGCACACCCATCAACATGCTGTAGTGGTACTACCTGAATATTTTTGCACTGATATTTGCGCCATCGAGACATCATAGAAAGCACATATTATTCTTGTACCAAATGATGACAGGTATGATTAAAATGAGGGATGTGGCAGTACAGGAGCGGTGAAAATGAATGGAAATATTAGGTGGTCCAAATAAGCTTGGTCTGAATAGCAGTCTGCCAACGAGGATTCATCCTTGAAATTAACTTTGAGACCTTCTTGCCACCAGGAAACTCGGCGAGATCAGCTTGGAATATTTCAATGAACAACCTAGCCGAACATCAGTGTCAATAACTGCATGAGCCAACAAAAATGCACTTCTGCAACTCCTTCTCTTGCTCGGCGGGAATCGAGGAGGCTTCCTTAGATATTTGGCGCATGACTAAGAGCGAGTGGTCGACAAAGTTCCAGAATCTGATGGTATTGGTGTACTGTGCTGGAGTACCTTCAACCAGTCCAAATCCGGAGTCCATTGGATCATCTAGTAAGACTGCGGCAGTTTTGACACTGTTCCCGAGCCCATTCAATTCCTCTTCCTCTCCATTAGCATCCCCACCACCCAGCTGCACTCCACTTTGGTCCTCGAGCTCTTCATCGTCCATGTTGGCACCATCCTCAATTCTCCTAGCACTGGGTGCATGACCATTACCTGTTGGAGTGTCTGGGGAGGCCTGATCATTAGACTCAAGCGCATCGTTAGTGCCAAACAAGTCATCTTCAAGCTGTGCAATGTTGACACCAAGTTCACGTTCAACTTTGCGCCACATATCCTGCTTAAGCGACGGAATAAGGTAAGGGGAAAATAAATCGTCGATGGAAGCATTTTTGTAGTCGCTGACTCCAATGAGAAAAATTTGCAGAAGATGCCACTGTCCCCATACAAACGAGTGTTAATGATAATAGATATGTATGTAGTATCACTTACAAGGAGCGCGATCCTGTTCCAATGTGTAGAGTCAACTTCCATACCAGACCCGCTGCATGCAAGTGCCCTCGTCACATCAGCGATGCTCGTGCGCTTGACAACTGACGTGGTGAGCTACATAGCAATGATCATAAGTGAGAGTACATCAACAAAGTAGCGAGACATACGGCATTCTTGATGACACTCCGAATGCCTGTAAGTAGCTTTGTGACCGATTTGCCCAACTGAGCTCTGAGTTCGACATCCTCAAGCATTCCAGGAGGGATTTTGAAGACATCGGAATGAGTGGTAATGAAGTCCTGAAACAATTTAGCGGTGCTGAACAATAGACTTCGAAGCCATACCATTATATGATGCTGAGTATCAGTAACATATGCTGTGATATTTGGTGACAGCATACATGCAAATAAATGGTTATATAGCCCATTCTTCCGGTCCAAGTTAGTCTAGAATAACACAGAATGAAAAGTACCATTGTCACCTCGAAGTCCTTCGATTCTAAGGCATCCTTCAATTCCTGCATTCTCTTCGCCCTATTTACCTCGCAAAGTTTGATAAGAGTAATTTTCAGGTCTATGAGCATAAAGAAGATGTCGCCAGACTGCATCAAGCCAGAGTCAGCCAACACAACAATGCCAATGGTTTGACAAAATTTTCTTACATCAATGAAACACATGATGTCTCCGGTAGGGACATCATTGTCTTCGCATATCTTCTTGGCATACATCTTCAAGTGTTTCGTTCGTTGGGGTGTAAGCTTTGTAGGATCCCCATGGTTGAAAGTTCCACTATTCCTGCATCGATGAACTGCGGTGCTGATTGGCTCATCCAACAATGATGTTGGACTAGAGGGAGGCTGAACTTCAAGGCCAGGTACCGCTGGGCCATCACCGCTTGGAGTTGTAGATCGATGGTTCAGGGAACGGGAAGTATCTGTGCAGTATGAAGTACATTAGCAAGTCAAATTAGATCTTATATACGAGGACCTACTTCCATGCCCTCCAGCAGACAGATAGTTGGATGAGCTTCCGCTGCCAGGGTCAGGCGTAGTACTTTTTCCTATGGATCTTGCCCCCAAAGTTCCTGGGTTCGACTGTGGCCTCGGCAATTGCTCTGCTCGTGAAGGTGATCTTGAGTGTTGGTTGCCGCCAGAAGGTATGTGCAGACGATAACCACGTTGGAACATTGTCGCAAATGCCAAAGGCCACAGCGGCTGCCCTTGCTTGAAGTTTGATATTATAAATAGAATCCGTAACACTCCGAAAGTTGACATCCAGAAAATGAAAATTTAAGTTTATTTGGATGATGTTGGAGTGTCTATGAAAATTCAGGCCTCTGTCCTCTGGGCAGACTGGAAGATACTGGTATTGATATATTGTAATGTAAGGTGTGATGAAGTAGGAAGGATTTTAAAGACAAACACGTGAACCTGTCGAAGAACGCTGGAGGAAGAACTTCAAAGATAAACGTGCAAACCTATCGAAGAATGCTGGAGGAAAAATTTCAAAGACAAACACATGAACCTGTTGAAGAACGCTGGAGGAAAAATTTCAAGGACAAACACGTGAACCTATCGAAGAACACTGGAGGCAAAATTTCAAGGACAAACACGCAAACCTATTGAAGAATGGTGGAGGAAAAATTTCAAGGACAAACACACAAACCTGTCGAAGAACACTGGAGGAAAAATTTCAAATGGGGAGTTCTGTCTAGTACCGTCTATTGGACTGTGGAGCCTGAGGGTGCCAGATGTGTGAGGTCATCACTGGCATGGAAGGTTGCAAGGGAAGTCCATATGGCAGTTGTCGTGGATGGGGGGGGGTGAAGGGGGGGGGGGTGGAGGGGGGGGAGGGTATGAGGGATTTGGAAGAGCTGGCCCCGAAGAGTACTGATATAATGGGACACCATATTGCCCAGGATACATTGGCGGCACCATGGAAGGTGAGTTTGATGGCCAAGGATGAGAAGGGAGAGGTCTAGGTGGACCAAGTACAGGAGATGATTGCCACGTCAATACCATTGGGGGTGACTGCAAAGAGTTATGTGAATGGGGAGCGCTGTATGGGGGTACGAGGGAATGCTGCATCTGTGAAGGTACAGTAGCAGGTGGATGTAGTGATGGGAGATGAGAAGGCATGGGCGCTGGGAGATGAGAACTCGAAGACGCGGCTGCCTGTGTGATTGTGGGTTGTCGTGGACCCGGCTGTGGCAGAGGTGCCTTGTCTTTTGCTTTCTGCATTTTCTTGATTTGTTTCACTGCTGGACGGTCAAATACTGCAGGAACATCAGCTATGACATCGCGCAATGCGCTCGAAAGCTCAGTATCTGGTGTTTCACCTGATTTCTTGGCTGCTTTCTTCTCCTGGATTTAACGAGCTGCTGCTAAATGAACCTCTGTTGCATTATTGACCCTCAATGATGTCTCACGAAGTGACGGAGGAATGACAGATTGAATTTGGGCATAGTTGTGAATCGAGTAAGCATTGAGCAAGTAGAACAGTGAGGATTTGTGCTGAATGATGGACTTCGTACGTGTGGTCTCGGTTCGCTCTTGACGAAGGTGACATTGACCAGTGTCTGTGCACTGTGATTTGACACAGTCATGCTGGATGTTTACTATACAAATGATTTCCTAGATTCACCGCATGAGCATGTCAATAAGCTCGATTGAAGGATCGTGTTCAAACTTACTTGTGGGCTAATAACAACCTCATGTTCTGTGAGCTTGAGAGTGGGGAGGTGAAGCGAAGGATGCAAAACAGGTCCAAAAGCAAATTTCTGAACGGCGACATGGTTCACAGCTTTGTTAGAGTTCGAAATCAGGATCTCGCGAATGCGCCCAATGGCTGTGTGGGATGTTGAAGGGTCATTGAAAATAATATGGCCTTCCAAGGATGCTTTCTCACCATTGCCAAGAATCAATGAGACACCTTCGTGGTATTGAGCATTACAGACAGGTTGTGAGAGCTTGAGCATGGTGCAGTGCATTGCTGTCCACATCACAGGTTTTGCTGCCACAGGCCGTCCATCGTTGATAGTTACTTTCTTGAGTTGACCGGTTCCTCGAGTAATAGACGTTACAATCCATGATGCTCGGTATTCAATGAACACATTACCTGTCACAGGAGGTTCTTGTATATGAATTCCTAAAAACTGTGCTTGCTCTGGATGCTCGTCAAGGTAGTTCAAAACTGCGTCACCTGCCCGAATCCACTTTTTCCTAACACTATCAAACCAGTAACCGCCAGTCGCGATATGTTTGATGATATCTTCCCTCGCAAATACTTTGCATGTATCCTGGCTTGGACCTTGTCAATTGCTATGTATACATGCCAGCCGGAACACGTAATTGAACGATGTAGAGACTCATGCGTCTCAATGCCGATTATGCGGCCTTTATCCACATGTCCCTATGTGATCCAGCTCTAATCCAAAGGACCAGTCTCACGCGCACTCACGCACACCTTATATTTGTACTCGCGCGCGCCTTATCTTCACTCACACGCTGTAGGTAAACAACTTTTGCTGAACACTACACGAAGTGAGTGTCTAGCAAAATATAATAGTTGTGGTCTAGCACAGCCTAGTCTGCTTATACTTGCAAGACAAGTGTGTTCGACCCGAGGGGTTTGCTATTGGAATAAGTCTGCAAATAGTCTATTGATGAACTGGCAAAAGTCCGAGCGCGGGAAACAGAATTCGAAGGTATAATTACGAGTCCGATGCCAAAGCGTCGGCCGATGTTTTCGGGTTTAGCGGGTTTCGGGTGCGGGTTTGGCGGGTTGGTGTCGGGTTACTAAAAGAACGTCGGGTGAAGCGAGCGGTATGCAGATTATTAAGACTGCGGGTGTTTCGGATAGAAAGAGCGGTAATATTTCGCAATGTCAACTAAGAACTACAAAATATCGGGTTTGACCACTAAGCGTCGGGAAAATATCTCCCTACTACTTGGATGATAATATGCTATGTGGAAAACCAATATATATATATAAGTACGTAGAAATCCGGAACCCTATAGGCAAAAGTAGCGGCCGACGATTTCGGATCCGAAGTACATGTAAATAAACATGAGGCGCTGCGGACGATGGGAAAACATGTAATAGCACTGGCTACGACGTGAGTAATGTGAGAAATAATCAACTACGCACCTAGTGGGGCTAGCAGACAAGACAGGACACGGATAGGACAAGTGCGCGGGAAAAACGTCGGCCGACGCGGCCGATGCATCGGGTCCGCTGGTCAAAGTGTCGGGTTTCATCGGAAGGTGAATACTGTGTGACGGGCATTTGACACGATGCGTGAAATGGCTAAATACGAGCTCAGCGCTAGCTCGAGTGCTACAACGCGCCTTATCTTCACTCGCACGCACCTTAACTGTGTTCGCGCCATGTGCGCTTCGTGCGCGCGTTCGTGTGCCTCCTCCTAGGTCTTCGCGCTACTGTCCGTCCATTCATCCCATGTCCTCGCTGATTTGCTGGTGCATTATTCTTATCTCTTTTATTGAACTAACAAAGTCCTCGGTCCGACGTCCGCATTTACTTATAGAAAGTCTACTCAAACTTAGTTATATTTAGAATTGATAGGGTTACTCAGTTCAGAATGCGCTCGGAAGCGCGCCACATAGCGTAATCTCCCTTCTTAAATACAGATAGGATTCTTCTGGTTCTGGTACTTACTTTCCCCTTATCTCTGTGTACTGGCAAGTGTATAGATCACCTCCCCACTTGAAATCTGATCATATTCTCCTATCTACTATCATCTGCGCATCTACTCTTCAAGAAGAATCTATTCCCTTAACGCTCTGAACGCGCAACACTTCGCACGCGCGCATACTCGAACCTCCCGCTCACGTGCGCGTCTCGCGCGCCTTCGCGCCTGTTAGCGCCCGCCTAGCTCATAGAGTTTCCCTCCATTTTATTCCGAGGAACTTCTCTCAGTGGTTGTCCTTTGGGTCGAGTCATTGTCTCGTATCCTGGTCTTGCTGTAGAGCACCCATTTGTTTAAGTGTTTTTACCTATAGTCAAGATTCCTCATCTACAACGACTCGTATTGTTCAGTGGAAAAGAGAATGGCTGGTCCAAAGTGTCGAATGTATGTGGGAAGATGGACCAAAAAGTGGAATTTCGGCTTTGAGATGAGAATGCTTGGTGCGCATCTTGCTGTGACATTGAGGACATCCTCAATTGTCCAGGAAAGCTTTGTCTATGATTCAATCAGCATTGGTGCGGCAGTGTCAGAGTGCGATCATACCAAGTATATCTCTATATCATCCATCTCTGTGTGCCAAACATACACAACGAGCTCACCAATACACGTCCAGCCATCAAGTACCATTCTTGGCAGTAAGTCTTGAATGAGAAAGGGCATGACTTGCGCCAAACTTTTGAAGTGTTTCCCTATGAGCCCACCCTTATAATGACAGATATACTCAGCATTGAAACATGGAGCATTGAGCCCAGCCTTCTTGATAGAGTCGAGACGCACTTGAAAAACGTCCAGTAGCTTTGCCTTCTCGAGAAGATAAACAGATTGACCCCAAAAGTACTTGACGACTCCCAGTAGAACCGTATATAGAATTTCTGTCGGCGTGTCCTGATGAACATTAAATCCTGACAAAAGGTCAATGTAAAGCTGAAAACGAGGACATAAATGTTACCTTCCATGCCCAGTAACAGATTGATGGTGTTGTAGAGAATCATGCCTCTCATGGTGTGATATGGCAGTTTTCACTAGGGAGTACATTGCACGAACTCACAGCACCACTCTGTGTGCTATCCACAGCTATCCCTATATGAGGCGCAGCTTTCCCACGCAACGCGCGCCATGCGCGCGTGACTTCCTGTGCTTCACAATGTATATGCGTGCGCGCTTTCCCGCGCTTGAGCGCCCTATAGCACCAGCCATCCAGATGCATCCATCCACTGTCCACCAAGTTCTCTAGTGCGTATATTTCCATTTCTCTCAACTGCATATTGTTCCACCTTTATTTTTATCATGGACCCTTACTTATATATATCTTTACATACCTACTCGGTAGCGCTTAGGCGCACTATATAAGCGCCAGCAGTGCATACTATGAGGACTTCACTTTTCACTTACCTTTCACTACTTACTTTGCCACTAAACCACAGTACTACCAACTTACTACTTAGCAGAACATAGTAGAAATCTATTCTTTGGCACATCGCGTCTCACATCTCTTATCTTACATCATATTATCACTTAAGTCTAGTCTCTCTATCATTTCTGCATACACGTGCGCGCGTTCCCACGCCTTGCGCGCACCTGTGCTTTCTCGTGCTTCGCTTCAGCGCATATCACTAGATCCTTGCTGCACTCGCTTCCCCTTTAGGGTCGAACACACTTGTCTTCCCAAGTATAGCAGACTAGGCAACGCGCGACCTTACAACATTTATAGATACAGTCAGGAGCTTCATTTGTTCCTCACAGTATTGTTGTTTCTACAGCGTCATCGAGAGCGCTCCCTCGCAGGAGGTCTTCAAGTTGCTTCTCTAGGATAGCCTTGACTTCAGCCTCTGGCTTTGCCTGAACGCCAGCACCCCATTTATGAAGTTTCTTCCCCAGCTCAATGACCGTCTCGAGAATGTAACCAGTTATTGTGTCCTTCACGCCTGACGAAGCGACAGATTTCTTAATCTTTTCTGTTGCACCCAAAGCAAGCACAGAAGAAAACTGCGCACGAATCTCTTCTGCTGTTCCTGCGGGAGTGCAATGTTTTCCTGGCTACTCGGACAGTCAGTCAACATGGTGACAAGCAGGACAAGAATATGCTACATACCACGAAGATACTCTTGTAGCCCTCATCTGACTCTTTGTACTCTTTTGTTCCGCCAACTTCACATGTCCTGCAGAAGTAGTTGCAATGCAGCCCTGCTTGGCTACATTCCTCGGCCTGCATGGGATTGTTGCCACCGAGAAACAGACCATATAGCTCCAGCATAACTTCTTCTTCGTGCTTGCAGTCCCAAGTGAAGACTCCGGATTCTGCAGCTTTCCTATGATCACCAGCATCATGTTTCGCTATAGCAGATTATAAGTATCACGTACCTAATTGATTCTTGCATGGCGCTCATCATCTCCATTGGGGCTGCGTGAGGAGACGATGTGACAAATCGAATGCAAAACTCTGTCTCGAGCATTTTGTGAGGTAGATTCGCGTTTGACATGTACACTGCATGGTGCTTGTTCCATTGCTTGGATATATTGCCGGATATGTCGTCCATGAAGATTATGAGAGGGACTGAATACACCATACGTCCTTGGGATTTTGCACGAGTTTCGCATACTTGTGTGACGACTCCATCAGCCCACAAGCGAGTTTGTTGTCATTGGCAGATATTTCCCTGAAAGACCTTCGAAAGTTAGATGTTGGAATCATCTCCCGCTCGTCACTGACAATAAACCCATCCTAAGTCTATCAGTAAAAGTGAAAGTATGTGAAGAACGGACTCACCTCTGTTCGTTGTACAGCGCGGCCAAGTGCATGTAGCTGCTTGTCCGCACCATCATTCGTCGACAAGTAGTGTTCTGCACGGGTAACCCGTGGGTATTTTTTACTATACCCATACCCTTACCTGTGAAAACCCGTACCCGTACCAGGGGTAGGGGTTTTTTCACGGGTCAGATATTCATACCCTTGGGTGTACCCATACCCGTACCCGCAGCGGGTAACCCACGGGTACACCAATAACACTAAGCACAAGTCTGTAATTATTTGAGCCACTACTAGCATGAAACAAATTGAAAAAATTAATCTATGATGTCCCAGCCTTCTTCAAGCTCCTCATCGTCTCCTGCAACCTCTGGTAGAATTGTGACAGCGGTAATGTCCTTGTTCTTCACATAGCCCATCAGACTCCAGTTTCCGAGACAGAGTAGAGCGCGTGTCAACTGTGCAGATAACCGGTTACAAACATGAGACAAAATGAGGCGGCCCTGACTGAAAACATGCTCAACATCAGTTGACATCGCTGATGTCATTAGTAAGACAACACCATTGCCATAGTATAAGTTAGTAGCTCACCGGGAATCGACAAGTAGTCGAGCGCCATGCGGGATAGACAAGGGTATACTGATTTTCGCTCATGCCACCAGAGAAGGACGTCCCTCGCTTGCTCTGGATCGGTGCTGAGGTAGCGTGAAACTTCGTCGAGCATTTCTGCAGCACGCGGAGCAGCAAGGGAGGGCAGATCGTCAAATATATTAAGTACCTAGTATAGAAGATCAGTTACACACCAGCAGTATCAAAAGCGCTTAAACAAAACATACCTTGGTCTGCTTGTTTACAGGTGTGGGTATATCCTCATGTGCACCAGACGCACGTAGTGTGGAATAGGACTGATTGAAGACATCCCTCACAATCTCCTCTGCAGTATCAATCCAGGCGCGCTCCCAGCCAGCACACTCGAAATATTTAAGTTTGTGTCGGGGATGTAACACTGTCAATAGATAGCATTATTATACTAGTAGTTATAACCATTCTGAAAGAAAAAGACTTTGTACCCATAGCAATACGATATACTTCAGATTGATCTGTAGCATTGTAATAGTGGTTGAGTGTTTTCCTGGCGATCCCTAGGGCAGCATGAATTGATAGTTCATAATCACGATTAAGGGAGTGGTTGGTGAGCATTTCATCGATGTGATCCATTGCGGGGATCACAGCCGCAAGACTGGGAGTGGAACGAGAGAAAAATAATGTTACATCTTTGAATATCTAAGTCGTAATGAGAACATGCAACATCAATCCTAAAAATAGAAATGCACGCACCTTCAATGTGCTGTGGAGCTGTCCAGCAATGATCCACTCATCCTTATCCAACTCAAACTTGCGCAGGTTTGCACTTTTGTCCGCTGTAACACTGTCAATGGCTAACTGATACTCTATTGCGAACGCCAGCATGTCAAAGGTTGAGTTCCACCGTGTTGCTACATCACGCGGCATTTTCCATTCTGGTAGGCCGAGCTTCCGGAGCGTTCGAAACCACAAGGGCAGGAGAAGTGTTGTTGAGTGGAGGAGTGCGAATGCGATCTTGTGTAGCTGTGGAATCATTCAGGTGAGTATGACAACGCCTATAAGACTTTGGTTCAGTGACTGACTTTAACCAACACCAGCTTGACAGGCCTTATGTTTTCCTCAAGTTCGTTATGGTCAGCCATGGGGAGTCTAGCTACCTCATCGATCCAGCCATCTGCAGTATCACCATTATCATCAACATCATCTTCCTTCCCCTCCCATTCACCTCTGGTCTGCTCATCCTCAATATCAAGACCCTCGACAAGATCTCTCAACTCCCTCTCTGTGTCGTCCAGTGCTGCATCTGCCATGCCTTTGGGGACATCAAATTGACGTATCAAACTTTTTGCTACGAGGGCGATCACATGGTTAAAGCACCGTGCACGGTTGGGATCTCCAGGGAACGAGGGAATCAAATCACTGAGTGCCTCAATCATGGTGTCATTTGAAGACACATACATTATCACAGGTTATACACAGTATCTGGCTGCAGGTAAGTATCCTGTCCACTGCTATTTGATGTAAACTGACCTTATCAGACACACCAAACTCTTCAAGGATCTTTGTGAATGCCGCGGCAAGGTTAGCACCTGAGTGTGACATCGCTACTTCAACAACATCAAGGATCAAGCACACCGGCTCTCCATCCTGTTCAAAGTGGACAGTTACAGCGACAAACGCCCTGTGGTTTGGAGAGGTCCATGCATCTGTAGCAAAGCTGAGGGCGCCCTCATACTCCTGCAACATATTTGCGATTCGCCTTTGTGTATTCGCAAACACCTTCTTGACATCACGAGATACTGTTGTGGGTGAAGGTATGTAATATTTCAGTCTTCCCGTTTTCATTAAGCTCTGGAAGCCACAATCACTGACAATTTGAAAGGGCCTCTTACTCTCGGCCACCCACCGCACTATCTCTGCCCGCGATTCCGTTTTCGTATGTTGACGGTGCGAGAACGTCACTTTCCCTTTCCCTTTACGCTCAAAGGCAACTGTTATGGTTTGTGGATCCAGGATCCCTTTGACCGTTGTCCCGCGCACCTCTGTTGCATTCTTGGCTTTGTCGGCCGATTCGACAGTTTCAGCGCCCCAGCATTTCTTTGCGTGTTTACGCATATTTCCCATGGACTTTGCATCCCCAGTATCAAGATATCTCCTCACCCCCCGTGTTTTGTGCTTACAATTTGTTGCTGCACATTGGAATGAGTGACATCAGCAGCCGTCAATGTACTCAACGGTAGGGGCAGACCTGAAGAATGCATAAATGGGTGCCGTCCAGTCTTTCGAAAGTCGTCCTGTCAACCTTCAGCATCATATAATACAGCGCCGAGGACTAAATTCACTTATTTCACCCTCTTCATCCTCAGCTGCCGACTCTTCTTCACTGTCCTCCACTATAGCCTCCATTGTTACATCTCCATCAGCATCGAGACTGCTCCCAATGTGACTCGGTTCATCATCGTCATCATCGTCGGAGTCTTGAACTGTTGCCCTTCATGAAAATCCTCCAGTGGAGGATTGTGTCAAAGCTCTAGATGCAGAGGTAGAGATTTTGCGAGTTGCTACAGATTTCTTGTGGGATTGCAAGACAGTTTGTGTAGATGTTTTCATATACTTGACTTTGCCAGGAGCTTTATTCTTAGCTTTTGTAGTACCTGCCATGGTAAAGGTTGAATAAAGACATCATTTGAATTTGCCTTATTATAAATTGAGTTTCAAATTCTGAGGGTACACGGGTACATAGCTGCGGGTACGGGTTTCCCACGGGTTCAAATTCCTGTACCCCTACCCGTACCCTCCAAAAAACCCTCCAAAAACCCACAGATTACCCATACCCCTGCATATCACTACACTTGATCCACTGCACGGCAAACTCAAGGTCTTTTTCAGCCTGAATTCTGAACCGGAGCTCTTGAAGGGACTGGAACCATCCCTTCAAAACAGCGAATGTGTGTTCAACACGAACACAGATCTAAAAAAATTCAATTTACTGAAATATAAACCTCAAAAAAAAAATACCTTAGAGAGATGATAATTAAATGTCTTCTGGTCCTTAGTCAACTGCCCATTGTGAGGCTTCTTGAAAGGGGCAATGCACCATGGCTCCAATGGATATGCACTGTCAGCCCACACCCAATGACCATCAGGTAGAAGGTCAGCATGCTCTTCATAGAGACGGGTAGATCGAAAAGCGAATGCATCATGGACACTCCCAGGATGACCCAGAGAATAATCCACAATGAGAAGGTTATGGGGCAAAATGACTGCCTAGAATTAAATCAATTTTTGCACATGAAGATTAAAAAAAAATTACCTGACAGCCAAGGGAATATTTAGATTTCCTATCATAAAATGTCTCACCAAAGTAACCAGGTTTGGTGAAAAGATTCATAGTTGAGCCATCAATTGCTAGAAAGCCACCCTTCCACTCTGGGCAGGTACGCGACTCGGCAAATTTGCGAGCCAAGTCAGCATCCTCAGAATTATCCGCTGGGAAGCATATAAACTGATCGTGAGCATCAAGCACCGCAATCATCACATGATTAGTGCAATTAACCACAGACCCAACACTCACGCCTGCCCATTGAGCAACATCTTCAAGAGTAATAGCATTTCCATAGTGGCTGGCTCAATTCAAAAAAATGGCAAGTTGAATGGAGACAGGGAGCTGAGGATTGTTGGACTGATTTTGGAAGATGGGATGATCAGAGATAAAATTGAGGATGTCATCGAAGATCTCGGGGTTAACACGGAGTTTTTGCCAAAATAAGTGAGGGCGGTGTTCTTCATGATGGACCAACATGTGAAGCTGAGGTGCTCGTGGGGGAGGCTCATCGGGCTTATGGAGTACACGAGCCCTCTTAACCTCATCACAAAGAGCATTAATGGTGTCACGGAGGCGGTCATAAGGCACAGTGATGTCATCAGAGGATATAGAACCATCACTGGAAGAATCTGAAGCCCCTGTCATAGGGGAGAGGGGGGAGGGGGGAGGGGGGAGGGGGGGAAGGCGAGCTAAAAGATAGATTGATTGAATTATCATCATCCAAAGTAGTGGAAAGGGAGTCCTCGGAGTCAGAATCACTCTCAAAGTCAGATCAATCGTCCAGGATATCCTGGTACTGTAGCTTGGCCAGGGAAAGTTCGGCCTGGTCTACAATAGCCAGGAGTTCTTTACAGATGGATGGTTGAGGCATGGTCACAAACGGGGAGTCGAGGGAATCAAAACTCCTATCCATTTGTGTATATGTGATGTAGTTTGTGGCAGAGTTTGAAATTTCGGAAAGTTCCGAAGTTTCGTCTCGCAGTGAGCACGCTGATGCCATCATCGACCTCACCATCCAGCCTCAATGCTCACACACAGCACTGAGCAGGACATCAAATTTTCAGGTGTCATCAACCCAAAGTAAGTATTTTTTTTGCCTCCTGTAAGTTCCAGCTAACATATTCACTCTTATCTTACAGGAAATCTATTCTGGTGCCGGTCCCACACATGACCCACAGCGGCTCAATTTTACCGCCAAGCCGCTGGTTCCTCACTACCCCCTACACCTTCTACACTCCCCTTCTTGTGGGATCGACTCTGCGCTCATTCCAATCCAGCCAGCTCATAGGTTTACGTGACCCCTTATGCCTGATGCAGTCTTTCAACCACCCCAACCTGTACTATGCCGCAGTACAGCCTAAACTGTCCACGAAAAAGAAGGCAGTTCAAGCCATTGCTGGTTTCATCAAGTCACAGCATGCTACCCATACTGGCATTGTGCACGGCTTCTCGAAGTCAGAGTGTGAGGAACTTGCTGAGCAACTGCGAAATGACTATGGCTTATTTGCCAAACATTACCACGCCGGTATGGGCCTGCAGATCTTTTTCATGTGTCCTCCTCCCCTCAGCACTTATTTAGTCCCCGTTGATCACGCCGGTGCGCTATATTCACTTGTCCAATCGTGTGGTGGGGCTGGTCCCCCCACACACTTCGGCACTACTTCGCAATGGTCACCTCACGCTCCCACATATCCCTCACCTTCTGGTACTGCGCCTTCACATTATGGCCAAGGATACTCTCTGGGCCCTCATATACCTTATCACGCAAATGCCCTTGAAACACCTCATGCTGGGAGTTCGCAATTCACTCCTGCTCCTGCTCCCTCTTTTTTTATGAATGTTAACATTTGAAATACGGTGTATATCTACTATGGGTTGCTTTTTTTTACTCTATGTACGACTTTCCCCTATGAACATACACTTTGAAAAATCATAAGTGTTTGAATCTCCGACTTCGTGCCGACGTGCGCCGAGCATGTTTTGAGCGAGTTGAAACCAACTTTAACTGAGAATTCAGAGCGTGTTTAGCATGTTAAGCGAGTTTTTAAAAGGTTTTAAAAGGTTTCAAAACTTATTTTGAGTACCACTCCTATTGAGGTGTTTTGTAGATACCCTCACTTCTTGTCGCATCGAATGTATAGCCATATCAATCAGGTTTATATATGTTAGGCTGTTCATTGCCCTAGTTGTCGTAAGCGATACGCGACTCGAGTTCATCGCACTCCTTGCCTGTACAAAAGGTACCATGAGTAAATGAGTAAGTAGCAAATAAGTTACCCCACCTCCAGTGCTTGGGACGTCGTCGTCGGAGTAAGCGAGGTGTGTCGCAAGTTCCTTGCGCTTCTTGCTCTCTACTAGGTAATCATGTCGAAAGTACGTGTCAAGCGTGTTTAGCTCGGCTGAGTGGTGCATTGTGGCATATGAGTGAATATGATACTGCTGATGATCATGAACACTCACAGGAACGTTTCGAGATGGCTCCAGGCGTGGGTGACGCTGTAGCAAGAATAACGAAAGATATAAGCGCGCTTAGGAGCACAGAAAGTTGCATGGTCAGGGATGTATGAGAGTGATGATTCACACTGAAAATCTGAGAGAATCTTTTATACATTCTCGCAGGGCTGCTCCATTTTAGCCTCCTCCACAAAAGATCGTACACATATCCAGACCGTGGCTAGCTATAGCAGACCTTGGCGAGGAGCTGTCAGGTGTAGCACCGTCACGATACAGCCAACATGGAAATCTAGACCAAGACCCAGTGACCGACGAACAGAATAGAGAAAACAGCCATGACGACCAATCACTCTAACCACTAAAATACTGCCGTGTTGTCCATGTAATGACGAGTTCTGAGGTGACCAGCATGATGATCATGCTGAAAAAACAATGAGGGGATAAGGCTACCCTCGTAAATACACGGAACGTCCAAATTGATTGCTCAGTGACTGATGCGAATGAGTCCGACACAGAAACTTCATCGTCATTAGTAAGTAGTTTGTGAGTAGCAGCCACGTCGTAGCTGGGTCATGCATGAATAAAAATTCAAACATGGTGTTGTGATTGCCAGCATCTCTTGCAGTCATCAAGTTTCGCCAATCTACAATGGAAGGATGAATCGCGATGGCCGAAGGTTAGGTACTTAAGTCTCTATACCGTGTTGTCGAAGCGTCACTGATGGACATGTCATATTTGCCACGGGTCCGACTCCGAGCAGGATACTTGGAATGCATCAGTGAATGATGTTTGAGATTCCTTGGAGCACCACATCCGAGCTAAGTAAGATGTAAGTTTGTTGGCCAAGTCAAACAATGTGTTTATGTAATAATAAACGATTTTCAGCTTAGTATTATTTCTGCACATAATTAGTTTACAGAATCTCATAAATGATAAATTCAACGCACGCTCATATGTGCGATTGGACCGACCAGTTGGAAATGCTAGACGTGTTTGATTTACCTGGACATTTGCGACTCATCTGCAGTCACATTCGTGATTACTGTCATAGTATATCTCGATGAGCTGACGAGGCACTTCTAGCTATATGTAATACCTGAGTTAAGGGCCATCAGTAGCGTCACGTCATCAGAGAACCTGTGAGAAGAAGATATCGTCATATATCGTTATATATCGTAATGTATAGGAAAGGTTTTCGTCACATTGGAATATAAAGCAATATATGACTATGTAAAAGCACCATAATCAGCATAATCCCCAGCAAGAACTCACCGGTTTACTGATGGTCAGCCAATTTAACATCGTTCAAACGTTCATCGATGCCATCCGATCAAACGTTCATCGTTCATAAAGTTATCACTTTATTACGCAGGCAAGGCCTTTAGCTTTAGGCACGAACGGAGAAAGTCGAAGTCTTTGAGTGAACATTAAACGTAGCTTTCGCACCTCTTGTTCATCTGCTACGACGAGTCACGACTGTCCACCTTACCTTCCTATTATCCCTGTCTCATCGCACGGCGGCACAATTCAGCGCCTCGCCGTCGTCCATAAATAACGAATACAAACATATCTTTTGGGCCCTGAAGGGATAAATTAGGCAGGATAATGACCCTCCCGTCCCCGCAGCCGACCTTCTCCTCTTCCTAGGCTGAAACCCCATCGAGGTCTGGAAGTGACAGCCATTCGCGGGGGAGACTACATCGAAGTGCGACTTGAACGCGGCGTATCGTTCAGCTCGCCGTGAATGCAGGTGCCCTGCATGCTCCTGCATGTGTATATTTCCTTTTCAGCTACTCACGCAGTGGAACGAGTGCCCTGAAATTACACAAACGAGGAGTGTCATCAGTTCCTTTGCAAGCCCTGGTAATATTTACGCAAGTAGGTTCCCATTCTGCTTTGCAAAATGTTTAAGGCCACATTCCATCCATCACATCGTGATCTACTCGAGAACCATCATCGGGTGAGATTTTTTTGAGAACACCAGGGTAGCAGGCAATGGCGCACACCAATTATTGATCAGCGACAACCATTGGGTTTAGTGGCTTTGGGAAACAGGATGATCCGGAAGCAACTTAGCAAGTGTCTACTAGGAAGCATCTCTGCTGCATCATCCTTGTCCTTTGGCCTAGATATACAAGCTTTTCTGACGTTCTGTATCATATAAATCTATATCCAGCTCGTTTCATAAACTCTCAATGAGACATTTCTTCCAAGGTACCAATAATCGCCCTCCTTTCATGGTATTCCTGAACAAGTGGGGTGAGCAAGCAGGCGAGCAGTGTGATATTCTTCATGCGTCACGAGGTGGTTTGGGGAGGTCAATCGTATCCTCGAAGCGAACCATCTTGGATTCATCGATGTGAACGGCGTGTTCGAAAGACCAATCTAGAATTTTCTCGAAGTTCCTGCATCGATGACGGGTGTTGAAGTTAGCTTGAGGGGCATCATGTCCCTGCACCCAGTACCATGTAATCATCGTCGTGTCGGCTTTGCACATAATATTCTGCCTTAACATTTCGATGCAGTGACCTGGACCGTAACGATATACTGTAAGCAATATTGCCTTGAGGCAGAAATAATATTCACCAATATGCACATGGATTACGTCCGGAGGGAATTGGAATGAACGATCTGTAGACGCCGAGTAATGCTCAAACCAGGAGGCTTTGCGGAGCAAGTTCTATACAAGTGAGCCAAGAATGAATAAATTGTCGGTGTAGTATAGCTCACCACACAATGCAATTGGTGGATAGCTTCCATAGAGGCCATGTACCCCCCACCAACTTCGTCCGGATATCTGACTTTCGAGCGCAATTCTGTCAAAGTTGTGCCTGCTTTGAGCATCTCCTCACGGGTCATTCGAGTTGGTCCCACTGGGTTTCATGGAGGTGGACAATTGATCATTAGCATAACAGGACCAACGACGTACCATTACGAGATATCCTATCCCAAGTGGCGTCCATTTCTGGGGAGGGGGGGCCACGATAGATAGAAGGAAAGTCGAGGGTTCCGTTTATCCTTAGAGTGACGGGCTCAACAGCAACACTTGCTGGAGCTGTGATAGATCAATAACTATACTGTTCGATGTGATCTGTCCACTTACAGTATATACTGGGAATGTCGTTGCGCAGCTGAGTCGAAGGTGTACGCATCCATAGCGCAAAAGAGAGAATCGATGTGCAAATAAGTACGCCATGGGACAACCACAAGCGACGAATACGTGACTTGGGACAAGATTCTGTACCGAACCGTTTTGCTAGTTTATCGTCGTCGTCGACAGTATCTATAGGAGAGTACTGCGAAAAAAATTTGATCATGGCCTTTTGAGTAAAGTGATTCCGTTTGTTAGTGAAATACGAGGGAGCACTCAGCAGGCTCAGCAGGGGCAGAGTCGCGATCTGGGTCCAAGAGCCCTTAAATTGTGTGGAATGCTGCACCTATAATGGTGTGCTGCATGCATTATGGGGATGTCGATTAAGCATGGTGGATGAACCAATTAATCATTGATCTGTATCACCAACCAGTTATATCTCTCCACATCTGCGCCAGTAGAAAGAGTACCAGATGGCGTTGACGCGTCTGCATTATGACAACTAGACTGGTGACCAGCCCGTCTATGAGGCAAACCGTCGATAGACGGACTGGTAAAACTGGGTTTGAATTTGGATCAAGAGCGGATTCTCAGGATAACGTGATGTATAAACCTTTTCTGGAATATCAAAGCCACGTGAACTTTTGCTAAGGCCTTTGCAAGTACCGCTAAGTTTGATCGACGTGCGTGCTGTTCGACACATTAACGTTCATATCAGACTCATTCCACTACTTCTTGTATATTTATTCTGCTTTCCGTATTCAACCTACTACTTGAAGGATGCCGGTCTCTTCGACAGTTCTCAATGAGAACTTCAATCGATCTGTTGACTCTGGTTTCATAGACATTACAACAGGTCTCCCTGCGGCTGCCGTAGCAACTCCGTCGCGTCTCTCACCTCACGAACACGTCAAATCTGTTGTCAAGATCCTCAGAGAAGGCCGCATGTCGATCCTGGACTTCATCCTTCGAATTCTCGACCCATCACAACCTGACTTCACGTACACAATCAAGCACGTGCGTAATGCATGCGTTCGGTCAGAATCACAGAGTGTCTGAAGATAGTCGGTGGGAAGGTGTTCTTTGATAAGATCATGCGCGAAATGATTCAGAGCATCGAGTGATGCAACGTGGATTCCCTGTATCAGTGATTGCTGGTCCATTGATTTTGCAGCATGAGGATGCGTCCTGACGCGTCGCGTCGCGTCAATTAGTGAAAATTATATCGTTTATTTTGTATTCTACAATACTTGTTAAAAAAACCTAGTTTTTTTATTGGCTAGAGGTCACGTTATCCTGAGAATCCACTCTTGATCCAAATTCAAACCCAGTTTTATCAGTCCGTCTATCGACGGTTTGCCTCATAGACGGGCTGGTCACCAGTCTATATGACAACGTCATGATGCAGTTTCTGCCAACTGGCATGCAGTGGTGCAAACAGGTCCTTTCGAAGTTAGCCTTAGTGACGTGGCAGCTATTTGAAACAACATGGCTCACTGAACGTTATCGATCGTTATCATTACATATAGATTATGTAACACTGAAATTAGTTGTTTTCTAACTAGTTAAGGCTTAGAACTAACTAAGCTATGTAACATAATGTAAGTTAGTCCACGCGTGCATTAGGCGATCACGAGCTTCAATATTGCAACTTCTTCCCACTTCGCAGACACTCGCAGCCTTAAAATCTCTCGTCTCAAGTACTACGCACTGGTCTCAGTCTTTTGCACCTACCCACCACTCCCCGATGATCGCGCAGATAAATGCTCAAGTTTTAGTTTTCAACACCTTGATGATGACCGACAATGGATCGGACCGTACCATAGCATCTGTCCGACGCATTGGTAACCACTTCCTCAGTATCACAGATGCGGCAAGCTGATGGGCTTTGCAACGCTGCTGAGTGTCGACGTATTTAAGCCCCGAAATTTTGAAGGTAATTAGAATTGCTATTCTCCGGATCATGAGTCACGGACATATCGATTTATTTGACCTACAGGAGCCTACAGGTGGGAAGCTGCAGGGACCATTTGTAACCAATTTGTGTACCCGCAAGACAAATAGATATGCCAGCAAGACCACAGGAAATCATGTTGTCCTAGGAATCTCAAAAGTGCTGCTCCCACGACCTAATTACGAAAGTTTCAAGGCTGGGGTAGTCTGAAGCGCAATAAGAGGAAAGGGGATAACGAGTCGCCATGTCATGAAACGTGGCTTCGAGACCTGAGAAAGGGTCTGGGAGATTAGATAACGTACTCCATTTGCTCTCTTAGTCCAATGATCCAGAAAGATTGTACCAGATCCTCGGCGCCGCCCACTCAAGCCTCACGAGATTCGCCGAGCACTGTCACAGCTTCTGGGATAAATAGAAGTAAGCATTTCTTCACAGGCACTTAATCGTCCAAGCTGTCTGGTTCACACTTGACCCATCCACTCCGGATCCTGATTTTATTTCGCGACTCATGAATGAGGAATACTACTCTCAATACTCTCATTTAGATGGGATCGACGATGACAATACCAAGCTCCTTGGTAGTGGTATAACAATCAGTCTTCCACCAAAATCACGCTTCCTTCACCTGTGGCCTTGGCTAAGCCATGGTGTACTGATGTCCATAACTCTGTGGTTCTTCATACAATGGGCACGGTCACCTTCGATGGATGACGTAGTTATATATTGTACGTGGATGACTAGAGTCGGCGCACAAGACCTTACTTACCCATCACAGCTCCAGCAAACGAGGCAATTGAATCCATCGGCATCATAAAGTTCAACGGAACTATCGTAGACAAACCTTCCATATATAGTGGCCCTCCATCCCCAGAGCTCGACGCCATTTGGGATAGGGTATCTCTTGATGGTTGTGCCCTATGCTTCACTTACATCATAGACATCTACTGAATATGATATTTCCCAGTGCGCCCACTCCGTATGACACATGAGCAACTGCTCAGAACGGGGGAGAAACCTTCTCCTGCCATGGCTAGGTATCCGGACGAATACGGTGGAGGTTACGTAGCAACTGTAGAAGTCATTCACCAGCTCCATTGCCTAGTCAGTTGTAAAACACAGAGGCTGGTCGATCTTTGCTTAAATTCCTGTAGGACATACTTCGCAAAGTCAGCTGGGGTAACAAGTACCATGAGAATGGGGGCATGCATAAATCCCACGAACTCTCTCGTCGCCATGTCGGTGAGTATATTGTTTCTTGCTCTGCCCACAACCTGCTCATGTCGCACCTTAGACCACTGCATTGAGATACTCAGGCAGTTCACTATGTGTAGTGGTGATGTTACCCTGATAACTCATGATTGGATCGAGGGAAGGACAAATCCGCTCGCTGATTTCAATTCTTTTCACGAATGTAGAAACTTTGAGAAGATTTTAGATTGGATCGACGAGCATCGTGTTTTTATCCCTAGTTCCAGTTGGGTCCGCTTGGAGGATAACGTGGACCTGCCCTATCCCCCTTGATCGCATTCTTGTTGTATCCTCTCCATATGATGGTGGATGTAGTCACAGAAGTGTTTGATATTCAATTTGATTTCTATCCCAGGGTACCTATGTTCATGGCGGGCCGCAGTGTAGGCACTGTCAAGCAATTTGCAATCCATTTTACATGCAACTGACTGTTCATCTTGCCGCTGTTTTTTTTCCACAAGCTGTCCACCCCTCGTTTGGGCGCCGGGCACACTTCTCGTAGTAAGATAGCGCCCACGGAGATAAGCGTCAAACTCTGCGTGAAAATTATTCCATACTGAATGATGTCAACCGGAAGTAGTGACCACGTATCAACGGAGATACGGCTAAAAAATGCATAGTTGTGCGGTCATCAATCAACGGTGAATGGTATGAACCTCATTGCTTTGGGACATCGATTTTCGACTTTAGCTTGAAGTGCCGAATCTAGATTACTAACGCACCAACGACATGACAATTCTAACAAGCTCCCAAAGTTTGCAAAATATTTGGGAAGACATCCGTCGACAATAGTGTTAAGCGAGTAGCCTCTGATTTGTTTAATGGAACAACGTGCTTGTTAGCACAATGCAAAATTGTCTCATACTCCATTGTACCCAGTCCCATGTTATCATCGTCACGTCAGCATTACACATGTTGTCAGCCTGATCATTCCGATGCAGTGATATGAAGCGTAACAGTAGCATATCACGAGTACAAGTTACCACCTGGTCCTCAAGTCAGAAAGACTATTTACCAAGATGCATACGGACTACTTCGGGGTGCCTTGGAATGAAAGACCTGTGGGCTTACGATACTCCAACAACCAAAAGGTTGTGCGAAGCAAGTTCTACACATGTGTGAGCCAAGAACGAACGCAGTGTATGACTTGCCAGATAATGTATATGATAAGCGGATCCCAAAGAGACCACGAAACCTCCACCAATTTTGTCCGGATACCTGACTTTCGAACGCAAATCTGTTATGCATGTTTTGAGCATCCACTCACGGTCATCCGAGTTAGTCCTGTTAGTACAGGGTTTCAAACAATCACTGAGGAGTGCATGATGGGACAAAACGGAACGACGCACTATGATGGGCCATTTTGGTCCAAGCGGTATCTGAATTTCTGGGAAAGGAGGGCCAGACGCGGCGGTAGACAGAACAGAAGTCGAGCGCGCCATTGAACCACACGACCATGGAATTCGTAACACCACTTACTGGAGTTGTGATGAATCATTGAAACCATTCGTTGGCTGTTCAAATGAAGGCCTGTTCACCTGCAGTATAAACTGATACAGGAAAGTCGTGGTGCAAGGGAGCTGAACGCCATGGCATAGCATGGAAAAGACCATCGATGTGCAAACGAATGCGCCATTGCTCAACCAAGTCCATAAGCAGGGGTCACACGACTTTGAACGAAATTGTGCAGCATCTGTACCGAACCTTTCTGGGTCACCAAATGGTTTCCCATCATCGCGAAAAATATTATGTCCGGGAGAGTACTGCGTGGAATCTTTGACCATGACGCTTAGGGAAAGCAACTCCATTCAGAAACGCAATGGTCCGAGAATAGTACAAGCACTGGCGACTTCAACTGTAGGGCAATTTCTAAGACGCCACACAGTGACAAAACAGAATATCGCCGCGTCAGTATTAGCCTAACGGTATCACACCTAGCAATCATGATCAGCTGAACCTCTTTCAACTGATTCTGAAAGACTTGAAGCTACTTACCAATTGTGAATTCAAATATTCAAGCCCACACGCATCGTGGCATGAACTGCTACTAGTCCAAGTCCAGGTCAGGAAAGCAGAACGTTTCCTTTAACAGACTTGCCGGCATTTTCCGGACAACCATACTTTGACACGGAGTCTGTGACTTGTCTGCATAGACCTTACGCAGACCGGCCGTACTTTCTGATCTAATCATGGTATGTACTTGAAGATGAGTATTCTATAGATTCTACTAATCGTCTTTTTTACAACTAGGCCCGCAATGAAGAGAAGGCACAGTCAATGCTATACCGTTTCCGCGAGGCTCAAGCAGCTGAGCTTGGCCTCGGGACGCGTGCAGATCGTCGTCCGAAGATGGCCAGCGCCTGCAAGAGTCTAAGAGAGTGCGAGCGGTGGAGAGGTGAAATCTTAAGAGAGCTAAGCCGAAAAGTGTCCAAGATTCAGGATGGCGCGTCACTTCGCAGGAGACTTAAAATTCGGATGAGCTGACATGAATATTTGTTAACAGCTGGTTTGACCGACTATGAAGTCCGAGACGTGAATGACGAGATCAACAAATTGATGCGCGAGAAGCGCCATTGGGAAAACCAGATCATTGCGCTGGGAGGTGCCAACTATCGCCGTAATGTAGCCATGTTGGATGACGATGGGAAGGAAGTGCCTGGGACAAAAGGATACAAGTACGTCTTTTTGAGTTTTAGCTTGCCCTATGAAGTTGTCACTGATAAAATGCTAGGTACTTTGGCCGCGCGAAAGATCTCCCAGGCGTGCGCGAACTCTTTCAGAGCAAAAAGAAAGAGGAAGAGGAGGAAAGTGAAGCGCTTTCATTTTACAAGAAGTTCACGAATCAAGGCCCCGCATACTTTGGTGACCTGGATGAAGCAGATGGAAAGTTATTGGGATATGAGCGTCAAGCAGAAGAAACAGGTACGTCATGTCCATGAGTGTAGACAGTTTCATTTTCTTACGTGCATCAGAATGGAGAGACGAATATACGAACGTCCGGGAAATCCTCGACCTCCCTCTTGATGACCCAATACCTGAAATACCTCGTGGATCATTGGCAAGCTCATCACCACTCCCACCAAACGGGCTCTCTCCACCTCAACATCTATCAAATACTAAACGCAAAGCTCAGGAAGAAGATGTCGAGATGGACGCGGCAAATACGGAGGCAGAAAAACGGCTTCGCAAAGCCGAATCAGACAACACAACGAAGGCAGATGTCTCCTCACATGGTGGCGCAGACTCAATACGCGCGCACGCGACTACAGCCGCTGCTTACCTGGGCTTTTTGTCGCCAGAAGACCTGATGCCACCGACACTTCCGACTAGAGAGGAAATGGAGGGCGTGCTATTAGCCCTCAGGAAACAAGCACTGGTGGAGGAATATTTTGGCGAGTAGTTATAGTGTCCTTGTACGAATTCTGTTGTATTGTGAGTGGTTCTACTCAGGTCACCGTTCTGGAGACTCTTCCTGCGTACATTATATGATGAGGCTGACACGATGAGATTTGGTGCGACACCAAAGGCTTACGCGCATAACTGGCTCTGAGGAAGTGGCTGGTTCCTCATAATTGCCCTGCGCACATCATCAACATGGTGAGATTTCATGCGCGAAACAGGGCTTACCACGGCATCGCCACGCTTGCAGATATTGTATGTCGATGTGATAAGGTTTGACGCGAAATGAAGCTCACCGGTACTAAGTGCCTCAGCTTTGACAGCTAGCCGTCGAGTTGAGGAGAAGTCCTACGGGTCCAATATCGAGGACCTCTCAATTCGCTGATGTTGAGCCAGAGAAATCTGAAAGACAACGATAACGAAGCGAGTGGAGACTGCGCGCATAGTCACAATAGAGTTCAGATAAGTGATGCAGAACGAGTCTAAGTGCCTCCACAGCGTCAAGAGACCTTATTTTGGGACGTACATCGCCGCCATTGGAATTGATGTCTGTGAGCAGTGTACCACTTGCAACGAAGGTAAAGAGGTCTCGGCCGCCCACTTTCAACATGATCATGCTGCCTCGCTATGTGCGCACTGACAACGATAGTTGATACGAGATTTGTAAGTCCTCTCTTCATGATCGTTCGTCAGCACAAATTATAAAGTTTCAAACATGACGATATGAAATCTTGTCCAACTTGGTAGTCTCTGGATCGTACCAAGTCGATACAAGCTTATCTATCAATCAGTTCCATTTCTTGCGGAGGGCGCGGAGCTACTTGATGCATGCCAGCGTATGAAGGAAGGGAATTTGAATATTGCACGTATCATGTAAGGTATCATATGATCGTGGTTGGAACTTGTTACGGACCTCAATTTTTTTGCAAAGGCAACTAGTTATAACGGCGGTTGGGTTCAAATCGTCAAGGAATCATAGCTAGATCATTGCCAGGATGTTCGTCGACAGCCAATTCCGTGAGTTTGCGTAGTTCTGACGCGCTTGCCGGACAGTAGAGAACGTGGAGTCGAATGTATTTCAACATGTCAAACCCGCAAGTGGTACTAGTTAATTACGCTCGCAACGTGCGTGAATGAATTATTGGCAAAAGTAATTGAGTGAGTACAAGTTAACAGACTCCGCTTGAAGTTGCTGGGGGCACCTGATCCCAGACTTACTAACATAGCCCGAGGGTTGGGAGTTTGCAGCCAAATCGGCTTTGCGAGTCCTAAGTCGAACCTCAGTCAGGGTATCGATCTTTCAAGCCGCATGGATGTCGCCCAGCAACAAGCCCAGGACATCGTTGCCCAAACCGAAGGCGACGATGCTGTGATCGAACAGTTTCACGAGATCTGCAATAAGAGATTTAGGTATGATGTATCAATCACACGCTTGAAAGAATTATCGCTACATGCAATGCTCCAGTTATACTTCGTGTATCAGGTTTTACAAGATCGATATCGTGCTCCGCAATGCATCATACCTTCTTGCTACTGCCCCCAAGACACCCGGCTCTGAACCGGCCTCCGAGTCAGTGATGCAGCCACTCTCCCTTGGCACAATCCGCGATCTTCTTTCAGAAATCTCCAATAACACCAAAATGCCTGTACCAGAACCTAGAAGCTTCGATGATTCCCTCGCACGTTACCCATTCCATTATCTCCTCCTCCGCCTGCCCTCACCAAACGCCCAGTCCCTCTCATCGCTGCGATCGAGCGGAACTCTCACTCCGCTCCAAGATACTCTTCTGGACCTTAAGTTAGGAACTTTCCTTCATTCCATGCACTCACTCCAAAACGATTGGTTTGGTGTCCCAGGAACACAGCCAGATGAGGAACTATGCTATAGCTGGCAGGATACATTCATGCTGCTCCTTGATGGGCTGTTATGCGAGCTTGAAAGCTCTGGAGAGATGCAAAAGACGTTGGTGGAGGAAATAAGGCGATATCTATCCCGCGCCATTGGGTCATTTTTATTTGAAGACGCAGAAGTGCCTACATTGGTCTGGCTGACAGGTTCGGCGGACGATGTGTATGTCCAAGTTTCGGAGCCTTGTGGGCCGAACCAGGAAGAGAGAGTTGACATTGCATATGTGCTGCCGACATTTGATCGGGTGGTGTGGGGAGACCCGATGTTGGAGGCATTTTTTATGCCGCCAGGGCCAAGCAAAGCGTTGGAAGAAGGGTACCTGGAAGGAGAGGGCGGTACGTTGATAGTTTTCCCGAGGCAGAGAACGAAGAGGATGTGGTACACGCTGTTCTTAGCTCTAGTTGTACTGGTAGAAGTTAGGAGAGATAAGGAAAAGGGGGAAGGGGACAACAAAACGCATGAAAAGCTCTATTGGGCAAGGGAGATTCTCCCAAGATGCGTTGAGGCGTTGAAGGATGCACCCTGTCACTAGAATGATACAAGTACCAAAGTCCTGTAACTCTAGAGTTCAGCTATATATCTGAAGCAAAAATATAGACGTTATACCTGCCGATAGGTATATCATGACGAAGCATTAGCAGAGGCCATTTCAACATCTACTAGTACTGCGGCTGGGGAAGCAACTGGTGTCGGAGCATCGTTTCCCGTGAGTTCACCTTCTACAATATCTTCCTCATCACTACTTTGTCCTTCTCCAAGTTCTCCATTTTCGGGAGTCACTGTCATTTCTTTTTCGTTGGTCATCTCAACGTCCTCATGTCCCATAGTACGTGGATCCCATTCAAGTTCTTCTGGCTCCTCCACCTCCACTTCGACGCGCTGCTTCCACTCAAACTTATCTCTAAGCATCATCACAGCCCTGACAGCGCGCTCCACACGATGATCATGCGCACCCCGTATCTCTTCACATTCATGCAGCACATCCTCGTGTGTCACCCGACCGGTGGTAGGGGAATGGTTGGTCTGAACGCTATTCGTGGCAATGGCGCCACGGGTAGCCATACACTCCGCCAGACGCCGAACAGTAGCGGTTTCCATATTCAATACATCTGTCGTCTGCTGATTGCGCAAGAGAGGGATAAGGTCATTGTCGAGCTGATGATCCGTCATTCCGATACTAGGATGGAGAGCGATGTTCTCGTACATGCCGGAGCCGAGCCGAGCTTGCGCCTGGCTTATTTGGGACTGCGCCTGAGGCGACGATAGGGATTGGGAGAAACTATGTGTTTGGGAGAGAATGACATTGTATTTAGAGAGGATGTCTGGCCAAGCGGGCATGGCATTTTGTCCGCCGACCTCGATTGTACGCTGGAGTGTCTGGATAGACTCAATTATTTGGTTAGCCTTGAATTTTAAGAGTTCAAGTTGAGCGATTGGAAGGGACTTTGAATCGAAAGCAAACTGAGGGTTATTCGTAGTCATGATGGATTGATTCCAAAGAAGGGAATTTTAGAAGCGTAGTGGTTCACGAAGCTCTTGCACAATAAGACCAAATAATCTTCAAGTTCTGTTACCTGTACCAAGTATTACTACTAGTCTCCTCTCCTCCTGTTCTTTTCACCATTTTTTCAGTATGCTCTCGCTTTTTGCTCGCCATATCGCGTCCCATCTTCCCGTGCTGCGCACCAATGTTTTGTCTTCGTCGGTGTTGACTGCGTCCGCATTCGTTGCGACGCGTCGTACATTCTTCACTACGCGCCGTATCCAGCTGCCGGCCGCTGTATCCAAAAGCGCTTCAACCCCAGCGAAGAAAACCACAAAGAAAACCACAAAGAAAACGACAGCCACAAAAGCTGCTCCAAAGAAGGCGAAAGCCACCAAGGAAGCAAAGTCCAAACCTAAGTCAAAAGCAATATCCAAGAAGACGGTTGAGCGGCCCCGTGAGTAGCGCCATTGGCTGAGCTTGTAGTCAAGCGCATGTTTATATGTGTCGCTATAGCACCCAAGAGGGTGCCCAAGTCTGAGCAGCCTCCTTCGCGTCCCCCTAACGGCTATCTACTTTTTTTCTCGAGGCTCGTCCAAGACCGTAGGAGTGACATTAAGACTGCTATGGACACCCAAGATTTGGCAAAGGAAGCCGCAACTATGTGGAATGGCTTTACTCTTGCGGAAAAACAGGTCATTTACATCAACATATCTGCAATGTGTCATGCTAAAATCGCTCCTCAAAGCCTTACTACAACGAGGTTGAAGTCTTGAAGAAGCAGTATGAAGAGAAGCTAGATGAATATTGGAAGAGTGCCTCTCCTAAAACGCTCAGGGAAATCAATGCGCGCCGTAAACATGACGGGAGAAACAAGATTCACCGACCTCATCAAGAGAATCACTATAAGCGCCCTAAGGGGCCTTTCTTTAGGTCAGTTTATGTATCACGGTAAAAATATGACGACTGACAACAAAGAACGGTACACACAGATTCATAGAACATTTCCGTCAATCAGATGATGGTAGAGCTATCCAAGAAGCTGGAGTCACTGCCACAGGTAGAGGAGCTGTCAATGTTGCTCGTGAGGCCGGTGTACGGTGGAGGGCAATGAGTCCCTCTGACAAGGCCGTAAGTGAACCCGACTGATAATTATTCTTTAATGACTAACGATATGTCATTTTAGCCCTATGTGGAAGCCTACCAGAAAGAACATGCTGACTGGCAAGCAAACCACCCTAGTAAGAGTGCATCATCGTAGGAACTTACATGCCAGGGAGCAGAAATGCTAGCAATTCTGCGTGCATCAGTCCTGTCCTTCCGTTATTATTCAGTTTTCATCGTCACTTACCCACTTCATCGCTCACATTCAACCCAATGAGTTGATTTTTATTGCAATGTTTATAATTTCTGAAGCCATTCGCACGACCCTCCAGCTTTACATATGTACGATAGGAGTTCCTGGTCACGTTCCTTTTGACTTGCGAATTCTCTTCGTCGTACCTCTCGGTCACGGCGTTGATGTGCAAGTTTTTCAGGCACGCGGACGTATAGTTGATACTCGCAATACACGACAACCCTCATACGAAGACGCTCCAGGCAGTTGCGCATTATCTCGAGTATGCTGTAACTATGTCTTCCGTGAATGACATCAGTCGGCTACTCTCATTTCAATCCCCATCTCGGACAGTGGACACTATCTTTCTTTGCAGACCGTGTCATATCATTAACAAAACATGACTTGCACAATGAGTTTGATGCGTATGTTAAGCTCGTTTGCTCTTCCGACTGATATTTCAGACGCTCACGATGCATTGCTAACATATAAGGTTGCATAGGCGCATTCTGTCACTTCATACAGTGATTCCGAACCCTGACTTTGGTGTTCGTGATTTTATATACCTCTCCGCCCCTCATCGTCGTTGCGAATATCTCAACAGCCAAACTAAAGGGGAAGCCAAGTTAATGACGAGACTTCCAAAATCCCTTTCTGCCCATTCTGAGTCATCTTCATACACGCTTGATCCGGCCACACATTGATGCATCAACATCCACCCTTTGTTTTATGTATCTAAACTTCAAGTACTACGCCCAGACGACACTGTCCCTCTCCCGAGAACTGCCGTGACCTAGTCTCGCCGCTACCCAAGACAGTCTCGAAGAATGGAAGATGGATCGTATTTTCGATCAGCGTCCTCGCGGCCGCGGCTTCCAACACCTCGTTCTCTGGCAAGCAGAAGACTTCTGGCTACCAGGTTATGATCCGAATGTCCTGCTTTCAACGACATCCCACCATGCTCGATCTTTCGGAGGTTAGGAGGGTGTAAGCCACGCTCTTACGCCGTTGACGCACGCTCACGAGCAGACAAAGCTGCGTGTTATAGCGTTGAACAGTCCAACACATCAACATCAAAATGTTCATTTGCATGTGAATTTCATTCAAGATATCGTCGTTCTTTGCAAACTACACACCACGAAATGCCAATCGAAGTCCGAGAATCGGTGCATGGAACGTTCAACGTTCAGGTACATCATCCTCGAATTTCAGCCAAAAAGTGATTTCTGTTGACGAACAAAACACAAATAGATTGATTCCGCAAGTCGCGGTGGCTTTTGAAATTCGAGGGCAGATTTCAAATTTGACGGTGCACGTGAGACACGGCGAGAACGCACTTTTGTCAAAAACAACACGTCCCTTCTTCGCAAAATTCCTTGGAAAAATCTGGGGACCTGAAAAAAACCAGATGGCTTACCGCGGCTTCCAGGTCATCACCATTAGGATTAGCTTCTAGGGAGTAAGCCTAGATTTTACTTGTGGTATGTATTTTTAGCAGCTGGCGGTGCTTGCACCGCGGCAGTTCCCGAATCAATGAACTAGATCATTGTATTCGAATGCAAAATGCAGGTTAGTGTGCTTCACCTCTCATCACTTTCTCGCGTCGGAGGGCCCAGATGCAGATGCGCTGATTCGATTTGGAGGGAGACCTTGCCTCGTCGCCGTTGGTGAGCTTCTCGTTGTCTCGATTGTGCGTACGTATTAAATGGTTTTTGAAACTCAGAAAATCGAGGGTCAATTTAACAATCAATTACCGCCTTCCCTTGTAAAAATACGAATGGAATGAGGTATTGCTGCGCATTATTAGTGTAGTGACCATGTGGACTGTATGGTGGGTGGTAACTTTATCACGACTGTCGTAACACATACATGGTGCTCTCGTTCTCCAGCAAGGTCAGATAACTCTGCCTGCGAGCGGATCTACGAAAAGGTACGAAATACTTCTTGAACAATGACAATGAACATTCAATTATAGTGCATACTCTCCTTAACTCCAACATGAAGCTTTCTTTTGTCCTCAGTGGGCTCGCATCTATCGTGACTCTTGCTACAGCCGCACACATCATGCAAGAAGCTATCGCGAAACGGTCCTGTGAGTGTCCATGACTGCCAGCAACCCCATACAATATCTGGAGGTTGACCTGCTACCAGATACGGAGCAGCGCGACCTGCTGCCAAATGCTGAGAAGCGCGAGGAACTTGATGCTAACGACTTCAATTACTTTGATTACTGCACGTGCCCTTAACGTTCTATATAGGTGAGTTATAGCTGCTTGTCTCAGTTTTTCTCCGTCGGAGTCATCCATTAAACCTTGGACCTTTCTAGGTGGCCACTAATTGCTTCGCCCACAAGTCATGTCGGTCGTTTACAATTTCACATCGTTTCGTCCACTCGACTCTATTGCTTGGTTACTTGATTTCCGACGTTCTGCAAACCCGTGTAATGATATTGCAGTTATGTCACTTCTTGGATTCCGATTTGTGTCCATTAACACTTTCCGGACCCCCATTGTCCCTTCTGATCTCTGAAGTCGCGAATGCCCTTATCAATGAGGGTTTCCCCTATCAGTCTGCCGTCGGAGTGGTCAGTTGGCTTGCGGTGATGGAACGTATTTTCTCGTCCTCTTTCGCGGAGTATTACAGGAATGGATTGGAGTACACGATGCTTTCATTACTTACTCCACTACAGATCAAGTGCTCGCAACATCGCATTTTGAATTGTCTACAGTTCTCTAACTTGAGTGTTCACCTCGAGTTAGCATGGTTAGAGCTGTAACCAAATTGTTACACTGTCATGGGTAGTTTAAGTGATGATCAACAAAATGTCCGCTACTCATTACAACCTTCGCTCTTAGAGCTTGAGGGCTGATTGTTTAGCACCCTGAAAACCTTTCTGAGAAGTTAGACTAACGATACAAGAGATTGGCCTCATTTTCAACTGAGAATATTATCGTAAGCACTGTCGCAGTTCATTGAATGGCATTGTTGACAGCAAACACAAGCGAGGTGTTCGACAACCAGAAACCTCGACGTCGTGAACAGTATACAAAAGCAAGTATGCAAGCTCTCACTGGCAGGAGCACGACTCGCATTCCCTATTGCTCGAATTCGAGTTAGTTGGGCACAAGACGCGACGCAGCTAGGGAGTTCTATCCACATCGATTCGAACGACTGCTTGACATGTGAGAAGAAACGTAAGCGGGGCTGAAAGCACAGAATTCTTTTGCAGGAGATGATGAGTGTAACGGCATCGTTCAAAATGAACAAGCACAACCCACATATCCGACGAATGATGCAGTCGACCTCGCCGCGATTACTGTTACCATGGTCAAGTTCTGCGTTGAAAATCTTGGGAGTTAACTCCACCGCCTATAATGAAATTATTACTCACCACGACATTTCACCGCCGTTCCAGTAGTCATGATGGACTGCGGAGAACCCCATCATGACTCAGATGTCGATACGAAGGCAAGGTTTGTAGTACGGAACTGAAGTTTATTAATAACTCAGTTATTTAAAGCACGGCATCAGTTTGAAGTTCATCTCCTCACCAATAGCATATTTAAATTTGTGTTCAATAACATGGCACGGCCACAACGTCGTCCCTACCAGTGGCCCCAAGGTGGTCAATGTGCTATGTAACCGACTGATCGAGGTCTAAAAAACTCGCAAAGTCCGCGGTCTCAACACGTTGCAACACTCAAGTTAGCCACGTAACAGATACAGTAGAATGGATAGAGTTGATCAGCTGATCTCGAGTTCAAACCCAAATCGTGGCCAAACTCTGGGGGCCCTGAGTCATCATATGAGTAATATTACGCTATAGGCAGACCGTATAGATACCGTTTGGTTCTTTTACTATGCTTCAGTGATATGAGTTTCCGTACGGCAGTTCTTAAACGGGGATGCAGCGACGAGTCCATTTCAGAGCTTGTTGCTGCGCATGCGGCATTTCTAGCGCCGTTGCAGCTACATTAATGGAATATCGGGAAAACTGTGGGAGCGCTGTCAAAATGATCACAATATTAACTCATTCTGCAGAGATAATATTTCCATCCGACTTTTCAACATGTTGGCTCTGCTACATTCGTCATATCGCGATCTACGCGAGAGCCGTGAGAATACATCGAGACTGCAATCAGGGAGGGGAAGGCAGGTCCACGTTACCCTCCAAGCGGACCATCTTGGATTTAGGAACAACAACACGATGCTCATCAACCCAATCTAAGACCTTCTCGAAGTTTCTGCATCGGTGAGGGATTCTAAAATTAGGGAAAGGATCTTTGACTCCCTCCACCCAGTCGTATGTGAGCATTGTCACGTCGGCATGACACATAATGTTCTGCCTGAGCATTTCGATGCAGTGGTCTGAGGCGCAGCATAAACAGACGTGTTCCGGGCAGGAAATAGCGTACCTACCGAGATGAATGCGGAAGTCTCCGGGGGATTCGTGGGCGCCATGTCCCGAGGAATGATCACCCCAGCTGACTCTGCGAAGCATGTCCTACAGGGAGTGAGTAAAGATCGACCAACCTTTTGTATTACAACTGACTATGCAATGGAGCTGGTGAATGACTTCTACAGTTGCCATATAATCTCCACCGTATTCATCCGGATACCTAGTCATGGAAGGAGAAGGTTTCGCCCCCGTTCTGAGCAGTTGCTCAAGTGTCATACCGATTGGGCGCGCTGGGAAATATCATATAGTCAGTAAATATCCATGATGCAAGTCAAGCATAGGGCGCAACCATCAAGAGCTATCTTATCCCAAACAGCGTCGACTTCTGGAGATGGAGTGCCACGATATATAGAAGGAGTGCCCAGAGTTCCATTGAGTCGTATAATACCGATGGATTCAATGGCTTCGTTTACTGGAGCTATGACGAGTAAGCAAGGTACTGTGAGTTGACACTGTCCGTCCACCTACAGTACAGAACTACGTCATCAATCGAAGGCGCCCGTACCCATAGCACGAAGAATATCATTGTTATGAACATCAGCACACCATGACTTAGCCATGGCGACAAGTTGAGAAGGCGGAATTTTGAAAGAGGCCTTGTTTCTGTATTGCTATCAAGGAGTTTCGTGTCATCACGATCGTCGACAGGAGAATACGATGCAGAACATTCCTTACGCATAACTGGCGCAAGAAAAGAACTTGAAGTTCGTAGTGTTTCCGAGTCAAGCCTTACACTCGAGATGCACTTGGAACAAAGCCGTACACGTGTGCAAGTTGTAACCCTGGGTACATAGAGACCGGGGCTTGAGTTTTACTGATGGAACCACCTGAACATTAAAACATTAAGATATTGATGTAGAGATGCCAGTACTATATAGCAGCCATAGAGAATGGCCTCTGATATATCTGATAGTTCACACGGTTACTGACGTCACGTGATAGTCATAGTGGGATATTCTCTCTCGAAAATTATTGATCCAAACCAAATCCAAACCAAATTGCCTCTCCATGGAGATCTCCGACAAGTACATACGACCGTTGTGGCATCACAAAGGCGTCACTCCCATCTGCATATATCCACATCGGTTCTCGCACTGCCAGCCAGGTATGCCATAGTGTTCCTGAAATCCAGCTGGCTTCTTACTTATCCGATCATTCCGGGCCTATGCTTCCCCTTCCTGCGCTCCGCTAAAGGCATGTGACTCTCGCACCAGCGGTATGATACCCTAACGCATTGAGACACAGCCGATTGGGGGACAGGATCGAAATTAATACACATGCTAAATATTTCTCGCATCTGCCCTCGCGTATTCTCAACTATCCACACACCGAGTTCATCGAAGTTCCCTCAGGGTCATGGTCAAAGATTCCTCGGAGTACTCTCCTGTCGACGCTGTTGACTATGGTAATGAGGAGGAATCATTTGATGATGCAGAAAGGTTCCGTGCAGGACCTCGTCCTAAGTTGTATAGTAGCCTTCGCGTGTGGCCTCTGGTAAGCCATGGCGCGTTGTTATGCACATCGATACTCTTTTTCGCGCTATGGATGGGCACGCCTTCACCCCACCTGCATGACGACATTCCTGTATACTGTGAGTGAGCGGACATCCTCGGACAGTTGACATATAGTATTGATAATTTGTCACAGCTCCAGCAAGTGGTGCTATTGACTCCATGATCATGAAATTCAACGGAACGCTCGACTTTCCTTCCATCTATCGTGGCCCTCCTTCCCTAGAAATTGATGCCGTTTGGGCCAGAATCACTCATGATGGTACGTCGCCCAATTTTTGCACCTCATCCTAATTAGTAATTGTTTGCGTCCATGAAACCTCAGTGCCACCAACTCGGATGTCACTTGAGGAGATTCTCAAAGCCGGCGAAGTAGATACACCTTCCAAGGTCAAATATCCACCCGAATTTGGTGGGGGTTTCATGGTATCCATGGAAGCCCCTCACCAACTCCACTGTCTGGTAAACTATCCTACATGCACTCAAAGTCCAGTCGTTCTTGTCTCACGTTTTGTAGAATTTACTTCGTAAAGCCTCGTGGCCCAAGCATTACGGGCCCATAGATCCTTCGTTCCAGGATACGCCCGAAGTAGTCCGCATGCATCTTGGTACATTGTTTTTTTATTTATATACGCACTTCCTCCTTATCGTATGCATCACAGATCATTGTATTGAAATGCTCAGGCAGAATACCATGTGTAATGCCGACGTGACGATGATAACATGGGACTGGGTTCAGGGACACAAAATCCCATACCCTAACTTCAACACCCGCCACCAATGCAGGAATTTCGAGAAAGTTTTGGACTGGACTGTCGAGCATGCTGTTCATATCCCTCGATCAGCGGTTACTCGTTTCGAAGATACAGTTGACATCCCCTTACCCCCCATCTGATACACAATGATGTATAGGGAATAACGTGATCCTTGCTCATTACATACATTCACGAGTACTTATCTTGCAAGAACGGCAATGATCAAGAGTACATCAATGACATAGGAATACCCTGAAAAAGTCGGGCGTGCACTACGGCAAGTCCGGCAGAGAGCGGCGGCAAAACTCGTGGCCAACAGACGGCATGTCGGACATTGAAAATAAAAGGTACTTGAGCTTTACGGGCAGAAGTCATCAACACGCAGGCTTCGGATAGCTATTGTTGGAAGGCGGTAGCTGAGAGCGCTGAGATGTGGTATCCATACGAAATGAGTGTATTACAAGTAATGTACATGCTAATAGATAAGATTAGCACGTACCTAGGTTATTTGAAAGTCCGCCTCCTGGCATCTTTTTGCCGCCGGACTGACCTTTTGAATAATATGTTTTGCCGCCTTCTACCTTGACCTTCAAACACGAGAATTCAAAGGAAGCCAGGAACACATCGTCTTATGATATTTGACAGAGTCGTGCGCTTTGCTGGTCAACGCTTTCAGGTATTTTGCTAATGGTTACGTATCAGCACTCATTCCTTTCAGCGTCTACTAGGTCGTTCGAGTCATTCTGAGATGAGTCTGATAGCAAAATGACAATACTAATGATAGTTTTAATTCTAGTATCTTGCTACGGCTATAATTTACTTCCATGGGACAACATTTATTAATAGTCTCAGGTCACCCTCGAATGTGGAGCTGACTCGAGCCTGGCCCGAGGCAGACGATCAGAACGAGACTTTTTTCGAGTTGCTCCTCCACCCTGACATCACATGCATCATGACCATGTCGAGTTCTCCGAGTTTATTCCAGCAAGAGCGGTGATTAACGACATAAAGTTCGCGTTTACAAAAGGTTTAGCCCTGCAATCAGAAACTGGATCCTGGAACCGAAACCTCATTGCAATCGTCATGATCAAAATCTGTTTTTGACACCTTGATTTGTTATAGTGCAACAAGAATAAAACAGACATCATTTGGGGTGCTGATTACGACTGGGATGAGTGAGGTGCATGCTGGCAGGGGCCACCATCTGACCTTGATGCGAGCTGCGCATCAGAGAACCGAGGAGTCTTCTGGGGTGCGTTGCACTTATTGTGTGGCCTTGACGTCGTAATGGATGACTGTATGACATTCTCAGGCTCACCAGTCTTCTGATGTAGTTGACATTGACTTTGTCTGCCCCTGAAACGCGTACCGGTGGTGGGAAGGACCTGGAAGAACTCGTGCACGGTTGGTACGAGTGCATAGAACGACACGGATCACTGCCCTTTGGGTACCAGTCAAAAATCAGGAAGAACCAGCAAACCGAGGTAGGCTTAGGCAGGTATCTTTCGCCTCCAGTATCGACTCGTCCAAACATGGTAGGATCAGCAACAAAAGAACTATTACTGGAATACTAACAAAACACGACGGCCTTCCGGGCATCCCAGGCCCTCTTGTCACTTATTGAATGGTTTGATTGATGCTCCCAATGAGACCTATTTAGATCGTTGGACGCCCACTTTTTCGCTCCGCCAAAGAACCAGAGAGCCAGACGGTGTTCTAAAATTAGCCACGCTACGTGTCCGTCCTCTGTCTCTAAAATAAGTATAGTTTTTTATTTAGTCGAGACCAGGCTCACCATCACATGTATTTTCAGGCACCTTACTCGACTTACGTTAAGTCAATTTGTTACGTCGAAACAAAAATAAAAGAAATCATCTTCTCTGTCGCCAAGACGCATTCGTCCCCCCCGAGGCACCGAACCCAAGATCGGAACATCAACCGTGCTGCGGATTGCGTGAGCACCCTGTTGTTCTTTTTTTTCTTCATTTCTAGATAAATCCCGTCTAACCACACGCGTAATGTAACTATTTCAATCGATTGAGATAACGCGAATTGAATATGCACGAGTAATTTCACAGATACTGCTGGCAAAGGATCTCCAGTTGGACAACGGGCAAACGAACACGCTCCATGATATCTGAAACACTTGCGTAAACCGCACGATGACAATGGGATTTCCATCATTGGGGTTTGATCAGACGCCACCACCTTTAACAGGACGCACGCAAAGCGTCAAGATCGGAATGCAAAGATGATGAAGTCCCTAGGTTTAAAAGATCCGGAATGATTGGTTCTTCTGCCGATATCCTTTATGTATAGGGGCTTATTTGCTCCATGTAGTCAACGGTGCTTGCGCCGCGACAGTTCCCGAAGCGGCGATGTGTTCACCGTTGGTCACTTGTTTTCGCCACGGCTTGGCCGCCGAACGGTGGCTCCGGGAGTGGTTACAAGTCACTACACACTCTCCTCGAAGGTGCTGACGGTCCTGACCTACGAGTAACTACTGGAACGAAGATGGAAAACTGAGGTGCTCCATCGGCGCTGACGTTATTGATGCATTGAGTCATCGCGCACCTAGGTGCTACTTCACGGCAGGGTCTCTGCAATTCGGCTGCTCGTTTCACTTCCACAAACCTTACTTGACAGTTTATTTCGTCTTTCTCGGACAAAGAAACAAACTGGCGAAATAAACAGTTATTGAGTAGGGTCATAGATTCAAAGAATCTCTGTTTACCTATCTGGATTTCGACATCGGCGGTCTGTTCGGTCTCCGATTTCCAATTTGCGAATGCGAAACGGGGCTGCCGTCCCTCAGGCCTCAGACCTCTTGCCAGCATGGGCCTATTAACTAAGTTGATCCGAGGTGGAATCTGGACTTCGGGTTGACGGTCTTACCTTGTTGGGACTGTGGGTGTTGAGCGATCTTTCAATTCGAAGACTGACGGCTCATTAAGTCCACTTAGAATAGCCCCTCACAAAAGTTCTGAGTGGATAAGGCTTCAGCCAATTTAGGTGATCTGGGTCATGAGCCGACATACGAAAAGGTATAAAAGCCCTCTGGAATATTTCAATGTGGTGCATCGACAAACGTACCAGTCGCATCTGTTAACTCAAACATGAAGCTTTCTCTCGTCTTCACCGCGCTTGCATCCATGGTGGTTCTTGCTACGGCGTTCCCTGTGGACGGAGCCATTGCGAAACGTTCTTGTGAGTAGTATTCAAACCACTCATCACCATGCGGAGGTTAATAAGCGTAACTTGCTACTAGATGCAGAGAACCGCGCCGAACTTCTATCATATGTAGGGAAGCGCGAGGAGCTCGACGCTGACCACAAGAAGCATCCTCATGGTGCGGAAAAGCGCGAGGAGCTCGACGCTGGCCACAAGAAGCATCCCCATGGTGCGGAAAAGCGCGAGGAGCTCGACGCTGACCACAAGAAGCATCCCCATGGTGCGGAAAAGCGCGAGGAGCTCGACGCTGACCGGAAGAAGCATCCCCATGGTGAGAGGAAGCGCGAGGAGCTCGACGCTGACCGGAAGAAGCATCCTCATGGTGCGGAAAAGCGCGAGGAAGATGATTCTGACCACCGCCACCACCACCCTCACGAGGGGAAGCGGGAGGAAGATGATTCCGACCACCACCCACACCACCCTCACGCGAAGCGCGAGGAAGATGATTCTGACCACCGCCACCACCACCCTCACGAGGGGAAGCGGGAGGAAGATGATTCCGACCACCACCCACACCACCCTCACGCGAAGCGCGAGGAAGATGATTCTGACCACCGCCACCACCATCCTCACGAGGGGAAGCGTGAGGAGGCTGATTCCGACCACCACCCTCACCACCCTCACGCGAAGCGCGAGGAAGATGATTCTGACCACCGCCACCACCATCCTCACGAGGGGAAGCGTGAGGAGGCTGATTCCGACCACCGCCACCATCACCCTCACGAGGGGAAACGTGAGGAAGATGATGCCGACCACCGCCACCACCCTCACGGTGAGAAGCGTGAGGAGCTTGACACCGGTGACTTCAATTAAAGCTCGCACTGAACTTGACGCCAGGTTCTACGCAGCAGGTGAGTTATAGCCCTATGTCTTGTTTTTTGTGAGAGTCTGAATCATCCATCGTATTAGGTCCGGAATCACCGCAGCCTCAATCATAAGTAACTCCAATGTACATCTACATATATCGATTCCCTTATCTGATCGCTTGTTTTCTGACATGATGAATGCCTATGTAGTACAATCCCAGTTGTTTTACATGCTCTTAAAATTTTTGACTGAAATACAGCCAGTGTTTTTGCCACTAAGTTGTCATCTAGTGACATTGCGCATTGCATTTTCCAACTCATGTGCTGTCACCTCAAGTTCTCTCAGCTCCCATCTAAAATGAGATGGTATACAACCTGCTCAGTGCTAGCTGGCTCTCGTCCGGGCAACAACTATGTCTTTTTTAGATGGTCCTACAGCAGGAGACTACGTGTTCCTCAGCAATAGCATGTAGCAGTATGCGCGCACGGCTAGAAGATCAAATACAACAACGATAGAACTGAAACATCAATAAACCCGACTGAATTTTTGGGCGTCATTCTATGTCACATACAGGGACTCTAGCAATTTCCTATCGACTCTGCTGAGGCCATGACATCGCATTGGTGCTACTCAACTGCACCACAAGAGGAAGCAGCGATACATTCTAACTCGATGCATAGTATTGTATGCAGTACGTGAATGGAGTAACATCAACTTAAACCTTGAAGCAGCGTCAGAATCTCACTTTCCCGGGCCAAATACCGCACGCACGTACCTACTGTAGATCAACTTCTGAGGGATCATGTAGACTTTCTGGACACGTGCCTGAAAGAATGCATGTTGACGAGTGCCAAACTGCTGAGGGTATGTGTGCGACCCTCGGACCCAAACACCCGCTGATCATCTCACTTCCAGGCGTACTCACGCATGATAGTGACGTGCTCTACGTTCGCACTGTACACTTCCTCCTTCACCAAGTCCGCTAATTCAACGCTCGGAGTGACTCGGCTAGTACTCTCTTATCGAATGCAGCCTTTCTCTTGATGGCGTGTTGGACTGTGGCTTCATAGCCATCGAGGTGCTGCTGTGCGATGTACGCCATGTGGATATTGGTATCGGACAATCGTATCGCTGAGGTGCTGTCAGCGAGATCAGTACGTGTCATCTTGACTACGAAAGATCATGAAATTCAGCCAAAATCCATGTTGGCATCAGTACTTGCGTTCGGCTGCAACTGTGTCGAGCTAATACCGATCCGGCAATGTTCTCGGATTTTAGATGTCCGACGGACGGTACACATCTCCAGACTCCCGACAGCCCTTCTTCCTTTGGCACATAAAATTCATCCTCAAACTTTCTCACTTGGCTCGTAGCATTGGTCCATTCAATTTCTCCCCCTTCGACTCCATATGTTTGATCCATACAAATATTGAGGCACGTTCTACATCCGGCCTGGTCCCAATGCGAGGGCGCTTCGATGGTAAAGAATTCGGTTGGACACGTGCTTCTAAACTCTCGGTCGTCTGGGGGTACGATATAAGCTTGATTGGCTGAAAGCTCAAGCACCTGTGAGTTTCTTTCCGAAGTGCATGACAATCTCGGCTTGCGACTGATGAAGATGGGTATCAAACGGTATAGGAAGACAGAGGCTTATCACTTTCTTGCGTGAGAGGACCTGCCCTAAGCACCAAGCCGATTCGAAGATGCATCGATGAGAATTCGAGCTTGACAGTCTTGCCTCGTTGGGATTGTGCGCGCTGAGTGATTCTCCGATGCAGACTGACGGCTGATTAAATTTACCGTCCACGTAGAAGTTTGAACAATCCCTAAGGTTGTGACAAAAATTCTGAATGAATAAGGTTTTGACCAATTTAGGTGACCCAGTGAGTCACTAGTCGTGAGCGGACGAAGTCGTAGACGAAAATGTATAAAAAGGCTTCTTGAAGATTCCAATGTAGTGCACTGACGAAGTACTCATCAAGCTCACACCTCTTAACTGGAACATGAAGCTTTCTCTTATTTTCAGCTCGCTCGCATCTATCGTGGCTCTTGCTATGGCATACCCCACGGAAGGAGCCATCGCGAAACGTTCCTGTGAGTATTCATGATTCAGATCACCATGCCGAGGTTGATAAGCGTAACTTGCTCCCAGATGTGGAGAACCGCGAGCAATTTGGCTCCGATCTCTTCAATTACAACGAGCCTCATGCTAAGGGTAAAAAGAGCGAGCGATCTGATGCCGATGGCTTCAATTAAAGCTCGTCTTGAACTTTGGCAGGTTTCACGCAGGTGAGTTACAGTCGTATGTCTTATTTTATGTTGGAGTCATCCATCGTACTAGGTCTTGCATCGCTGCAGCCTCACCTCCCTGTACATCTACATATCTTGACTACCGTATCTGATTGTTTGATGGATGCCCATGTAATACATTCCCAGTTGTCTCACTCTTTTTGACTCAACTACAGACCCACCGTTTTTGCCTCTAATCTGATGACAATATTAGGATTCGGTGAATTAGCAGTGGCACCGCTAGTAACCGGGCTCTAGTTAGCACCCTCTACGAGGGCCTACTAGTAGTTAACGTTTAACATGTGTACAGGACACCAAGTTCACTTATGTAAATTGACCCATAGTAGTCTTTTGACGCTAACTCATGTGTCATTATCACATTATCGACAAGCAACTATATATCTTGTCTTGAATGGTCTTACTACGGGAGACTACGCGTTCCTCACATCCTAAGCAATAGCATGTAGCAACATATATATCGCGCATGGCTAGAAGAACAACATACAACAATAACAGAGCTGAGAAAGCAATAAAGCTGAGCGATTTTTGGGCGTGATTCTCTGTCACTCACCAGTACCCCAGCAACTTCTCATCGATTCAGCTGAGGCTATGACATCGCATTGATGCTACTCAACCGCACCACAAGAGGAAGCAGAGATACATTCTCACTCGACGCGTAGTACTGCACGCAGTCCAGATGAAACTTACAACAAATGTCAGCTGGGAATGCGGTAACCACGTTAATGAAATAATGTCACCTTGAACCTAGAGACAAGTAGCGTCAGACCTCACATTCCAGATACCGCACGCAGATATTGGGGCGCTCACCAGTGGTTAAAGTTAGACTCAAACTTCTTCAGAAATTCCCAGCGTTTGTTCATCGCCTGGTCGCCGTCGCCACTCTCCACTGCTGCAAGCGCTTGATTGGCGGATTTGGTGAAGGAGGAAGTGTACAGTGCGAACGTAGAGCATGTCACTATCATGCGTGAGTACGCCTGGAAGTGAGATGATCAGCGGGTGTTTGGGTCCGAGGTCGCACACATACCCTCAGCAGTTTGGCACTCGTCAACATGCATTCTTTCAGGCACGTGTCCAGAAAGTCTACGTGATCCCTCAGAAGTTGGTCTACGGTAGTAACCTTGGCCAATTTTGCCTCTAGCGCCCGCCAGTTAGGTTCAAGAACCTCGAATGTCGTGAAAGCCAGTATTTGCTGAACAAAAGCGAGCATGCGAGCTCTCAGAAGTGCGACTCGCAGTCGCCACTGCTCAAACTCGGGGTGGTTAGGCACGGAACGCCGCCAGGGACTTGTTTTCTGTTCTATCCACATCGATGCGAGCGATTGCTCTACATGCTTGAGATGTAAGAGAAAGCGGAAGAGGAGCTGGTAACGCAAAATCGTTTTGCGAGAGATGACGAGTGAAAGCGGGAATTTCACGTTGTAGTCGAGTGTAAGGGCATCAATCGCTTATTTCAGATGAGCAAGGACGGTAGCGCAAGGGCTCGACGCACATACCTAACATAGGCTTCTTATCATCCTTTTCCCGGTCGCGATCCTTCTTTGCTTCTTCATCTGGCACGCCTTCGCCTTCCTCACCGCCAATCACGCCGCTTACGCTGATGACCTTAAGTAACCATTCATACAATCCGCTGCTCGCGATGCTGACTCGCACATCTTCACGGAACGCGGCATCTTCCCCTGTAAGTGCAAGGTCGAGGAGACTCTGTAGCTTAACGATACTGACACCTTTCGCGGGCTTCTTCAATTCTAAGTGGGCAAGGTCTAATAGGTGGGTGAGGAACGATGAGGAGGCTAGGAAAAAATAACGCTTGAGAGAGCGGAGCCGAGGTATGAGCTGTTGATCTTGCAGCAGGAGACGTAGGAGGGTGCGATTCGCGTGTGTATACGCGTCTTCGATGAATTTGTAAAGCCTGTAAATGCCCATGAAAAAGACACGGGGACTCAACCCGATGAAGAAACACACTTTTCATCTTCCATGGACAGCGACTCTTTCGTTATATCCTTCTGATCGGCTTGCACCTCGATCCCACATTCACGTATCACGTTGAGATATTTACCTGCAAGTAAAAACTTGTGTTTCCAACCCTCTAGAAGGGGCGGTATACAGGCGCCACCGGGTAATCGTCCTCCAGCAGTACGTGGCGGTGGAACACCTGTATGCTGGCGCTTCGAAGAAAGGGTAGAACCATCGCGAAGCTACCCAGACATCAGTACACATGCATCCCGTTCTCTCAGGCACAAAGCTCACCGTATATCGCCTCTCCCAATACTCGTCCGTATAGTCCACTTCCAAAATGCCCTTACTGATGAACTTGCTCTCCTTGACACACAGTTCCTCGTATGGGTCCTCGAGACGACCCGTAGTTGTCCATACCCTGAGCATCTCGACATAGGGCACCCCCGCTGCAGTTAGAAGAGTGCTGTATACCTTGACTGCGGTAGGATCGCCTGACATGGTCTGCATGCGCTCGTATATCACCGTCAGCACTTCACCACCCTTCACATTGATAGGTGCGTCTGATGTGCTCTTCTTCATGTCAGACAGAACGGCCTTCAGCTTCGCCCCGCCGAGCCCAAGTGCTTCATCTCGTGCTGCCTGCTCTGGATCAGACTCAGAAGAAGACGATGATGAAGAGGCGTCGTCGTCATCGGTAGTAGCGAGTTCAAGGATGAGCTGATAAATAAGGGATAGGGTATG